AAGCGAGTCTCGATGCAAGTGCGCGCTCGCATGCTCGTCCGATCGACTCACCGGATTCCGGGGTCTATTTTTGAAAAAAAAAGAAGCAGTACAGGCACGTAGTTTGCGAGACGACGGCTAAATATGTACGTGTAGAGGTATGTACGAGTTATTAGCGTCGAGTTGAACTGGAGTTGGACTTGAGCGCAGCTCAGGGATTTGCCACGATATACGTATATATAAATACTAGTTGAGCTCAACAGCGTCACTGAACTTTGCCTTGAATCTAGCTTGAAATAGTTTATATTCTCTCTCTCTTTCGTTCTCTTTCCCGTTCGACTCGGTGTTGCTCGTTGCATAACTGCGAGAACGGATTTAACCCTCTTTCGTTTTCTCGAGGACCAAAACTGTGTAAGCTGCAGCCGTTCCAAACTACGCTCCGACTTTAGCTGCGTTTCCGGTACGCGTCACGATGATGCTCTTACTCGTGTCGGCTGCGTGCGCGGATCACAATTATATTAGCCAAATGCGATTTTTGTTGTTCGCATTGCGCGCACCAAAAGTTCGCAGCTAGAGCGAGCGTGAGCTTGCAAGCTCGCACGTAGGCTCGTTATACATTAGCGGAAACGAGTTTTAATTGGATTTTTCAAGCGACTAACATCTGTATTACAAAGCATACCGAACTCTGCACATGTTCAAGCTGATCAACATATTGGCTTTTTAATAGTTTCGACCGTTTGAAATCTACAAGTTGTCAATGTATATATATTGCAATAAAAACAAATTTACGACGTTTAACGTGATTGTTAATTATTTATTGAACGCATATCGTCTATCAAACGCTATAATCTAGCAATAGCGCAGCTTATTATAATTTCATTCGCGTAATATGTGATCGATTGCATAGCGTCGATGGTGTCGTTCGTCTACTCGGTATGACAGTCGATACAAGCTACGAGCCTACAAAAGGTCGTTAAACTTGACTATAATTGTATCAATCTGCTGCATATACATAGTACACATTTGAAATAATTCCAACGCGTTTAATTCAAAATCGATAAGTGTCACGTAATGCGATCGCAGCTGCCTGGAAAAATCACTGCGATCGACACTCGCCGATCTTCGTCGTCGAGAAGAAATTGTTTTGTTTGCCATTTTTCTGCGCAGCTTCAAACTTTCGTCCAAAGAATAACGCCTTTATATAGTTCTGCTGAACTCGAATTCATAGTTGAGTGGCGCGACGCAAGCATCGACGCCTTCGATCGCGCGAACGTCGAGCGACTCGTGTTCTTCGAACAAATTGCAAGCTCGACGACGACGAGGCAGCTAATAGATTTCAAATATATCGTTGCCGCTGAAATCGGCATGTAGGCGCTCGGAGCTCTTCCACGGCATGCACATACATCAATAGTAGAGTGCCTGTGCGTATGTATTGGCGCGCGCGCGCGACAACGAGACACGTGACTAAACTCGTGCTCTGCATTATCACGAGTATCGATCCCCGCGCTTTTATGTACGGCAGCGGCTATGTTTTCCACGCACGCCGGAGCGTCGCACGCGATGTGTCATTTTTTATACAATCATAACGCGCGTGCTTTATTGAAATTGTCAGCTGCTGCTCCGCGTCGAGTAGTGTCTGCGGCGCTTCGCGCGCTAACACCCTCGCGCGCTCAATCGATACATGTAACGCTTCGTAACTAGCGCACTTTGTTTTTTTTCCTTTGTTTTTTTTGTAAGCGACCATAGCCCGCGCGTCAAAGAATCACTCGAATACTCGTGGACGCCTGGACAAATACTTATAGCCGCGCGACTATTTCGACCGGCCGCCCGCGCGCGCGCTTTTATTATCGCTCGCCGCACACGATAAGATATTTTGCGAGCTGTCGTTATTATACATCCTGTGCTATACCGCACGGCCAAAGAGCCATAGCATGTGTATTTATGTAGGCATAATAATACACGTGACACGGCCAAACTCGATCGCGATATAAAATTCTGTAATGAAACACGCGCGTCTCAATGGGCAAAGCGCGTAAGATTTTCGCAGCGATGCTTGTGTATTATTGAGTTGCTGCAACGAGTTTATATTATTCTTACATTATTCTCTGTACCTGTGCAAATACTTTATGAAATGTAAGGCGATAGTCGCTTATTTTTACCCGGCCGTGTATTGTCTTGGCAAAAGGAAAATATGTGCGTTGCGCGGCTCGCGCGCCTCTGAAAAAGTATCGCGATAACCCAGCCGCGAGCCATGAGAAATTTAACCTATCTCCTATTACACAAACACGTATGCAAGGGTAGATATAAATACCACCGATTAAAATTATAAACGATAAATCGACTGAATAAATACTTGGGCCGCGCGCACGTACACCGTAATATCGTCTGCGTATTGATATTCGAGACGTGTATTATTTTCGCAGGAGGCTTTGACAAAAGATTTTTTTTTACGCCAACGCACGTCCGAGACATTTTTCTTTTGGCGAAAATATATAACGCTTTATGACATCTGTTATTGGAACCTTCGGTCTCATATACACCCAGAGTATTCAGTTGCAAAAGCGATAAGATAGGTCCATCTTCCTAATACCAAACGTGAAAACTAATTCGATCGCCACATTCCGATGAAAGCTCCTTTCATTATTATTCTCGTCATCCGTGCTTACTCCGATATTTTCAAATTTTTTTTCGGCAAAATAAATTTGCGCGTAAGGCGCTTTACTTCAAGAATACCATATCAATGTCGTTTTATTATCCTTTCATCACTCTATTCCACAAGCAATAACATTGCGTCGATACATTTTTATGCGGTGCAAATTATAAGTCGCGTCAAATTCCAATTCGAATAACTAATAAACCTTTTTATGTATTTTCACGTAATTACAATTGTGACTAAAAATCATTTTCGTCAAATGGTTCGATTCATCCGCGGAAATTGTCAGTTAAATTTTGTGATTTTTTCATTGCCTTTATGAAATATCAGCTATTATACAGTAAAAACATACTTACGATGATTTTTGAATTGAGTTAATATTAAATTTCGATCTTAATATTTCAACTTTTCAGAGAATGAACTCAAATACAAAAGTTTTCTTCGAGTTTAAGATTGTCACTTGTCCTTGTTTGTACGACAAAAGTCCACTCGAACAACCACATGACTTTGGTAAGGCTCTCTAAGTGTCCTCCAGTTCTTTTTCGACAGTGGGTAGCAATATTTGTTAAAAAATTACGTACAAAAATGTATTTTTGTTACTTAGGCAGAGAACACTACCTATAAATACGCGGAAGGCGGTGTAGTATACGTCTTTCGATTTAACGTCACGGCACATGGCGTGTGTGTTATATTGCTTCTAAGAAGTTTAGCAAACGTTAAAATAATGAACTTAATCTGGCCGAAAAAATGCGTAAAAATTTTATTCATTCATGGTAGATGATTATAACAAAGCAATGTCTATTATGACTCAACAAATTTCAAAGATGGGCCCAGACATTACATGGAAATTCGCACGTTATGATATTTCTGCAATTTTTATCAAATCTAAGGCCCCTTGACAACTCGAAATTTGACCCACTTTTTTTTCAAAAAATAAAATCAATGAAAATCAATGAATCAAATAGCCTTCTGCGAATGGCTGTTTTTGAGTTTCAATTTGAATCAAAATGAAATATTGTTTGCTCTTTAAAAAGTTTTCTTTTATAGGGACAAACGAAACTATTATTCAGGATACAGATTGAATAACATAAAATAATAAATAAAAATCCAAAGGATGTAATGAAAACTAACACTCGAACGTATTCTTTGTTATTTTTTCTCAATTTCTGATGAATAGAAATTTTTTCGCAATTGGTCCAGCAAAATTACAATTATGGATTAACCTTTGGAAGGCGTTAAAAAACAATTTAGTCATGCGACGGCTACACACAACAATGCAACGCATTTTTTTTATCATCAGAAAAAAAAACAAACATTGCTGACACGAACAGGGTACTATAGCAATCGCGACTTTTTTAAATTCCTGCTTGCGTCATTCATCTGCGATTCGAAAGCTAAAAAGTGAGTTTGAGTTTGTCTTTGGCGTATGAGTATTCAATTATGACCGATTGGACCATTAATTATTTGTCGCACAATAATACAAAGCACGTGCTTATTATTCTTACGACTTGAAGCAAACGGCGAATTTTGATGGACTTGATTTGTATTTTTGACTTTAGTTGATTGCATAATCAAAGTGAAATATATTTTTTTATCACAACTCTGCATTTTTTTGTAACGATTCAAAATAATTTTTAGTTAATTGATGAAGTTCTTCGAAATCCTAAAGATTTAATTAAAAGATTTTTGAGTTTATAATATAGATTGTACGATGATTTTATAAATGAAATATATATTTCTTCGTAAATTGCATTCGTGCAAAAAGTGCTAATCTTATGCCAATTTAGGAAACTCCTCAACTTTTTACAATTGCCACTCAAAACGAGCGTTAATATATGTAAAAATCATGTTTTGTAAGGTCAGCTCGAGCGGACAACACCGATAGATAATAAAATGGATGGGTTTCTCGCAAGTTGGCAATTGCATGGGTCCGTCAGGAGTTGCGCACTGTATCATCGTTGCTTGGTTTTCTGTCTGTTCATGTTCACGCATTTCATTATAGTTAGGTACAGTGTATATATGGTACACATATTCACACACACACGCACATACTCATTCACGTACGCACACATACAATGCAGAGGGGCCAGGGGCAGCAAAGCAGAAAAACAGCCGCAGAATATTGCTCGCGGGAGCACGTCGAGGCACAACGAGAGGCCTACGTTATAGCTCGACTCATAAAAGTGAGTCAGTCAATCGCGCTCGACGACGCGGTGCACTTCGTCGTTGTTTCGTTCTGAGTTATAGCCGCCTTCTATACGCGCGCTTCTTTTATGTATGTGCTCTCTTGCTCCTTTTCTCTCGTTCTTGCCTACTGAATAACAGTGTGAGTTGATACAAAAAAAAAAANCATGAAAATTCCTACGTTAAAAAAAAAAAAAAAAAAAATCAAGGCAGAGGAGCAGAAAGCAGAAGCACTTCCGAAGTGTGTCTATCGCAGCCACGAGAGCAGGTAAAACCGGATTCTAAGGATCTTTCCTTTTCCTTGCGCACACGTTCGCTTAGTGCCCACTGCCTCCATAGCAACATTTTACTCGTTTTTTTTTCGTTCCTTCGCGGTAGTCATTTTATTTTGTACTGTGTACCTACTACATCATCCGTCAGAATCCTCATTCATTGCCGGCGATTTCATCTCTCATTCCCTCGTCATTTTTTCTCTCTCAATTCTTATACCAATGATCCTATAAGGAATCTAAGGCCATTCTTGTAGGCTATTGTAAATGGACGATTTTTTTATTCAAACGATTCATTTACAACTGTAACTAGTCGTAATTTGAATTTACAACCAGAATCATCGCTTTTATATTTTAAATTTATGAAATCGACTTGTGTGGACAGTCGTACGCGGAACAATGCCAACGTCTAAATACCAAAAGGTTGAAAATATTTCGTAGCGCAACCTGTATAAACTATTTGATTGCGTCAGCATTCAATCAATGCAAAACAACTCCGAAGAAAGCAAAAATAAAATGATCACTGCATAAAGTCCGAAGTTTAATGGTCACTTGAAGTATTTGCTTGCCACTTTTTAGTACTTTTTCGTATTCGTATTTAACTATATTTACAAAAAATACATTTCTTTGTTAATTTTACACATAGTTCGTAGCAATAAAAATAATTCAACAGTGTTCGAAAATGGTTTATTCGGTTTATTCCTTTGCAAAACTCCCGCTTAAAATTGATTCGAATTAGATTAATGCGATTGGCAATGAAGGAAACTGCATTTCCACAAAATCACTTTGCGTATGTTCATAAATTTACCGACATGTGCCGTTAGTTATGTACTGTTGACTTCAACTTGAAATAGTCGATTTTTACGATAAAATAGAAATCATATTAAAAAAAATTTGTACAATAAATAAATTATACAATACAAATTATGAACCTTTTGATTCATATTAAATGTGACCTTATGATATTTTTCTAAATAAAGCGTACATACTATTAAAAATTAACTTTTTTGAATACCAATACTATTTTTACAATAAAAATTACTTAAAATTAAATAGTATTTCATATGATTGTATCAAACACCTAGTATACGAAATTTCTTTTCCTTGATCATCAATAGTACTGTAACTTTTTCAAATAAGTATTTAAAATTAAATTGTTTGAGAAAATTTCCTTGTCAAAGTAAAAATCCTTTCTATTTGAATTTCTCTTAAAATTTATGGCAAAGCTAGATTCTTATTGTGTTGTAGATCATTTAATCTTGACCATGACTCCTGCAAACGGTTAACCATCTGAAATACAGGGACAAGTAATTGACGATCAAGCGTTTGTTATTCTATCCATTGAAGAATTAAGTAGCGACAACATGCGTGAATTTACAATCCCAACATTTACCTGAAAATATAACGGGTGAAACTCTGGATGGATGTCGTATTGTAGCCCTCTTTCTAACTGTATTGAATAATGCACATCAATGGACATGCTGAATAGTATCTCACTAGCTTCATCGAAAGCTGCTTACTTACTGTTACGTTTCTTATATTTATATGCACAGGTAAACGTTTCGCGTTTATTTAAAGAAGCATTTGTGTATATTATTTGAAATGTAATTGAAAGACCAAAATTTGAATTAAATTATATTGTCTATCCTCAACTGTTCATGAAAACTGATGAGTTTTTCTTAACTACAAAATATACTGCGTTTAATACTGAAATAATCTTTATATTATGTTTTCAATTTTGCCTAGAGTTTTGCTGTATTTTAAAATGATACGAGCAATAGGTCGTTTACTTCATTTTAATATCGAAAGAATCCAAACACTCAGAGCAAATTAAAAACACACATGTGTTGATATAGAGATCCTATTTCGAGAGATGTGAAAATATGTTTGCGTTCGCAATTGTCATCCGTATGGTCGCAGATGTTCTTTCAAATGCCCGCGTATACGATACATTGCAGTAAATTTCGATACAGCGCAGTAAAAAGCTTCTAGTGTTGCATTGTTTTCTGATATAATATAGATTGATCAACTCTCAACAAGCTACTCTTCGGAATGTCGCTTGCTTTTATTCTTTACGCGAGCGCTCTTGTTTTTATTTTTTTTCAAATGACGCAAAGTCCCCTTTTGTATCGGTTCGAGGTATTTATTAAATTATTACCACTTCGCTATGAGATTGCATAATTATATTTTATCTCAAGTATTAAATAATTGCAATTTTTCGTTCGATAAAAACATCAATGGAATTCTTAAATTAAACCGGAAAAATTTGAATAGAAATTAAATGTCTTTTAGGTCTTGTTTTTTTTTATAAAAAATAAAATATATGTTCAAATATAGTAAAATTATACTTGGAAAAAAAATAAAACTATATAAGAGGTATTTTATAGTCGTTTTGCATTATTTGATAAGTTCCGCAATAACGTATTGGCAGCCTGTGAAGTAATACTGCAAAAAATTTGCTAATTATATTGTTAAAATGTAAGATTAGGGGGGAGGAAGGTGGGACACAGATGTAAGACATTTTTGAAAATAATAATTCAGCATCATGCAGGAGTATCTATTGGCAATCATTACATTCATCTTTTCGTTGCAGAACATTTGATCGCTTTTGTACTGCAAGAACTGTTCAAGACATACCTTTCATTCGCGTAAACAGTGCTCAGTCTCAAACGCGATTTTATATTTCATCATTCTTAGAAAACTCGATCTTATGATTATTTTTTTCTCACCGTAGAAATCGTCAAAAAGACGGAGCTGTCAACGAAGCGATTCCTCCACATGTGGACATCTCCATCCCAGTTGAGGATAGGACGGGCACCTAGAAAAAAGAACAGTCCATAGAAAAGGAAGATCAATGAAAAAATCAGCAATGGCAGATAAAAGATTCGTTCCAGCGAACAAGCGGAAACTGTCTTTTTTAAGTTTTGGGCAGAGAATAGCGGTGAGTATTATTTTTTTGATCAATCAATTTAATAAATAGATTTTTACACTAAATTTTCAACAATTGATATTCCTATTATGCTATGTACAAACAAATAGTGAATGTAATAAAAGTATTAGAATTTATCTGATAAAGTCACAAAAAGTTTCGATTTAAATATTATTGTAACATGATCAAGATTAATAATTATTTATTCAAAAAAATGTAGAATAGACTTCGTTATTTTTGAAATTCATACAAGCAGATCTTAAATGTTTGTTGACTCGTGTCTGATCAACAATCAGGTCAGTCAGTGTAGCAAGGCCACTAGTGGTTCGCTCGTCTCTCGACGTTTTTTCAATTTCTTTTTCTATTGGCAATTTATGAAATAACGAACGGCTATGGAGTAGAGTAGCCGAGTATCGATCTATATTATTTGCATTTGTTACGTAGAAGAATTTCAATTAATTAAACCTCGTGTAAAATAAGAACAGCCAGAATAAAAGGAACTGAGCCCTCGGATATTATTTTTGGCCAAAAATAAATAATGAAAATTAATTAAAGCTTTTGATTAAGGTTTTTGGTCGAATTAAGATTTTTACTTTTTTATAACAGTGCTGACTCTCTTATTTCTGTATGATCTCAGTAATCATTGTAAACGGGTGACATCGGTTTTATCAGTCTCAATATCGGGTTGTTCATCAAAAATAGTAATTTTCGTAAAATAATATGCATTTTCGACCTTTTACACGTTAAAAAAAATCTTGTATAAGAATACAATAATCTTAGAACATGATTATTTGAAATTCATCGCAAATAATTCATACTTCATCATTTCACCCCACACCTACGCCTTGTCCGTCAAATATATTAGAACACACGTTACATAAGGAATCTTGAACGTTGGAGGCTAGCTCGCAAATTCGATTTAAAGACCAGTGTCAATCATTCGAAAAGGAGATCGCATTGATAACGATGAGAGTGCCTCGAGCAACTCAGCGCCAGTCGCTTGATAATAAGTGCGAGGCGCGTCGACTCGCTTAATAGTGTTGGTCAGTTCGGTGAATTATGCCAAGCTTTTTAAGTCCCTGGGAAAAGTGCACCAAACGAATGAATGCGACGTTCGACGAAACGCGTTGAAGCTCGAACGGAGGGTGATGATGGCAACAGAGGTCGCTCTGACTACGAACCATCGGACTCGTTTCAGGTGATACAAATAAACATTTTCACGTGAAACTGATGCTCTACGCGAGTAACAATTTTGTTCTTGGAGGATGCATTGTGGCTTTAAATTAAAAGTCTTTCAAACCAAACCCAACATCTACTCTTGATTGCAAAAATTATCGTCTTTTATGATGTACATTATAAAAATTTAGTATTCAAGTATTCGAATAATTACATTCCTTCTTGTGTATCTAAATTTTGTGGAGTGAACCTGATTTCTAATTTTCAAATTATAAATTTTTTTATATACTCAACTGTGATTGAAGATTAGGGAATAATAATTATAAAAAATGAATTTTCACCATGTCCGTTAATTTATTGTATTACTCACTGGCGACTTTTTCATAAGCTTTAAAAGGAGGCTCTCATAATTTTATTTTGAAGATAATTATGACGCAAACTAAAAAATGATTTGCTTTTTATTTTCATGCGTTATTTTACACTTGGGGACTAATGGGGAATTGAATCGGACGACAAATCAGATATTCCTCTGAATTTTCGGTAATGTCAACTGCGACCGTGAATATAGAAAGAGTAGGCAACCTTGAATATTTCTAGTTCAAGGTTTCCGGACGATGCGCGAGGAAATGCAGCGAGAAACTCTCCCTCCTATTCCAAACAACGACTTCGGGTGGGGGCGTCAAAAATTGGGAATCACAGGATCGATCGTTGAAAATGTCTTTCCGCGCAGGCCTGTTTCGATGCTTTATATATAGATGCGCAATTACAAATACGCGATGTACTCGGCAGCTTTTCCTCTTCGTGTTTCGTTTGGTTCACGGAAATTGAAAAATGTCATTTTGACAATAGCAGTGATTGACATTAATGAAAGAAAGTTGCGTTTAATCGAACTGTATTATAAGATGCAAATGAAAAGTAAATTTATGGACAGGAGAAAAAATGAAATAAAAATTTAACGCGCTATAGCAATCCACGGGCAATAACTAGAACGTGCTCGTAGGTATTTCAGTAGTTTGTTCGCGATCAATAATATATGAATAAACATACGTGTACGTATGCGGGATAAACTTGTTATCGATAAAATGTGCTTCGTGAATAAGTAATCGCAATTGCTTGGTCGAGCGAAGTATAAGCTGCATTTTCACGCTCGGCAGGGCTTTGGCGAATTTTTATCATTATCGCGTAGGCAAATTTAATGACTTTTCGGGAAGCTTACTAAACGAGTAATCATCTTTACGCGGGTACGTGTACGTTTTAGGTCGGCCGGGTGCGTTCGAGCGAAAGTCGATCGCAGCGAGCACACTATGCGCTCTATACTCTTTAGCGATCTATTTTTAGTGTCCAAGAAAACTTGATGAAGTATCTATTGTTGTCTCCATAATACAATATCTCGTCAATGCCTCTCGCACAGGGAGACATTGAATTCGGAAAAACTTGACTCGCGTCGCGAGCTCTAGCCACGCGTTTGGCGAATATATTTCAATCCCGCGAGGTTCAAGGTCGACGCGCGTGTATGTGCTGTGCGGAGCTGGTTTCACCCGGAACATGTATACAGACATGTGTGAGTGAAATATACGTACTGTTGCGCGCGCACTTTTATGATTGCTGATAGTCACTCGCAGACTTGCTACACGTCTATGGACTTCATTTAATAGCAAATAATGGAGTTTGCTGTATTAAATTTTTACTAATCCTCTTTACGTATTTTGTCAAACAATGACTTCAATCAACTTTTTTCTATAATTCAAGTCCTCTTTACGATCCAATTTTTCTTTCACGTCCATTGAAAATATTCAGGTGCCATTTTTTAATTACATTTTATAATGCTGTATGTACTCGAGCAAAAGTAGAAAAATATTTTATTCCCTACGCGAAAGAGAAATTATTTTCGAATTTTCTATGAATATACATTTTTACTATAATAAATAATAACCATTATCTATTTTATGTAAAGTTCATGTTAAAAATATGATACTTATTTACTTAAAGAATTATATAGATGTATTGATTCGATGTAAAATGTATTTTTCAATGAGCTTATAAATATTTCATTAAAACAAGATTTCTGGGATTTATAAAAGTTTACCAATGATGCTCCTCTAAAAATTTAAAAAATGAGCGCAGCTAAATCTTTAATTTGCGCCCTTTATAAGTAGAATTGATTGTGTACTGTGCGTTCAAGGTTAATGCAACACTGGACCAGATTGAATACGAGAAATTTTGAATTTTATTAAAATAAAAATTGTCGATTTCTATGACATCAATATTGTATGATTTTATATTGAAACTCTTTATTGTTACCATTCCCCAAAATTGCATTGATAACGATGAAGAGTAACAATATCCAATGTTGATGCATTTTAAATTAATACAAATTATATTTATTTTTATTAACAAAATAACATATATTTTTTATTGAAATATTTTATTAAAATTAACTTAAAACGTAGGTGAAAAACAATTTGCAGCCGCACAACATTAGTGTCCTAATTTAGGGGGCTTGCAACGCACAGTGAATCTAACTTGTGTATTTCGAAAGTAGGTAAAGAATTAAAAGTGAAATTGTATAGATAGACGCTGCTGGGCTCAAGTTATGTGGACTTGTCCGTTTTCATGGACGAGCAACACTTGTTGCTTTGCGAGGGGCCGCGCACGCTTGCTTTTCACAATATAGCAGGCACCTTATCAAGCAGTTCAGGATCGACATCAGGGAGGGGGAGGCGCGCGATCGCATGCACACGTTTTACGTCATTCCCGAATAACGACTGCTCTCTTCGCGTCATTTTTTTTTAAACACACGATGACGTTGTTTTTATCTATAACATCATCTTTCGTTTGTGTACTACTTACTAATTTTTGTGAATTCTTTTTTGTCCCCACTAACTTCGAGTAATGATTTCAAAGGTAATAGATTGCTATTGCAATTGTCAACTATTTTAGTTAATCTTTTACAAATTTATTCGTTTCAAAAATGCGCAAATGAATTGTGAATGAATACTTATATTTTGATTAAAACTAATACTTCTCATAAATTGCCGAAGGCTGTTGTTTCAATCATATGTGTGGCTTGGTAATAATTAAGGTAGGTGCCTCAAAAAAATGACTATCGATAAAGGGTCTTGAAATTTTAACCACATATTATTGACAGTACTTTTCATATGTGTGAGAAATTTCAGGAAATTTAACCGAACCATTTCCGAAATATAATTAATCAAAGTTCGGTACTTTAACGTGGGATCCCTATGCTAGCGTGTCGAAAAGACGCTATTTTGTGTGATTATAAAAAAACGCATCGATAAAATCTTTTCAAAAACTAGGAGATGATTGTTCAGTATGTTCTAAAACATAGCTCAAAAACTGGAAAAACTTGACCAAACAGTTTTTGGGAAAAGTTAATGTAAAAACATTGCAAAAATAAAAATTTTTATTTTTTGACCTGAAACCTACTTTTTAAGGTTTTTAGGGTCATTTTAAACAAAAAAGTGCTTTTGTAAATTTTCTCTAAAATCTATTTTTCACGAGCTATAAACGATTCAAATTTAAACAATTTTAAGCAATGAATCTTTACGATTTTTTATCTCAATAACTATCAACTCTACGAAAAATTTTAAAAGAACAAAAGAGTCTTAGAATTTGTCAAGGAAAGCGTATGAATTTTTTCAGATTTTTTTTAGACATATGCTCAAATTTGTCGGTCAGGTCTGAGGGAACATCCTTAATGAGTTATTTTGTAGCAAATACTTTTTGATAAACTGAAAATGTTGTGGAGGATTATCATAGAATCTTAACTAATTTCTAGAAACTTAAAAATAATACTAGAAAACATAAACGCATTTAAAATATGCGAAGGGATGTTTGATAAACAAGTTCTCGCAATCAAGTAGAAATAGCCTAGCTAGAGTCAGCCACTGATGATATGGAAGTTAGTATCAGATAAGAATAAAGCAAATATTACATAATGAACTTACTAACGTGTCCATCAAGTATTGCATTTGATAGTTATAAAAACGTTTTGATTTTAATCATAGGGAAGAGAGTTCAGTCTTTCAATAGCAATTTATCTTATGCTGTAATTTTGATTAATTTAGAACGACGCTGACAACTAGTCTGGGCCAAGTCCAGTTCGATTTGCATTTAATAACATTCTGCTGGAGCTTAATTTCCTGTCCCGTAGAGTGCACGCGACTGATCGGGGAGTTTAAAGATTCTCGGGATTTTTGGGTCGCCTGGGCGACTAAGTAAAAGAGAGAGAGAGATAGCAGTAGTTACGATCAATCCCTGAACTGGAATGCAGCAGTGTGCATCTCTGTGCAGAATACACACATGTATACATAGGCTCACAGCTCGAAATGTCTATCGAGTCACTCGTTTTATCGACCCATCATAACGTCCTCACCTGCGTTGAAGAGAGGGAGCTACCTCCATGCCGTTCCGATTATAGTTATGTGCGCTTGCACTGCCGGGCTCCGTCTCAAGCTATACACTGCTCGAGCTCTCTCGAACGTTTTGCTTTAACGAGCGCCACTATGACTAATTGATTTAATCTCGAACGTGCCAATTCACTACGCAATGCAACTTAGTTCGAGAGTCCTTCTGAACTTCTACTTTGACCAATTACTATATTACAGTTGTGCTAAGCATGGCTCTTTAAATTGATAAGTTGCATATCCTTTAAATATTGAATGCAACATTTTCATCTCTGAAATCTGTTTGATTCACGAGAAAATCTGTTTCGACCTTGCATTGTTAAGTAGTCCAAGTCAATACTTTTTGATTAAAACGATATGTATTTCATGTTTTAGTTATTCAGATTTTGCGTTGCAGGATAACTCGCAAGATATTTGAAATAAAAACTTCAAACTGAATGCTTTGGTCTCTAAAATCTTAATACAAAGTAATTTTATATCTAGCACCTAGTTCGTTTTTCACAAAATAACGAAAAATTGTATTTATTATAAGATTATTTATAAACTTAAATAATTATTTTTCATTCATTCCATTAAATTGTTAGCATATTTTTTTTATCGTGATTAATACATTCCTATGCTATTTATAAAGTTAACTTGTATAAATAAAAATATATAAGTGAAAAAATGATTGTAACGACATACATACGCATGGTATTATACGCTGAGTTCGAAAGTGCGCGGACGAGCGAGCGGGCTGGTGCTGGCGTAAGAGTCGATGGTGGTGGGGGAGGATTCGCGGGGTGGCATAGTAAAGAGTATACTAGTAGTAGCAGTAGCGCCGACGCATCCTGAACTTGAGCTCGTGCGAGGGTTGCTGGAGCGCGGCCGGCGCTCCACCTCAGTCACTCCGGCCCGAGATGCCATGCCCGAAGGCGCGCGCGTGTGTGCCGGCAGCTGTTCCGTCGTCGGCCACGAGCCAGCCACGATAGCTTGACTTCTTGCCTTTTCATCCGGGGCTACAGATTTCAGCTCTACAACTATAATTGCCTTCAGTTGTAATACCTATTAGCTTTTTTCTTCGTGGCATTTTGCTGCTCATCGAAATCCATTTCGAGTCGAACACGAGCTTCTTTTTTAGTTTTCTTGTTTAATGAAAAGATCAATTTATTATTTATCACTTTACTTTTTGGAGAAAGTTACTTGAACTAAAATAATTTTTTAACTAATCACTGTGTTCAAGTTTTTATAAAAATTCCTTGAAAAAATTTTTTGTTCCAAAACGGATGTAAAAATTAATTTGTAATACTATATTCTTATCGAGTGTTTTCGTCTTATAAATTTATATTATAATATTTAAACATTATTGTTTTGTGCATTCTAAATGTGTTTTTATTCATAAACAAAATGTTGCCAAGTGTTTTATAAGTAGCTATTATTCAAAGTGAAGTGAGTTGTATGTTATAATAAAAGGAATTGTCTTCGCAGGGGCCTTTCTTCATTTGCTGTTGAATAACTAGTGAGTTTTTACTTCTATTATTGACTGACCATCTTGTTTGTTGCACCAATAAAATTGCAGACATTGCATAAATGATTCGAATAATAAAAACGAGGGTAGCTGTGAAATAATTTTTCAAAGTATTTATTCCAAAGTACAGTCATACATTATCGTAGAGAAAAATTACGTTTTATTGATTCGATGAAATCAATATATTCTTGTATAAAAAGCAATTTTATTTATACATTTTCCCATTTATCAATACTATAATAGATTTATATATAAACACGAGAACAATATTCTTCTGCAGAAGCAACTACTGTCTAGAATAAACAGAGCATAACTGATGAATTGTCATTTATTCAATGTATTTTCTTTTAACTACCTGCCACTTGTTTGGAAAAAAAATATTCAATTTAAGAAAAAAATAGCAAAATTGCATGCGAATAAAAAACTATGTGGATTTAAATACACTTACTAGTTTCAATTGATATTCAACTTGATTTCAATCAAAATTTTATCGAGCAATTCTTTTGGACACATTGAAAGAGACCATATGATAAGACGAGCGATTCAAAAAAAAAGAAAAAAAAACGGCGAGTACTTGTCGCTTTATAGCGAATGGACTTTACTTCGCTTTGCCCTTGCTCAGAGCTGAAAATCGATGCAAACCACCCCCTTGGAGCAGCTAGCAGGCAACGGGCAGGCAGCAGGCATGTACCGCGATTGTATACCTATATTCATATCCACGTGTAGCATACGAACAGTGATCTTGCGTCAACTGCATATAAGCTTATGCCCAGCATATCTGCTCCGAACGGGGGGTGGCTTTCGATTTTTGATCTCAATTAATTGCCCGATGCCACCTGTACTATTTGTGTACTGATTTATTTATAATATTTAATTACTTCTAAGGTGACTATTGTGGTTAAACATTCCCTTATCGATTAAAACCAACTCAAATAATCTTATAATTATAATTAGCGAATGGCGGTTAGAAGAAAAGATGGTTTTTTATATTTAGCCTGTTATTAAACAAGCAATCTTTAACACGACGTTTTCTAGCGATCATTCTTTTTACAAATATTTTTACGAGCGACAAAGCCTTCGTAATTAAATTTACTTTTCAATTTACAATACTTTATAACTTGTTTACACATTTTTAAATATTGAAAACTTTTAACAGGTATGTTTGGTTAACAATTGTTTAAATATTTAAATTTCAAAGTATATATTCGATTTTTTAACTTGAATTTGGTTATAATGCAAATATTTTAATTTATTTTTTATAATAATTATATTGCGTAACATTAATGAAGAGAGTAATTTAGTCTCATATAAATTATTAAAATCGTACCGTAATTACATTCTACATATAATTGACGGCTTATTTTCATCGATTTTATAATTCGTTGACCATGCGCATTCTCCTATACTTAAAAAACTTTCATATAATTTCATTATAATACACGTAGTTCTGAAATTAATGTAATTTCCGCTTTATTCTGAATTATTTGTATTTGTAATAACACGAGCTATCCGTGATTTTTTCTTCTGTTTCGATAGTGAGCAAGTTTTTCTCAAAGGTACGAATGATATAAATTATTATCTAATTGATTTTCTACTTAAATGAAAAATTGTAAATTAAATGAAAGTAATATTACAAAACGCATTTGGTTTTATAATTATAATTTTAAATATCAATATTACCCGTAATAATTAGTCAACATGATTAATTTTGAAATGTATGATAATATAAGGAGTTATTCTAACTTTAGTAGTCACGTGAATATGATCATATTTTATTATAACTATTATCGAGATAAACTACTGGTTGATGATGCATTTGTGTTCTCCACTTAATTGAAATGTTATTCTGAAATTATTATACGGATACCGCGCAGTAAAAAAAATTTAAGGAAAAAGAACGAGAGCAACTTGCACAAAGTTAAGGTCTCTTATGCTATACATTCTGGCAATGCAGACCGAAAGCTCCAAGTTCAAGGGCACGATAGTTGCATCGACCGCTTACATATTTACTACTAGCGCCAGGCGTCCTCGAGCTGTTAAGTCACGTGTTTCCGGACTTAATCGCACCAGTCCCGTACCTCTTTCATTTTTTCGTCCTCTCCATTATTGCAATCTTACATCTCATTATTTTTCGCTGCATGACAAATTTTTCAACTGCAGTTTTTATCAATTCGATTGATACATTTTTTGTATGTATTGTTCATAACATCAAGGCTTAGCATTGTTCTATATTTTTTGATCAATTCAATGATATTTTTTATTTAATTGATTTGAGGTAAATTTAAGAATGTATCATTTTCAGTAAACCTTAAAATTGCTGTACGCGAACAAACTTTAGGTCAGTCCAATTTAATAGATATTATTGAAGTCTCAGAAGCCCCCAGAATCTTCTACGATCTCTCCTGTAGTTTATAGTATATAGTATATTACTGCCCTATGCTACGAAAAAAAAGTTTCAAGGCACTTTTAATTAGCAGCCTAGGCGCAGCCGATAACTTCTCAAAAATCTTGAAAAATTATTTTTAATGTCCGGTTTCATTATCAACAAATGAAATAAGATGTTTCATTAGTCGATGAATTATGAATGGGAATTTGTCGATTAAACATCAATTATGAATGAGGATTGAACATTAAATAACTCGACGAGTTTGCAGGCCGATGGACATGGAACGAAAACGGTACAAGAGCTGGACGAGGAGATGGAGAAGGTGTTTGCTATGGATGCCGGAGAAAAGTTCAACGTAGCTGCATTCGGTTCTCCCTCGGAATCAATAGGCTCTGATCGTGATCGCGATCGAGGGCCTGCTGTTTCGCGTTATGGCGATCGTGGCCTCGACCGTGAGTACTGTTTTCTTTCTAATCAACTATCTTGTTTTTAAATTTTATGTACTTACTTTGTCAATTATTGAGGAGTGTATAATTTTCATTGTATAATTTCACCTAGTTTATTAAAAAAACAATATTGTATTTTAATCTACTTGTGAAAGATATAAGTAAGCTATTTCACTTTTCAGAACATCGAAAGAAAAGCTACCCGCACCCGCACATGCCATTGAAGAGTCTCCACTCGAGATCTATGCGACGTCATTTATCACCGTAAGTCTATAATCTTGTATCTTCAAATGAAATAAAGTTCATTGTGTATTAATTCAAACCTAACATTGTAAACTTTGGAATTAAATTTATTCAATAGATCGTTTTTTAAAGATGAAATATAAATTATTTATTTCAAGTCAGATCTACTTGTATGTTTAATTAATTCAAACGTATTTGTCATATAAATGGTAATACAAAATTAATGAAACAATTTCTTATATCCTTCTTTTTATTTCTTTATGACAACTAATACAGTGAATTGTATGTAGCGTCATTAAATACACGATCAGGATTATTTGACGTGTACTAAAGGAAAATAAAATGATAAAAATGGTTGCGTGTGTTAAAATGCAGTTTATTTTCCTGTTTCGTGATGCAATAGTCTCTTTGAATATTTTTACTCGAAATAAATTTAGATTTTTGCGTGATTTGGTACAGTCGAACGGTTTAGATAATAGTCATTTTCAAAGACTTTTAAATAAATGATATACAAATAGTGTTATTTTTATACGTGCATTGTGATTACACAAAATCCATCCTTTTTTAATGTCTGAGCTGCCTCTATTGAAATCAATGAAGTTTAATTTTTGCCAATGAAACGAAAAATAATAATAACTAAATTTTAAAAGTGTCGATGTTAAAGTTTATGGTTTTATAGAATTTTTTTATAGTTCATACAGCTATCTGTTCTTTAGTACGACTTGTGACTGCATACAGTTAACTGTTGTTCGGTGAAAATTCCGTGCCTGGAAATCGTTATCTCGGGCACTGTAAAAGTACTGTAGAAAGTTTAATCAAGTTTTGAATGGATTTATGAGAGTTTCTTGCTTACTCTTATTCGTTTGCATAAAACTTTTTCAAGGAATGTAGATATAGGCTTGCTATGAAATTCGTGATTCTTCAAAAGTAATGAGTTTAAAAAATAAATTTAGGATACGAAAAATTCAAAACTTTATCGAACATACGTGATTCTTTAAAAGTAATGAGTTAAAAAAATAAATTTGGGTTACGAAAAATTCAAACTTTATCGAACATGAAGTTCTCAAGGCATGTCCCAAAAAAAGTAAACAATTCTTTGAAATTGTTTTATAGGGTATTCAATCACTACGAAAAAATTAAAAGAGATATTTTGTGATGTACATGATGGTTAAATGAATTAGAATTTGTTTATAACTTTTCAGCGAAGGTTCTGTAGTAGCCGAAAATATTTTGGAAGAAGAAACGCCTGCGGAAGGTTTGAATAATAATAGCAATGGAGAACCAGAGACGGCCTTGGAGCACGTTGACTCCATCGATAGTACCAACTCTCCCCTGGAAGACAAGGAGGACAAGGAGAGTTCTGAAGATGGCAAGGTTCGTGGAGATTTTATCAAATCAATACCGTATTATCAGGTTCAGTCATGTGAACTCGCGCAGCAATTTCAATTTTTTGAAATCTCGAGGAAATTCACATTCACTGATGTGACGATGAGCTGAAAAATAATACAGATATATGCGTGATGAATCGAGCAAGTTTGCTCATTAATGCGTTTTTATTTTCCCAGAAGTGGTATTGTTAGATTCAGATCTTACGTGAGTGGTATACATTTTATATTTTAACCCTTTACACGAAAAACTTTTACCAAGGGCTAGACATAGACATTCGACATTAGTTATTTAGTTTTCATATAGATATCAATATTTATTGAGACTTTTATTTTTAACGTAAAAAATACTACTTCAATAACAAAAAAATATTATAATAATGAGAAGAAATATGAATAAAAATAGATATTCTTGATAAAAATTTGTGCTGAAAATCACCATACGTGACTGGTGTTGAAGAACTTATACTATGTTTAGCTATAGTGCACTTTCTAAATGGTTATTTTTTAAGTGTGATATTTTTGTCTTGTGATGGCTGTCGATTATACTAGTTTTGAGCACGAAGCAGAAGCATAATTAACTCGTACCAATTTATTTACTTCACAGAAATATATATATCGACGCCTTAGATGAAAACTAGGTCATGTAAGATTCTCTTAAAGTCAGTAAGTTTTAAAACACTTATTAACGGTGACCAATGTTGTGCATTTCAATAAAATTGTTTAATTATCGTCTCAGGCGTCAATTGATAGTTTTTGATAAAAAGTACATTTATTTAAAACTGTTCCATAATAAATTTAATAAGAGACAGTCTAATTTTCATAAAATATATAGATGCACTCTAAAGCGCACTAAAGTAATTGAAATATAGATTAAAATCTGAAAGAATTTAAAAAAACAACATACTAGACAATTATATAGTGTAAATGTGTATGTATCCGTGGCAAAAATCAAAGGTGTCAAAGCACCATCGAAGGCAGAGAAAATACAGTCGAGTAATAAGGAAGGTCGTTGATTTAAAGGATGCAGAAGAAGTTGTGGAGGCATTGGAGGACATTGCCGAGAACGTGGGCAGCAGCGAGAGCGAGGCTCCACTGTCGGAGCGAGCGGCCTCGGGTTACAGCGAGAGCCCGTCCTGCGGCAGTCCCAGGGTGCAGTTCGAGAAAATCCACGAGGAGGAGTTGGGCGAGCACGACGTGATGGAGGGCAACGAAGGAGCTGCCGGCGACGACGACAAGAAGGGACGAAGACACCACAATCACAAGTAAGTGCATCAAAAGCAAACGTGTAGTACCGCTTCGAGTCGCGCTTGTTGCCAACGGAGCGCGATTTTGTGGTTTTGCAAATTTTGCGTGTCGCGGGGTAGCAGCGCTGCTGACTCTTCGCCGCCGCCGCCTTCGCGTTGCTATTCGGATGACGCGTAAAGGCCAAGGTTGACTAGCTGAACAGTCGACTATTGCCAAATTACTGCCCGTGCATCTGCACATTTGCTGTGTGTGTGTGTGTGTACCGTTGCTCGATACTGGCAGTAGTTTGACTAGCTTCGCCAACTGCATTATGTCAGTCTAGTGCATTATCGTATCGTCGAGAAATCATCGTCGCGGAAGTAGTAGCAGAAGAACGAGAAAAAGAAGAAGCAGAGTAGTCGTAGGCGAGCTCGGGCTTCGTTACAGTGACCGTGGCGCAGTGCAATCGGTGTAAGCGTGTGTGAGTGCGTGTGTGTGACGGTGTTACGGGGTGCGTACATCTGCTGCGGCCATGCCGATCGAGTACGACCGTTCACCCGATCGGATCGGTGACATTCGCCGGTATGGGTTTGGAGCTACTAACAACACTTTATATACGCGTGTGTGCGACCTGTGTGAATGCCTTTTCTTCTCGACGAACACCCCCTCGAAAGATCTCGATTCGTTCATGCCACTGATCTACTTGTTACTCTCGCTTTTTATTTTTCTCACGATTTTCAAATTACGGCAAACTAAAAAATCATATGAATTGTTTCGTACACCATTTTTCGTCGCAAACCCAAAAATTAGACCTGTCACTCGCCCGCGTAATGTATCGTACAATGCAATAATACGTCGCCCGGAAGTAACAATATTTCGCGACAAGCTTATGCTTATATCATAGTATTGACATTGGCTCGTTTGGACATCAAGCAATATCGACAATTTTCGGGTTCGAACTCTCGGAACGAAAGCGAGGACTTCCAAACGAGGATGATTCATTTGAGCCTTTTAAAACCTGCATAAATTACTTGAACAATCGAACATTCGAAATCAAATTCGAAGCTAAGGTCAAGATCTTTTACACGCATACTTTTAGCTCTTTGCGGGAGTATATTCAATTCGAGTGCTCGAATATCGCGTGCCGAGACGATTCTCTGCACGAGCAATTTTGTGCTCGAGCCAAAAATGAGATTTTATTGGCAATGCCTCTTAGGGTACATTTTACTCGATGAGCAGTCGTTTACACGCTCAGAAAGAGCTATGTAAAAGCTATAACATTATGCTTATGTCTTTTTGTTGTACTCACTATAAAAGATATAAAATGTACTATAAAAGAAATTTAAACGATCAGGGTCTGCACAATGAAATTTTTCGACAACCTCGCACCGAGTACAGCGAATATTATTTTTTGAAAATCATTTTTACGATCAAGTTGATGAATGATTTAAAAGTAATGTGCAGCTTATTCCTTTAGTAACATTTATCAAGGTCCAAAATATTTGTTTGTTTTTATCAGAAAAAAATCTTTCGTAAATCAAAAAAAGCTCGGTTAAAAGTCAAAGAAATAAATTGGGCTCTTATGTACATCGCAGGCGACATCATCACCATCACCACCATCACCACAAATCGCGCAAGTACTCGCTGCAAGAGGACCCGCAATGGCGAAAACGCTCCGGAGCCGGGCTGCCGGGCGAGTTCAGCGGGTCCGCGGTGGCGAGGCGCGTCAGCGTCCAGCCCGAGGAGGCCAAGACGCTGCAGGAACTCGACATCGACGACCTCGAGTCGCATCGAAGCGACGATCCCCGCGGCATGAGACGCCACAAAGCCGCCCATCCGACCGTGCAGATCGGCCGGCGCAAGGAGGGCGGCATACCCCACGAGACCTTCAAAAAGATGTACGACCATTCGCCGCACGAGGTCTTCGTGCAGCTGGACGAGCTTCACGGCTTCGGCGAGGAGAGGGAGTGGAGAGAGACCGCCAGGTGGATCAAGTACGAGGAGGACGTCGAGGAGGGCGCCGACAGGTTTGTATCGTATACGACTGCTTGTACTCGATCACATAGCACGGCGACAAAAAATAATCCTTCCATCGGGCACTGTAAAGATGGGGTCAACCTCACGTGGCCTCGCTGAGCTTTCACTCGCTACTGAATCTTCGCCGCTGCCTCGAGACCGGCGTCGTGCTGCTCGACCTCGAGGAGAAGGACCTGCCGGGACTGGCTTATCGAGTCGTCGAGCAAATGGTCATCGAGGAGCTGATATTGCCCGAGGACCGGCCCGTCGTGATGCGAGCTCTACTGCTCCGCCACAGGCACGTACACGAGCACGAACGAGGCTTCAGGTTCGGCGCCAAACGAAATTACTCCAGCTACACGAGCCTCCAGGTAACGTTGGATTTTCATTTACTTCCCTTCTTGCGTCGCCTTGTTTACTGGATATTTTTAGTTTACTCGCAAATGATATATTTTATTCAAACGTTACAATTGACTCGAGGGCAACATGATATTTGATACAAGATTGATAACGATTTTTTAGCAAATTCCTGGTAATGTGTAAGTAGTCTAGACAGATGTTTTATCGAAATGATTTGGCAAGGATTACCCGACTCGAACTCGTATTGAAAAAAAAATGTATTAAATGACCGACTGACAGTGCCTTTTTCCTTGTCTTATTTCCACAGTCTATCTGGTTTGACGAGGACGACTCTCCGCGGGAAGGAGCCGAGAACAATGTAATTACAATTGTTGTCAAATTTCTTCCTTTTCGTAATCCTCTTTCAAAATATTTTTTATTCAATTCATATCTTCGAATAATGACCAATTCTTTCTACACTGCATCATTAATTGCATTGATCCAATTCTCGTTACAAAATCGTCCTAGTTTTTCAATTTATATTTATTTATTCAGTTCATCCTATTTGATATCGTTCATAGTTCGTTTGATGTAAATAATTTTAATATTTTTTTGGATCGTAAAAATTATTTTTGTAAATTGGTCCGTATGTTCATTGTCAAAAAATAAGAAAGTTTAACACCCAATATAGAAGCTTTTAAACATCCTTGATAAAGATTCGTTTAGAAAAGTCAAATTCATTTTTTCAATTTTAAAATAAAAAGTTATAAGAAATCATCTAACGATATTTTTACAATTCGCCCTATCTGTTCATTTCGCATCTTCGAATCGTTGACATCGTCTGTATATATTTCAATGCGCTTGTTCTACATCAATGTATGGTTAAATTATTATTTAATCATGTAATTAATTTTCAGTGTGAAAATCTGAAAATTCATTTGCAGCCAACTCAACTTGATCTTATGAGAAATCACTCATCATCGTGACCGTCTAGTGAAGTCCATTATTATAGATAACATATTTCATGCCTCCTCACTATTTTCTTGCTCTATACGAAAATCAAAAGTTTGTATCAGTAAAATTGACTTATTTTCAAGTTATATTTTTCTGCCAAGTACATATGCGTTTCTTTAAACAAACGTTCATAAACATTGGGTAGTTCAAGCAAAGCCAAAACCGTCATAAGATTACAGATTCAGAATTTATAAAACGCATAGAATATATTGAAATGACGTTTGAACTAAGCCAATGTATTTTAGACACGAGGTCCATTGTCATAATGTGACAAGTCCAATCATTTCATCGTTAACACAAGTAAAGAGAAAAAAACTGACATTTCAATGACTCAAATAAAATATACTCGAAAAAGCTCTTGACTCTTTTCAAGTACGCATTATATTCTAAACGACTAGTAGTACTTTTTGTCTGCATTAAAATAAACTTGAATATTTATGATGGAAAAAAGGTGTAACACGTAGTTGAATAATACAGAACTTGCAAGAAACGAAATCGAAAGTGCTTTCGTCGAACCAAGCCCTAGACAACAATCACACGGTCATCGACATGAAGGAGGAGTTGACGTTCACTAGCAGCGTCGAAGACATAAAAAAAGGTCAAAACGAGCATATTTTAAAGAGGATACCGAGCGGCGCCGAGGCCACGGTTGTCCTCGTCGGAGCAGTCGACTTTCTCGATCAACCAACGATTGCTTTTGTCAGGCTGGCCGAAGGTAAGACAATTTAATTTAAGCCTCGTGAAGTATCGGAGGATGAAAATAACGCGCGGGTTACGCGGTATGGTCGAGCAGGTATTCTGATGCCGGCCATCACGGAGGTGACGATTCCGGTGCGCTTCATGTTCACGTTGCTGGGGCCGCGCAATTCCGACCTGGACTATCACGAGATCGGTCGCTCTATCTCCACCCTCATGTCGAACACGTCGTTCCACAAGGTCGCCTACAAGGCGAACGAGCGTCGGGAGTTGCTCTCGGCCATCAACGAGTTCCTCGACGACTCGATCGTCCTGCCGCCCGGCGACTGGGAGCGCCAGGCCCTGCTGCCCTTCGACGAGCTCAAGGCCAAGAGCGAAGCCATACGCAAGCGCAAAGCCAAAGCCCTGGAGGACAAGCGCAAGAAGCAGACCCAGAGCGACGCCGCCGTTAAAAAAGGTATTGGTACATCCGACCCTCGGCCGTTATTCGAGATTTAATTTAATATTCCCCATTGGTCGACAGCTATAATGGCGGGCGAGGAGGAGAAGAAGCCACCGGACGACTTGGACCCGCTGCGACGCACGCGGCGTCCGTTCGGCTGCCTGATCAACGACATCAAGCGGCGCTACCCGTTCTACGTGTCGGACTTCACCGACGGCCTGAGCTCGTCGTGCCTGGCCGCGGCGATATTCATGTACTTCGCGGCCCTCTGCACGGCCATCACGTTCGGCGGCCTGATGAGCGATAAGACCCACAACGTCATCGGCATCAGCGAGACTCTGGTCTCGTGCTCGATGACCGGCGTCATCATGGCCCTGTTCGCCACGCAGCCCCTCGTCATAATCGGCACGACGGGGCCCCTCCTGCTCTTCGACGAGAGTCTCTACAACTTTTGCGAGGCCAACAATCTCGACTTTCTCACCATGAGGGTCTACGTGGGCGCTTGGATGGCCATAATCGCCCTGAGCATCGCCTGCGTCGAGGGCTCCGTTCTGGTGCGTTGTTGCATCGACTCTATATAATCGCACCGACTTAATTTATTCGTACAATAATAACCGATGAAATTGTCGCAGGTACGGCTCTTTACTCGCTTCACCGAGGAAATTTTCACGGGGCTCATATCCATCTTGTACATCGTGGAGACGTTCATCAAGCTGGTGAACTACTTCAAGCGCAATCCCCTCTGGCCGGAGTACTGCTTCGAGCAGGGAAACTCGAGCATCTCGACGAACGGCAACGACGCAGCCATGTCATCGAGCAGCGTCATGAGCGAGTACGCGGAGTTGATGAGGCGGCCGGCCGTCAACGTCAGCGAAGCGAACGCCCGGCACAGCGAGCTGGCTCTGGCCGGCCTCAACCAGAGCAGCGCCTTGAGCGAGCTCGATCAGGCGCTGAGCTCGTCGCTGCTGTCCGGCCACGACGCTCAGGGCCTCGAGATCAATCAGCCCAACACGGCCCTCATGTGCACGATCCTGTGCCTGGGCACCTTCCTCGGCGCCTACTATCTGCGCATCTTCCGCAACAGCCACTACCTGGGCAGGAGCGCGAGACGAGCCTTCGGCGACTTTGGCGTGCCCATCAGCATCGTGACCTTCGTGCTGATCGATTATCTGGCGGGCGTCAAGACGGAGAAGCTCCTCGTGCCGGAGGGCCTCACGCCGACCGTGCCCAACCGAAGTTGGCTCGTCTCGCCGGTCCAGGGCGACGTGCCCGTCTGGATGGCCCTCGCTTGCTCCGTGCCCGCTCTCCTCGTCTACATTCTCGTCTTCATGGAGACCCAGATATCCGAGTGAGTATACAATATACGTATCCGGCTCAGCTTTGGCAAGTTTATCATTTTTTTGTTCTTGTTTTTCACGCAGACTGATAATCGACAAAAAGGAGCGCAAGCTGCGCAAGGGAAACGGCTACCACATGGACATCGTGGTGGTGTGCCTGCTGAACTTTGGCTGCGGCCTGATCGGGGCGCCCTGGTGCTGCGCCGCCTCGGTGCGCTCCCTGACCCACGTGAACGCGGTCACGGTGATGTCGCGCACCCACGCGCCCGGCGACAAGCCCCACATCGTCGAGGTGAAGGAGCAGCGCGTCTCCTCGCTCCTCGTCGCCATCCTCGTGGGCGTGAGCGTGCTGATGGCGCCGCTGCTGCGACGCGTGCCCATGGCCGTGCTCCTCGGCGTCTTCCTCTACATGGGCATCTCGTCGACCAACGGCGTGCAGCTCTTCGACCGGGTCAAGCTCTTCTTCATGCCGGTCAAGCACCACGGCACGGCCAACTACGTGCGCCGCGTGCAGACCTGCAAGATGCACATGTTCACCCTCGTGCAGATCACCTGCCTGGCCGTGCTCTGGATCGTCAAGAGCACCAAGGCCGCCCTGGCCCTGCCCTTCTTCCTCATTCTCATGATACCGCTGAGGGCGCAGATGCGCCACTTCTTCAGTCCGGCCGAGCTAAGGGCGCTCGACAGCAAGAATCCCGACAACGACGAGGAGGAGCCCGATTTCTACGAGGAGGCGCCTCTGCCTGGTTAAACTGGTCTACTCTGCGTTGACGCCTTAACTCTGCGGCACTCTATACGCTCTAAACTCCTTCTCAGCTGCCTGCGCTACATCAGAACGTCGAATTATGATAAAGCTCCTTCGAATGCTCGTTCGGAAGCTCTTCGTGCGATCTTCGCGCGTCAAGACGTAATTCTACTACGTCCATGTGGCGAGTTATTCGCTCGTCGACACGCGTTTGTGTGTGCCTTACATATGGATTCCTATGTGAATGTAGGGATTGTGCCCGTATAGCCGATTTGCGCAGGTTTACGCGTTTGCGCGCGTGCGACCGCTCCGTTATTATATTATTACTTTTTTCCATCTCTCGCGTACCATCGCCAGCTTTGCATGTAACAATGTACATCGATGCTGGGATTCCTTAAAGCGAAATCTTTACAGGCCCCTTTTACTATCCGACTCCGAAACTATTTTTGACGTTTGATCGATCGCGATATTATCGGGCCCGCTGATTTTTCCTCGCGATGGACTTTGTCGTTTGTTCCAAAATGATTTCAGAAAAATTTTAAGAGTTTTCGTACCATACAAAATCAGTATTGCTATCTTATGACCCCCCAACGGATCTATGATCTATGAACGGATTATTTGTATATGAATGAAAATTAAAGAGCGCTATGATGTAGCTATCTTTTGTACTTACTTGGAAGAGTATTTAACATTTACTTTGAATATTTTAGTTTTTAACACTCGATCACACAATGCGAGACGCGATCGATGAATCATATTTCTGTGTTTTTTTTTTTTTTTTTCATTCTTACGCCTACGCATAGTAAATTTATTAAAACTATTACGGCGTTAAAAGCGGCACCTCGTCATCAAAAACCATAAATTCCAAATGAATAAAAAAAATTTACCATTGTTCGTTGATAATTATAATATGGACGCCCAGCACAAAATCCACACTAATAAATTCGAGTAGCAAAAATTTGGCTTTACGAATCCTAAAGGATACGGCTAAGGACCATTTTTGCCGTTTGAATTTATTTTCGACGTTTTTACGACCGCATATAATATTATTTAACGTGCCTTGAACATTACAATTAATTGTACACATTACGATGGCCATCACGTGCACCTATAATAAATAAAATGTCCTCAACTCTTCTTTACAATTCAGGGTTTTATTATGATTATTGGGCATTATGTCAATATGAACTTTTCAAATTTTGTATATTTTGACTTTGTATTTCCCTTTTTGAACTCTTCAGACTGAAGTTTCGCTTTGGAACTTTTGGTTTAGACCTTTTGTACCCCAATCTCAATTGATTGGGGTATTATATTCAATGGTCACCTTTTTTCGATTATAACGAGGTACTACTGCCTTTAACGTCATAATAATTTAAATATATTAACATGATAATTATGCAAACAAACTTTTAGCTGAAATTTTCCTAATCTCAATGATTTTACTAGAGCTATAGACTGGGTACTGAAAAATCTGTTTTTATCGTCTTCATTTGAAAACTGCAGTCGAGTTTAATTTTTATCAATCTTTGCTCTTACAGTTTATTCAAAATAAAAATATTTATCTTCTTTTGACGTTGATGAGCACGGTGTAAAAAATGTATTTTCATTCGGGTACCCCTAAGTTGATAAAGATTGAAAAGAAATGTCCTTTCTTCGTACTCATCAACATCAAAGATAGATAAATATTTATTTCATGTAAAACTGCAGATTAATTATTCATTGCATACAGTTGTTGCAATCCTAAACGTTTCAGCTAGCTCGCTGCTTCACATATTGAATCATTGAATTTCAATATCTTTGATAGATACGAAAAATCTCACAGGTAAATTCTTTCAATAGACATACTTGTGAATATATTTTTTTATTAATATTAATCAGAAGATGACTCAATATTTTCAGAATGCCTTATTGTAAACGTGTATAACTTGAAAAACTTTGTTATCAATTCTTTTTAGAGCATTCAAAGAAGGTTACGACTCAAAATTTATTTAAACATATCAAAGATATTTATATAAAAATTACTTGTATACAAATAATGTATCTCAGATACTACATAGTGATATACTTGTATTGAATATTTAAAAAAAAGAGGATATTAAGTAAAAATATTAGTTTTTGTTGTATGGATATCACTAAAATGGAATAATTTTTTTAAAATGCACAAATTAACTCATTTGCTGTAATTGATCAAAAATCAATAAATGAATAAGCACATAACTTGACTCTGAACAGTTATAAGCTTTACTTGCATGGCACATAAATTAAATAGGAGTATGAGTCATATTAACTTTTAATTACCAATCATAAAAAATTGTTACGAGTGAAGTATATTTTTTGATGTTTCAAAGTCCATTCATTTTTTATTATCTATATAAATAAATATCTAAATAAAAGAACATCGATATCAGAGCTAATAAATTGTTAATGTAGTTAAAATGTAAAAATGCAAATTATTTTTCTACGATGTAAAACCATGCTATTTATTTATTGCTGCGAGCACATCAAACGATTATTTTACAGTATAAATCTCATTAGAATTTATAAAATTAGTTTATATGATCACATTTGATAAAAAGAGAAAAATGTATTTAATTTGATCCTTTTATCGAAACTTCAATGATTAATTATCAAATAATTTATCTTCCAAGTTTCGAAATTAATGAATAGATATTAAAAATTAATTTAGAATATTTTTGTAAATATGTATATCTGTATAGAAATTGTCTTCATTGATAATTTTTTCGAAAGAAAAACTGATGGCATATAACGAAAAATATAGGCGTGATCTAAGTATTTTTATATAATACCTTGTAAAGGATTAATATTTTCAACATTACATGTATACTGTTATGCTGTTGCATGAACTTGCTTCTAGAAAAAAAAATGATCTGATTTTAAGTAATAATTTAAGTAATTTGTTTATTATTTTTATAATGCTGTTAATTTATCTTTAGTAAATTTAATTCAAAAATATCATAACGCATTATTTTTCTTGAGGAAATAACGAAGGCAGATTAAAAATGAAAATTTTGAAGAATGTCCCCTATACATGATTACGAAATATTTTTCTGGTCATGCTCATAATTAGAGAACAATAAAAACGAACCTTTCATGAATCTCTAGAAAAAAATAACTTTAAGGGAATGCGTTTATTAATCTTTACTTTTATTCTGCTCTTGGTATCCCCTTGATGATAAAAAAAATCAATTAATTCATGTTAACCACGATTGAAAATAGAACTGCAAGTAAATTTAAATTACTCGTGGTTAATGAAAATGAAGCACGTAAAGATGGGAGGAAAAATCTTTGTATTAGTACAATATTGAATAAGTGCATGGTAAATACAAATGGTATTTGTGCCTAAGATGCAGCTGATGATGTAAAAAGTGTGCCAAAGTTAATTATAAAAAACTGTCTGTTGATAATCAAACATCTAGATTTTCTATTTAATTCAATAAAATATTACTGTTTTATTCAAATTGTTAGCATTTAAAAAAAAACTTGAATGTGCACGAACAAAATCAATTATTAATTCATAAAGTACTTGAAAAATAAACTTCTGTCTGCCAGTCTTATTTATATTGGCATAAAAATACTGCCTAATTTAATGTACTTGAAAATGCAAAAAAGCTTAAATTATGCAATAAATTTGATTGTAGTCAATACTGTAGAATATATGAATATGGACACTATTTTTTATGGTTCATTCTATAGCTTCTTGAGTTTTCTTTCTTGTTACATCCATTCATAAAACTTCAAACTCAAAAAATCTAAATTATGTTTTTTTATTTGATTTTTATAATTTAATTATTTTATTAACCATTAAAAATAATATTTCCAATATATAATCTTCAAAATAATCTCTTTTATGAATAAAATTAGATTTGCTTAAAAAAAAGTAACACATTCATATTTAAATGACTTTAATTTTGAAAAGTAGTAAGAGGTACAATAGTTTCGTTAATAATTTCATCAAAAAAAGTATTAAGTATTTATAACAATTTCATATTGACAGAAAAAAGTTTAAAAATGGACCAAGTGATGCAATGTATTGCTTTTGTAATGATAGTCTCGGTAAATGTATAAAATGATAGATAATTCAAAATTTATATGATTGAGAAGATTGATATATTTGACAAAAAAATGTTAAAAACGAATTATGTTAAGATTTTCATGGATAGTTTAATTGCAAAATAAAATATAATCATTGATTGTAACATAAAAGTGTATTTAATCTACAAATTAGAAGGTCTATTTTGAAACCATTTATTGAAAATTGCCTCATGACAGAAAATTAATAATACCATATAGTGAATAGAAATAGACATGAAAATAGTAATGAATCTCCTTGCTTAATGTGATATAAAATTCAAAATAACTTGAACTATTAGCAAACTATAAGAAGAAAATGTTAATAAATCTCCTAAGTAACATGATATCAGTCAAAATATTTTTGAAAATACTAAGTTATTCATTTAAATAATTTATAATAGCATAATTACTTCAATTCAGATATTGATTATTTGTTTACGTTGCTTTAGTTAACTTTTGCAATGTTATGCTTTCAATTGTTGAACTTTATTCATAGTATTAATTCAGTTTATTCATAGTAGTAATTCAGCTGTTACTAGGACTTATTTCATTATTATCAAATGTTCAAGTGAGAAACTGTAAATAAACTTATAACTGTACAGTATTAAAAATTATAAATTAGCAATTGATTTTTAGATAAAACTTTTTTATTTCATATTATTTATAAAATCTATTATATTCCTTTTATTTTCACTATTCCATCACTTATAAAAATACTTTTCAAAGCCTATAGAGGTGCTACAAAAATATAATAAATAATGTTGTTAGCTAGAGAATTGTACATGAGTGTTATGTGATTTGACCTTTTCTATTATTATGGGATACCCACTACAGCAGATGATTATTTCAAAAGTAAATAATCATCTGTATATTGTCTTCATTTCATTTAACGAATTTCAAATTTCATGTAATTAACTTAGATAAAAATTATTAAGTTTTCAATTTCAAGTAGAAATGCATTAAATCAAAAGGTGAACTATAATTGTAATAACACAGTTTAAAAGTGCTAATTATACAGTGATTGCTAGAAAAAAATTGAAAGTTACAACAATGGCTTCCCCAAGACCAGCCATTTCAATTGTCAAATGCCTATCACCCCGGAAATTAACAAATGTAACTAATATAGAGTGAGTCAATAATTTGTCATAGTATTTTTATATAATCCATATCCATATTAATATATAAGATTATATTATTTTGCATGTACAGACGTTTGAATCCACATATAAATCAACAAAATAAATTAACTGTACAAAGGGTTATTCAAAATTCTTTGGGTTCTTTACATTCAAAAATTGATTCACCATATAAAAAAAAAATTATTACTGAAGGTATCACAGATAAAAACTGGACAGTACTTGGTAACGGTGGTTTTGGAACTGTTTATAAAGTTTATTATAAGGGTTTGTTGCATCAATAAAAATTAATTGATAATCAATTTTACTTAATGAGTATTAATAATATTGTAGGGGAAGCTGTAGCAGCTAAAGTAATTAAAAAAAATCAACAGAAAAATTTAATCAAAATCATGGAAAAAGAAGTAGCTTATTTAAGGCATTCAAATATTGTTAAAATTCTCAAAGTTGATGAAGGCCCTGCCTTAACTTTAATTACAATGGAGCTATGCGGTAATTCCCTTCAAGAAGTTTTACAAAAAAATTCAATATCTATTCAACAAAAAATACACATTTGGAAATCTATCTCTAAGGCTCTCATTTACTGTCATAAGATGCATGTCATCCATGCGGATGTTAAACCAAAAAATGTTTTAATGGGTCAAGATAAAAAACCAAAATTGGCTGATTTTGGTAGTGCTGTTTTCACAAATGATCCATATCCATTAAATTTTTTTCATGTAAGTCAAATGATTTTTAGAAAGTGAATCAAAACCATTTCATCAGTTATATTGTCATATTTACAGGGAACTCCTGGGTATGCTGCTCCAGAAGTCGTGCAAAATAAAGCTTTAACACCAAATTCTGATATTTATTCCTTAGGAGTTTTAGCTTGGCAAATGTTAAGTAGAAAATCTCCATTTGAAGGTTTACATAAACACACTATTCTTTACTTAACAGGTAAAGGCATAACGCCACCTGACAAGGAGTTAGCAGATGGATGTAATGGTAAATATAAAGATTTGTACAGAAAGTGTTGGAATGAAATTCCAGAAGATAGACCCAATCTCTTAATCATTATGAATCAATTAAATCAATTGGAAAATAACTGCAAAGAAGCATCTCATTAATTTGTTCAAAGTTTTGATTCATGTTTTATTTTCCTTAAATTTTGAATTAATTACCAAGTATTAAAAAATGACAACTTCTCAGTTTTTATGTATCTGGCATATCTCCTCCAGGTACTAGCTGCAAAATAAATAATATATTTTCAATTATAATTTGTAAACAAAGTTTATAAAGGTATCTTGTTAAATAAATCGTAATAATTTTTACCATAGTGATATTATTTCCGTTAAGAAGAATTTGATCAAGCTTCGTAATTCTTCTACCTTCTGGAGTGATTTCACATTCTGTTACATCTTCCAAAAGCATATTAACAAAATCATCAAAACCGCACAGTGTACCCACAATCTCCTTATCATTTTTCATAATTATATGAATTCTAGACCCTATACATTTATCCACAAGTTCTGAAAATTGGTATTTTTCGATGTTTAAAATCAGTTTTAAAAAATATAAATATAACGAATCAATTGTTTTATTTTTATACCTAAAGGTAGCAACGTCGAAGGATTCGTGTTGACACTGCTGGTACTGGACATTTTATTTCTATTATCTAATTATACGTTTTAACGATAAAAAAGTTTTATTTATTATTATTACTATTATTATTTTGTTATTGTGATAGCACAAGTAACAAAATCATAAAAAAAAGCTTTGAAGTCTCACACTTCACTAAACCACATGAGGTTATGCAAAATTTATGACTTATGTCGCGCCGGTGTAAATTGCATGGCAGTGCCATCGGACAAAGTAAAATGTAACTTAATGTATAACTGTTCAAGTTACCGATGTGCAGTAATGAAGTAAATATAAAAGATGTATTGCGATGAAGGTTTCTTTTTGCAAAGAAGCTTACAATTTTAAATTTGCTCTAAAACTTATGAGAAGTGTATTTTTGAAAAATTTAAAACGTCAAAAAACGCAAAAAAAAGAACAAATATAACACATAAAGGATACGAAAAAAGCTCCACAAAAATAGCTGTATTTTAGTTGAAAATTAACATTTTAAAAAACTTTCAATTAACCGAAAAGTATTTATGAAAAAGTTTATATTCAGATTATCTAGAATCCACTTAACTACACAAAAGCACCAGAAGTGAAACGTCACAGCCCTTTCCCTTGGTTGAATTTTCTTTCTAGAATTTAATTCAACTTTCCTCGATTTGGAATGTTTTTTTTTTCCTTATATTTTGATTTGTGCTGCAGTAAGAGGGGGGTGGTAAGTGGTAACACAGTCTCGACGCGAGAAGAAAAACGAAAACTACGTATCTCGTTAAACTACGAACATTTATAAAACATGATTATTCTTAGTTTTCGTTTTTCTTCTTCAATAATGCATAAAATTGGATGAAACTCGACCACAATGTTAATAAGTGTAGTAGAAATGTGCGTCCACTCGAGAACTGGCGAATGACACTCTCAACTTTTCAGATTTAACATATAAAATTGCTTGATAGCCTGGTGTTACCGACTGAGCGTGTGTATAGCGGACCCTTAATAGCGGACACCTCTGTTAACGGGCACTTCTTTCGTACATTTCAATCATTTTAACGGGCACCGAATGATGAAATATTGAGATGAACTTACAAACATTTTGAAAAAATCATCAAAAACCAAAAAATATCCGCAATTTCATACATTATTGATTATTAACACTCATTTGTAATTCATTATGAAGTAATGAATGCATAATAACAGTATTTTTAATTTTATATCATTATAGTTTTATCTTAATTTTCTGTCTACCTCTGAAAAGCGGTCACCTCTCAATAGCGGACAAATTCCTCGAAACTATCAGTGTCCGCTAAAGGTAGGTTTCACTGTAGATATGTATACTATTTTTCATGAATCCACCAGCAGAAATTAACTTTTTCGTTTGGTGGCTGCGCCAAAAAAGGTTACTATCGTCTGAGGTATCATGAAAATAAGTTTACTTCAAAATGCTATGGAAAGGGAATACATCTGAGATTCAGAAGGGTCCGGTGAACTTTGCACCCGCGTGAATAGGTAAAGAATGGTTGGTGATGATTTTCGCGCGCTCTTGCTGATTGTTTACCACGCTGTTCAACCAGCCTAAAGAAATTGCACTTCAAAAATAAATTTGTAGAATGCAGTACTTATCTGACTTCATGAACTTTCAAGTGAGTAAATGATTATCAATAAATGCAATGTTGTTCAATATCCTGCAATGTCTAACAATTCCAATTGTTAACGAGCTGAGAAATCGGAGAAAAATTCGGAATTAAAGAGATACGCAGTGGGTCCCGAGGGGATGTTCAATGGAACAACCAGTTTCAAAATCTGAAAGTATAAAACAGCTTTTTTATGATAAATTGAGTAGGTACACATTAAACAATGTTATAACTGTTGCTTTTTGAATCTAACATCGTGACGTCATAATGCTAAAATCTAGATCGCAATGTATGCATCCGCTCTCTTTCTGACCGTTAAAATAATAGACATATTGTTCTATAAGGACCAATACGCTTTTGCATTTTAGGACGGCCATTTTGCTACATGATGTTATAATCGATCTCATTAACTAATTTATTGGTTAGAGTATCCACTAATGTTCTATGGATTTATATACCTTTCACTTTATTTCTGAAAAAGTAAATCATCGATAAACTCTTAAATAACTTTTTTTAAAAAAAATTTTTAAAAAGTATATTTTAATCAGAAAATTCATTTTATCTTCGAAAATCCGTAATAACATAAAATATATATTTTTGTAAAATTGAAGATTAATAAATTAATAAACAATTATTAATAAAGAATTTATTTTATGTACTATACTTCAGACTATTTACTATATTTACTATACTTTAGAATTTATTTATTTTATTTACTGTACTTAATCTTCTGATTTTATTTCATGAAGTATTACCTTAATGTATGCCGGCTCGTAATTCACTCATTTTTTTTGTAAACTAACCTTCATGTTGAACCAACGACGATTTAAATAAGTAGTACGATTCACAATACACGATTTACGATAGATGAATATACAAATAAGAAGTTTACAAATATTAATAATTAAATAAACTAAATATTTTGTTCGTGAAACAAACATTGAGCTAAATAACCAGTCATTTTTAAGTGTATTTATTTTTTTCAATCATGTGGCGAAGCAGTTTCGATGATGTTAAACGTATGAATAAACGTCAAGTAAGTAAACACCAAAAAACAATGTACATCGATGAGTAAAAATTTCTCTTCATCTTAATCAATTATTACATAGATCGAATCAAATATCTAAATTCGTTTTATTTCTAATTAAAATGAAAAATTGTCATGTATCGAAGACATTACATGACAGATTTTGTAATAAAAATATGAGAATAATGTTCAAAGTGCCATGGTCTTGAACATATTGTTCAATTGGAAAAAAATGATTGAAATTTTCAGAGCAATTTATGCCAGTACCAATGTTCTTTTAAATTTACTTGATCAATCAACTATTTATTTCACATATGTTAGCTTATATTATTAGCAAAACAATTTTTAATTAGATTCATAGAATGCAAATTAATTTTTAAAAATAATAATAAATAAACAGAACCCTTCCCATGCCTTTTTTTTAAATTTTGAATAGTCAAATTTTAATTAGTAGTAGTATTTTTAAAAGTGCAATAAAAAAATTGCATTGATTACTGTGAATTCTCATGGAAAAAAAAACAAATCATGATCATTTTTATCAGTTTTTATTTATTTTTATTAAAATAAACCAAACTGACAAAAATAAGCTCTAAATGTAAAGAAAATTATTAATGTAAATAGATATTGATATTAATTTTAATATGTATAAGAATTCAAACACATAAGGTATTGAATAATTTTCTTTTTTGTGCACTTATTTTCTATTTATATTTTTCCTTCGCTTTATGTTTATATGAAAAATTATTAGTAAGAGCTCATCTTATGAAATGAGTAACTGTACATCCAAAAGAGTCAAAAGAAAAATATTCATTAATTGATAAAGAATGATTCTAAACTAGAGGCGTAATCCGATAAGATTATTTGAATTGTTTTGTGAGAATATTATAAAAAAAAGTAAAACTAAGAGAAAATAAAAATTAAAAAAAATATATTAAAATTAAGATAAAAATAAATGCAGTGCAACAATGTACATCTGACTAGCATTGATTTTGAAATAGTTTATTACACCTGTATATAGGAGTTAAATGCATAATAGTAGTTATGTTCCAGAGTAAATATTAATCAGATTCTAAGTCTTCAAGCTCAAACTAGCAAGTATTTTGTTAAACTCCAATTGCAATAGGAATAGATAGATTAGTGATTTTGTATTTCTACCACCACTGAAACTGCTAATGTGTTGTAAAAAAAGTATGGAAAAAGATTTGATGAAGAAGTGAATGTGGTAAAAATATTTAACATATTATTAGAAAAAAGAATTATTCCCTATTGTCTAATAATTAGTCTTAGAGATCAGAGTAGTGAGTCAGAAAAGTGAGGCTCTCTGACACCCATATGCTAAAATCAGCTCAAGACACAAAAATATGCATTAACACATGTGACTTGAAATATTTAAATGAAAAGTTCTTTTGTTTTTCTTCTTCTAAATAAAATTTGTGACAAATAGTAGGGAGTAGGGTAGTAGTTAAGTTCAAGTTTCTGCGCAAAAAATTGTCAACATGAAATTTCTGTGGAAGAAGTAAATAATGCCCTGATGCAAAGGTTTGTTAAAAATGATCATAAATCAAAAAATACATTTTTGCATCAGTTCATCGATTGCATATAATTATATGCTCATCTTATGCATAAATACACTCCGCAATAAAATTATTGCAAGGAAAATTTTTATCAAAATTTTGTCAATTTTTATATGCTTCTTTCTTCGTCTATTTTCATACTATCGGAACCAATTTTTTTCGATTCCTTGGAAATTTTTTCCTTTTTCAATTCATATATACTATAAATAGGCTCGAGCTAACATCAAATAACCAGTTGTATTTGAGCGCAACGCTAAAAATGACTGAAAAAAATCTATTTAGCAACGTGCATCTGGAATACAATAATTTGTTCATCAAAATCGAGGAGCGCGTGTCGCGCTCCACCTGGCAAGTGTGACGAACTAAGTGACGACACGCCGCTACACATATACAGCGCCTAAATTCCCGCCAACTTTCTTTTCGCTCTCATTTGAATTTGATTAGAGATATCGAAAATCTGATAGGACCATCAGATTCCTTGAGAAAATAAAATGATGTGAAATCGTTTTTATATTTCTCTAATATTTTATGAGATATTGAACCATTGTATTGTTAATAACTAATTCTGACCCAGTCGAATCGATACCCCCCCCACGATATTCGTAATCAGCAATCAAAAATACATCGATTACGCTATTTTGAAAAAAGGTTACACAAATTGGCTACGGGAACCCTTATGTCGCCCTGACTATAATTTAGTGACTAAAATTTATTTCTCACTGATTATATACAAATATAATAACTTTTTTCTTACTCATTTTTTTTTTTTATCTCTGAAACCATTTTAATACACTTATAATAAATTTTTTAGAGATTTCGATAAAATATCGATTTGTGATCAGAATCTGTTAGATATGTGGTGAAACATTTTGTGTTTTGGCTTTCTGTCCCCAAATTCTGGTAAATGTACGTGTTCAACATGTATAGCAATAAGTTGGTGATTTTCCTATTTTGTTATATAAACCAATACTTTTTGCCAAAGTCTTGCTGCCCCAGATGTTTTGTAAATTCAAATATTACAAATATTTTAAAAATTTACTTGTTGTTTGGCATTTATTACGTTGAAGCTGTGAAAGGTAGTGGGCAACATAATTGGAATAGGTAAACCTCGAAGATATTTTTTAGTGTTACTCATAATTAATTCAAAAATGTAACTAATTACACAGGCACACAAGAAGAAAAAAATCATCAATTTCAAAGACCGGACCTAGTGGACTTTATGTTTTTTAAGTCGCTAAATCCCAATATGGTGTCGATTTTTCAAAATCATATCGATTTAAGGTCATTTGAAGGTCATTCAGATGTCAAATCATTAAAAAAGGTTAAAAAGTCTAAAATGAGTCCTATATTGGTTTTCGAGGATGCTGAATTCAAATCTGAAGTCAGATGAGCTCTACGAACCTACCGTCAAGGTCATTTAAAAGTCAAACTTAGAGAATTCAATATAAAAATCCGAAAAATATCACATTTATGTTTTAAGGGTCTCTCAATCTCACTTTAAGTTCATTTTGACTATACCTGGTCATTATAAGATCAATTTAAGGTCATTTAAAGGTCACTTTAAAAGCGAATCTGGTAAACGCGATAAAATAACAGAAAAAGACTGTGTATAGGTTTTGGGAGCTGATTAATTCAGCTTTTTTATTGAGTGACCTGTAAAAAGTCAAGATTGAGGTTATTTGAAGGTTAAATTAATACAAAGAATACAAAAATTGATGAAGTATTCGTAATTTTGCATGCCTTTTTACTCTTTTTTTGTGTAACGCACCTTGTCTTCTTCAAACGATCAGCATGAAGGTCAGCATTTGCGTTTAATTCCTCTACGTTGGTTGTTTCTCTCTTTCTCTTCAACATCCAGCAGTAATCAGCCATCATCGCAAATTCTATCTACATTGATATCGCTGCTCCATATGTTTTATATCTTGATGGATCCATTCTCCTTGCTCGTCGCTAAAATTTCCAGTTTTACAGGGAATACAGTTTATAAGATATAATACATTCCATTTCGCCAAAATGTTTTACCATCGTAGACATTAAAATTTTGCTATAATCGCTTCTGTGATTACCTTAAAAATGTTAAAAGCTACCCCACGCACCGTGGTCCATCGAATATTTCTTCTTACAACTTTGCATCAGATTTATGAGAAAACTTAATTCTAAATATTTGTAGCATTCATCATGAAATTGCGGAAAAATGGAATGGCTTGTAAACTGTATTCCCTGCATAATAATACAGATCAGTTCCCAGAAAACTTTGGATATTTTAGCGACGAGCAGCGATATCAAGATAGATAAGTTTGAACTTAAAATGACCTTGAAAATGAGATCATAGAGGTCATCTGATTTTAGATTTGAATTCAGCATCCTCGAAATCCTGAATAGAAGTTTATTCCAATTTTTCAACCTTTTTTTCATGATTTGACCTTTAAATGACCTTCACATGACTTTAAATCGATCTGATTTTTAAAATCCGAAACCGGATTCGGATTCAGTGACCCTCAAAACATAAAGTCCACTAGGTACGGTCTCTGAAATTGAAGATTTTTTTTTGTTTTCCTGAGTTAATAATTTAATTAAGAATTGTGAGTAAATTTTTAATTAATAGCATATTACGAGCCAACAGAGCGAAAAACTGGAAAGCCAGATAAACAAGTTTTGACTGGAGAGTAAAATGAAAACTCAGCTTTAATTATTAATTCAACATTGATTTTTAATTTAAATTTTGTTCGATGAAGATGTTTTGGCCTTATACCACACATCGAACATCAGGTCGAAAATGAGGTCTTTGAACTAGTCAAAATTTTACCTTAAGTTTATAGATCAATTTCACTCTATTAAATTTTCAAAACATCAATAAAAGTGGTGACCATAACTGCGACTTCCAAAGGAAATAAATTGTAAAAAGTACTCACGTTTATTGATGTGAAACATCTTTATTGGCGTTTGGCATGGAGGGTAAACCCGTGAAAAACGAGCGTCCGTCCGTACGAGCGAGCGCAACTTTGGTAGTATAAGTGTCTATACACGGAAAAGTGATTGGCTCTTGAAAGATGAAGCTATGAGAACTACCCAACACGATGCAGACTTACACCACAGGAGGTCGTGCCGATTAACCTTTTCTGAAGCTGTTTTTCCTTTTAGAAAGTCAAATTTGTTAAAATGTTTATGAATATATGTAAATAGTCATAGCTTCGCTAGCCTTTGCTAGCCTTTTTAGGACATTAATGGAACTATAGTAAACACCTCAAGTAAAATTTGAACAAGTTATATTTAAAAATATTAAATCATTGAACTAATGTTGTCACACGTCGACAATGACATATCGTCGTTGCTTTTCTGTTTTTAATCGTTGACTCATAATGGAAGTGTCCACTATAAATAATTTTATTAATATTTTGAAGAGGTTAACCTGGTAGAAATGCAATTCGCCATTCTTGGAACGCTTTTTCAACATTAATGGTCATTTAATGGTCACTAGTCATTTAGTAACCATAAATTGAAAAAAAAGTGTCACAAATTGCCCTTACAATGTTGACTATAACATAAACGTCATGTTCTTTGACATGATTATACGTTTCGTAGCACTTTAACCTAAATAATATATAAAGGCATAAAATTTTTCATTTTAGTTAGATGAAAATTAGTAAATTTTTTGGCCCTTCACCTAAATTCATTTTTGAACATTTTTATACACTTTTTTAAAATTTTGCGAAATTAGCAACTTTGGAAATTTTTGTAACCACAAAAGTTTATAGAAGAACTGAAATTGAACCTTTAATTGTCATTTTTTTTATCTTATTTGAGAAATTTGCATAGTTTATATATTTGGTCTTAAAACATTACAGAACTTATCCTATCAAAATTTTTTGCAGTTCTTATATCAAGTTCTTAGTTTTGGAATGATTGTTTCATCAGCTCTTATGATCTGGAAAGGATTGATGGTTGTAACAGGTAGCGAAAGTCCTATAGTTGTTGTTTTGAGGTACGTACAATAAATTTTATCTCTAAGAAAATACGTTTCTAAAATAATTAAGATTGTCGTTATGACTCGTGACTATTTAATTCACAAACTTAATTAGTGTAAAAACATTGATCAAGCATAATTCAGTTCGAAAAAATTTCTAAACAAAACTAAATACACTATACTATAATATGTGCTAAATTTGATAATGCCCCATTGCCACGCACAAGCAGCCACGACGGCCTAATTACTCAGTTTTCCACTCGCCTGCAAACGGTCAAATAGTATTTATTAAGGAGGCTCTTTTAATTCAAATTTTCATTCATGTTAAATTCATGTTAAATTGGTTTCCAATATCGAGTAATGATATAAAACTTATTTTTTGTAAATCTCTATCACCTCATATTTTATACTTATGACTGTTGTATCTTTTAATAATGTATAAAAATTTCTTTCAGTGGAAGTATGGAACCTGCTTTTCACAGAGGAGATTTATTATTTTTAACAAATCATGCTGCTGAACCAGTAAGAGTTGGTGAAATTGTCGTCTTCAAAGTCGAAGGTCGAGATATACCAATCGTGCATAGAGTAATGAAATTACATGAAAAGTAAGTATTTTGCAAATAATATTAAATTTCAAACAATTAAAGAATAAGTAATATCTAGCTAATTCTAATGGTCCCAATTTGGAACCTATTGACAATTTAAGAATTCTATTCTATTCATGTACATGCGTACGACGCACGAACGCATGCGATAATTGTAGGTACTGTGCCTCAGCAGCATCTGTTTGCGTTGCGTCTTATAATTGCGAAGTAATATGAGAGCTGGAGGGGCTAAAATATGGCCGTTCTATTAGCCACTCCTTTACTAAAGGCATAGGACCGGCGATTAAAGCGGCCATCTAGAAGGCTCACATTACTTTCCCATTGGTCAGTATGCGTGTCAAGACTCTGCTAACTCCCCTCTACTGCGGCTCGTAACATAGATGAGTGTGCTTGGCATGCCTTTGTAGCGTCTATGTACCGCTGTGTATTCCTGTCTGTCTGTCTCTTTCTCTCTCTCTCTTTCGCTCGCTCGCTTGTCTCGCGTACCTGCACAAATTCGTGCTTATTACTCGATCGCAACAAATCCATGACTCGCTGAATTAGCCTTTTTTTTGTACACGTTTGGCCACTAGGGCAGATGTGTGTAGTAGACCGGTTGTTATTTCCCTAGTTGTTCCGATCTTCGCTGTAGACCTTGACACTGGTTCCTAGGGTTTAAAAAATGAGAAAAATACGTACACGAGTCCAAAAGGTAACAAACGAGTGCCGAAAAAACCAAAATCAATTTTCAAAAAGTTTTCAAAAAATTCTGAAAATAATTTTTTCATATTTTTTGACTAATTTTAAGACGTTTTTGTTCTTTGCAATTTTTACATGCTTCTATCTCGATATAAAAATTGGAAAGTTTAAAACGGTAGTTTTTTATGTTCGAATTTCATGATGAACAAAAATTTCTCATTATGTTTTTAAACTTTGCGATTTTCTATATCAAGATAGGGTAAACTGCTCAGTTAATAATCGAATTAATGTTTTTCAGCGTTAGAAAAACTAGAAAAAATGAATGATTGCGTTTAGAAAAAAATAAATAGATTATCGCGTAGCTAATTAAATATTAAACCAATTAAAAATACCTAGTTATATTTAGAATCCATTAAAAACGCCAACGTCAGCCGCTCGAACTAATTTTTTTCTTATGATAGTTAACATGTGAAAACGCCACGCTGCGCTAAAGCTCGGAGCCAATGTAGATATATATCAAATACGCAGAGAGTCCGACACACATCGGCCACCTAACGGTCAATCTTTTTCGGGGACATTGCCTAATGGCTCCACGCACGTATTATATATATGGGTTATATCACTAAAGAGCTGATAGTTCAAAAAATGAAATTGAAACAAAGTATGTACTCTTGGAGAGTACACTGAAAAATGAAAATCCTGAAAATTTCAGCCCTATCGGTTCATCCCTCATGGATCTTCAGGGTCTCAAAGTTTGAATAGAATTTTTCAAATTTTATTTCGATTTCCTGGAGTGAATTCGAAAAAATTGTTCAACCATGATTATTGATGTAAAATTTGACGAGGAATCGGAACAAAAGCTTGTAAATATGATTTTTGATAAACATTCTGAATTCCTTCAGAATTAATGTGTATTCAGAATTTTGCATGAATCTTTGTCCTGCTCTAGATTGAGCTAGGAGGTTTCAATCGGAAATTTGAAACGGTCAAAATTTATTAAATTTTGACAAGGAATTGAAAAAAAATATTTTCCAATTTTTTAACCTGAACCATCGGGTTCTAGGAACCTTTTTTAGTTAAAAATAGATTTTTTTTGGCCCTAGAAGTTATCGCCTTCAATTAAAAAATCTGAAAAAATGTGAGGTTATGTATCTTCTTGAAAAAAACAAGAAAACAACTTTTTTTTTAGATTTTTTGAGGCTCCGTATCGTCATAAAAAAATTACTTTCGTTAAAAAAAAGGGTATTTTGGCTTCAAAAGGTGCGTTCATATCTCTAAAAAAATTTGAAAAAATTTGACGTTACTTTTTTTGTTGAAATAAAAAAGTGAAAAAATTTTCGAATAGCTTATTGCATTCTAACGCCGTAAATGAATTTTCAAAATTTTCAATGATTTTTTTCTGAAGGCCTGAAGCACTCAAAAAATCTGAAAAAAATTCAAGGTTGTTTGAATTGTTAAAAAGAATTTTTGTGAATTTTTTCAGATGCTTAATTGCTTCAGGGCTTCAGAAAAAATATAGATAGAGAATGGACGTTTATAGCGGAGGAGGGGGGTAGTAGGTCCAAAATTTTGATTTTGGCACTTTTTTAATCATGTAATTCATACCAAAAGCGCGTCAAGATCGATGATATACGTGCGGACGACAATTTAAAAAATTATTATTTTGATCCATATATACAGGGTGCGGCAAAAGTATGGAGACACCCGAAAATTTCGCATAATAAGCGTAGAAAAAAAATCAAAAACGTCATAACAGACATATTTTTCGACGAGGAATCCAATGGTGACCTTGAATTTGACCTTGAACATAACCTTCAAGCTCCAGCGACCCAAAAATCGATTTTTCAAATGGAACCCCCATTTTTTATTGCAGATTTGAAAAGAGCACAAAATTTTACGTTAAAACATGTATTTTGTTTTTTTTTCAAGGTCATTTTAAGGGCGTTATAGACGAAAATAAAACCCCAATTTAACCTAAAATTAAGTTCAAGTAAGGGCTTTTTTTCTCATTGTACCGCCTCCTAAATGACCTTAGAAAAAAAAACAAAATACATAGTCAAACGTGAAATTTTTTACTCTTTTCAAATCTGTCATAAAAAATGGGGGTCACCGTGCGAATAATCGATTTTTGGTTCACCGTAGCGTATAGGTTATGTTTAAGGTCAAATTGAAGGTCACCATTGAAAAGAGCGGAAATTTTTACGTGAAAATATGTATTTTATTATTTTTTTTAAAGTCATTTTGGAGGCAGTACAATTAGAAAAAAAGCCCTTACTTGAACTTAATTTTAGGTTAAATTGGGGTTTTATTTGCTTCTATAACGCCCTTAAAATGACCTTAAAAAAAAAATAAAATACATGTTTCAACGTAAAATTTTGTGCTCTTTTCAAATCTGCAATAAAAAAGGGGGGTTCCATTTGAAAAATCGATTTTTGGGTCGCTGAAGCTTGAAGGTTATGTTTAAGGTCTAATTTAAGGTCACCATTGGATTCCTCGTCGAAAAATACGTCGGTTATGTGGTTTTTGATTTTTTTTCTAGGCTTATTATGCGAAATTTTCAGGTGTCTCCATACTTTTGCCGCACCCTGTATACAGTTTATATAATAGCGGAAAGAATTTTGAAATTTCGCGCTTTGTGGACAGCTCGTCCGACGTGAGTTTCGTAATTCTGATGTCAAAGCGCTACCAGTACTTTTCACCATATAATACGAGAGCAAAGTTTTCTCCGGATAACTCTGATTCTAACTTCATCAATTTTATTAATGTGTTTAAGACCTTAACGATTTTTGTTTTTGTTTCAGAAATGAAAATAATAACACTGTCAAATTTTTGACGAAAGGAGATAATAATTCTGTGGACGATAGAGGTCTTTATGCGCCAGGGCAACTTTGGTTGACAGAAAAAGATGTTGTTGGAAGAGCGCGAGGTTTCTTACCTTACGTTGGAATGGTTACAATTTATATGAATGAATATCCAAAATTCAAGTGTGCCATTTTAGCGTGCCTTGGAATGTATGTTTTAGTTCATAGAGAGTAAATGAATAATTACCACTAAAAAAATATGTGATGAACATTTTATTCGTTCGATAAAAATGAAAAATAAAAAACTAACTTTTTAATAAAAAAATTTACATTTTATTCTATACTTTTGTTTGTGGCGCATTCAAATAGAAAATTATCATTCAATCTTCAATCCTTCATTTCGCCTTCTTCATCTTCTTCGTCTATACCTCGTATGTATAAAACGTTGTTGCATCTAATAAGTACTTCCCCAAGAGTACCAGTGCAAGCTCCATCGATATGTTCTTCCGTATTAGCAAGTTGCACATTCATGTAACCATCAACTGAAACAAGATAACCTTTGTATTCGTGTCCCCATTTTAATTTTACCATAACTGGTTTTCCGGTAAGTCCATTTAGAAAAGGCTTAGGGTTTATTGGCATAGTCGCTGCCATTGTGAAATCTGTAAATAATTAAATTAATTAAACTCAAATTGTATTACTTAAGTACATATAGTCTATATAATTGGTAAACTGAAAAAATTTGAGGTTGTTTTTCAATGTGATAAAAAACTAAAAAAATTGTCGAGATTAGTATCGGTTCATATCGGACTTTCAAAGTGTTCAATTATTTTATCTAAAGCTCTGAAGCACTCAAAAAATCAGAAAAAATGCATGGTTTCGTTGAATGGTACCTTCATGGATTTTTTTTAAATTTTTCAATAGCTTCAGGGGTTCAGAATATATACATAGAAATAGAAAATAGATGTTTGTAGAGGGGGGAGGGGAGGGGGTCTACTATAACACCAAAAGCGCGTCCAGAAAGGTGAATATGTGCTCACAGTTTTGTAAAAAAATATTATTTTGACCCATAAGCAAAGTCTTTTCAAGGCCAAAAATATGGGAAAAAAATCGCGTCAAAGCTAATTAGAAATTTCGTCATTTTGAGTGTTAATGAGTGAACTAGAAAGTTGAGGGGATTGTAACGCTATTGAAACTTATTTTCAATTACTCTGATAAAACCTTTAAATCTCATACGAAAAGCTACTCATCACACCCCCACATGATACTCATTTTACCCTAACGACGAGGTCATAAAGGTATTCTTGAATTATCAATACCTCGCAATTCAAAGATTTTAGCAACTTTGTAGCTTCATTAGTGAATAGAAATTGTAGTTTGATCATTTTCCAAGCGATTGACATAATTTTCATCATTTTGTTTACTATATGAATAAAAATGATCATGAAAAATTTTTGTACCCATCCTGTCCCAAGTTCCTCAACAGTGGGTTAAAGTTGCTAATATAAATTATTTATACACATTATCAAGTTTAATTCAAAAATAAAAAATTATGTGCACTATCAAAAATCATTTGATCCAAGATTATAAAAGATATATTGGGTTATAAAAAAATATTTAGATATTATCAATACTATAGTGGGTTGCATGCAGTTGTCTGTAAGGGAAAAAAGTACTTTATGATACTGGAAGATACCATATCTTTACTATCATATAAAATATATCCAACTTTGACTGTAAATCATAAGAGTTCATGTCCGAACACTATAAATATTACACTATAAATTAGATTTTGAAATTCATAATTTATTAAAAATTTGATTTTTCAAAGTATTTACAGTATGAATGAAGCCAAAAAAGAAGTCGTGAGGGTTGTGAAACGTAAATTAGATATTGTTTAAAAGTAAATTTATATCAACTTTTGTTCTAAAACTTTTTTATTAAAAGGCCTTGACTACAATTTTTCTCATGTAATAAATTTTTTATGATTAACTCTGTAGATTACTTTTAGTTTCATAAAAATTTTTAAACATTCACATGGCTCTTTTCAAAAGGTTTGAAAATGTTAATATTTTAAAAACCTAAAAACTCTTGCAAATTAATTATATGTCTATAATAAAGGATGTTCAGAAAAAAAGAGGCTAGACATTTTTTCTAAAAATTCATTCATTAAAAAAAAAAAATACTAATTCTGATTATTCGACAAAAATCCCTCAACATTTTTTCAAGGGTGAAATTTGATAACCAAAAAGATTAGATAATTGGGGCCAAGCAGGTTAAAGAAGGAAATTTTTTAAATCTAAAATAGTTAATGCCTAATGAATGTTATTTACAGAAGGAAGTTGGTTTGCTTTTACTATACTGGACTCAAAACAACGAAAATTGCTCTATAAAATCATAATTAACAATTATACATTAGTTTTACAGATGAAATAAAAAATTGATTTCGAACTTGTAACAATATTCATTGATAACTTTGAATATTAGTAAGACTCATATGATGTTTTCCACAGTGATAAAATCAACTGATATTCATTGTAAAAATGTGTAAAAGAAACCAATTATTGTTCTAAGAACTTTTGGTACAGTACAAAGTATTTAAATAAAAACAGGTTATACTTGAAATTGTTATGTATTACAATAATTCTGAAACTATATTTGCAGTCCAAAGTAACCCATACCATTATTGTTTCGCGTAAGCGAATTGGTATCTATTGTTATACAAAGATGAGTTATCTTAGACTGTAAATAGACAAATTCTAATTTTACATAAAAGATTGAACATACGATCGTCCAAGGGAAATGGGTAAGATAATAATTTATGTTCTACATATACCATGAAATAAACATGATAATTCTGCCATTTTAAATGGTTTTTGTAAAATTTCATATTTAAAATAAATCTAAAAAGAATAACAAAAATACTTAAAATAAATTGTAATAATGTTACGATTACAGAAGTAATCTACATTTTATAGTTAAATAGCATTGCACAAATAGCACAGAGCTCTTAAAAAAATATACTTCTATTTTGTTTCATATAATATGCAAAAAGTGGTCCTGAAAATGTTAGTATTAGATTAAAAGATTAAAATATCAAACTTTTTTAGACCTCCTTTGTGAACCTTGTGGTCATACAAAAAAATATAATACTTATCAAGTAAATGACTACCCAGGTATCACTATGAATATCATTTCGTTCATGAATTGAGTAGAAATCTACATAATAAATTACTTAGAGAAATATAAAAGAGTTTATATTTTGGCAAAGAGTAAAGAACATTATTTCAAATTTAAGAATTGATATTTTGATAAAAAAAAATTATCCAATCATTATAAGAAAAAATTATAGACATATTATCAATTATAAATCTATTGCCTTGTTGTATATGTTTTAGGATCTAACCTTCAAAGTAAGAAATGGTTAGTGGAAACTAAAATGGAAAAGTTTACTCAGATCTTCTTATTTTTATCACTTGACATTTGATGTCTTTCGATTTTTTTGTCTAAATAATAATGTTTACAATATTATGAGAATAATTTTAAAATATATGTTTTATAAATATTTCTAAGATGATGTTTAATAAAATGGTTAATATATGTAATATAATCAATTGTTATCTAACTTACGATTTAGATAGTTGAGAATGAACAAATTTAAAAACACACTGATGTTTGTTTACGGAAAACAACACACATTCAATTCAAATTCTGTAAGAAAAAACTGAATAGCGAGTGTACTGCAGGTTTTGCTTTCATCAAAAAAGAATTGGGAACTGAAATGTACCGTTGCAAGTTGGCAACACCTCGTATTAAGTATCACCGTAACCCATCATCTGTTAAATGATGAAATGAATTTATTTTATTATTAACTTATTGCGCAAGTTAGACGCGTTTAAAAACCGTTTTAAAAAATAATTGCGCGTTGCCTCCTTTTTGATAAATAAAAAAATTTATCTACGGCTGCAATGTTTTTAAACAAAAATTTTCAATCAAAAATTTTCAATCAAAAATAATCATTTTATATGTACATAATTAATACAATCGACAGCACGTCTTTCGATATAGTGGGTGATCAGAATGTCAAAAATATTAAAGAAATTTATATTTCTATCGATAGAAAACTATAATTGCATATTCTCAACGATTTCCCGGTAATGCACAATGCGTTGAAACACGATTAGTCATGATATGGATTTCTGTATGCTTATACATGTTTCAATTCCTGTTCCTAGGAATAAAATTAATCGTTGGGTATAACGTGTGTATCACATTCATTCAAGATTGCTAGAGAGATCTCATGCCACAAACTCACGTGATATCTTAAAAAATTACGTTACATTATATTACATTACATTGTATTACCCATTCATTCAGGGTGGGAATAATTTTTGTATCGCGACAGGAAAGAACCGAACTAAACTTGATCTAAGATGGTATTATGTCGATCGTACAATCGTGCAACTCCCTTAATGTTTCACAATTTTGAATCACTTCACTTCTGCTCTTACGCTATCCAATATTTGAAAAGAAAGAAAAATAATATGAAATATATGTGATAGAAAATTAATTTTCAAGCACAATAAAATAACACGTTATATAAAATTATAGTAATCCATTCAAAATGAATTTCATTAACAAATTTTTAAGACATAGTTCAGATAATTTTAAGAATATATTTATAAGAAAACAATATATGGTAAGTTTCTTATTTACTTCGTATATCGTATTTTAATAGAAACTGAATTTAATACAACATTTTTCTATTTAATGATTGATTAATGAATGACACTAACGCTACTTTGAATGCTGATATACTAAATTCAGTTTCTACATTTTTTTTTAACTTGCAGCCTTTTTTGTAATTCATGTTTGCCAAATTTTACATTGTATAAAGTAATGATTGAACTATTTACATGTAAATATTTCTATTGTGTAGGCTCTACTAGCAATGAATTATTGTACTATAAAAATTCAAAGTAATTTTAAAATTTTGAGTTAATATTTACTTTGATTGAAGATACCTTAGATAGAAGATTGAATTGTTTTGATACATCCTTTATTAATGTTTTCCTACAATAAAATAAGTTTAGAATCATTATGAAATTAGCTTCTTTATCTTTCAAAAAGACAAAATAAATCAGAAATAGTAATAACTTACATATATAGAACCTACATAGTTATTGGTGAATATAAATAAATATATGTTTTTCTCTAACAATCAGTTTTATAAATTTCAAGGTATATATTTTTACGTATAATGTTGTAATTAATTTGCGATAAAGAAATCTCAGAGTCCTTGATGGCTCAGTATCGTAGTTAAAACTGGATAGTTTGTGTTTTTCAAATTTAATAGGTTTTTTAGTAATATTACCAACTTTATGAAGTTAAATGCGCTTCATCACTTAATAAGTTATAGTTTTTAATATTAGATGATGCATCAAGAAATTATTTTATCATTCTGCATAATTTCTACAAGTGAGCAGAGTGAGATTTCTTCTCAAGTAATCAAAAATTGTCGCGTTCACCCTATATTCTCTTTGTTCAGCTTATCATAGAGATTAAAAACTTTATATTTTTTGATTTTAAAACTTTGTTTTTCATCTTGTTGAATGTTGAATGCTGAATGTTTACCCCTATACTTCCATCTTTTTTTTATAATTTTAATTAGTCTTATAAACTACAGTATTTAATTCATACAATCTAAGTTTTCAATTCAGACCCACTTACCTTTGTTTGGATACTTGAAAATCGTTGGAAATATGCCGTTTTACATTTTCTTCCGTTATCTTCTATTATCTTCCGTTAATCTTATAAATGAGCTGGAAAAGATAATAACATAATTGCCCGTAGACATCCGTAAAAAGCTCGGAGCTTTTCAACTCTCCCGTAGATACCCGTCTTCACGTAAAAACTTTCAAGTTAATTTCAAATCTGGAAAGAAGACTGATTTTTAGATTTTAAAAGTTCCAAAATGGAACTTTCATTAGTAAATTTTATATCAATGTGAGATCTATACATAGATTTTATTCGGGATTTATATGAATTTCATATCTCAGTTAAAAAAATTTATGGGTTTCCGCATAAATTCTGCGAAGAAAATGCATAAATTCCTTGTATAATCTGCACGGATCATTTTTGTAAAAATCTGCGAAAACTTTTCGACTATCTCTTGAAACCTAGCACCACGTTCGTATACCTTTTCAAGAATTAATTCAAAAATCTACGCAAATTTTTGAAAAAAATGTATAAATATATTATTGAGAAATTTTCGTCCCGAATGTATACTTTCAACATTGGAACTTTCCAAAAAGGTTTCTGGCACGTCATTTTATATTCCAAAAAAATACTTCAATAAACGGGCAAAATTAGTCCGGGCGCCAGCTATGGGTTGAGTATACAATTCGAGGTCCATAAGGTAACCAAGTGTATTTTCATGTTTTTTGGTGCGCTGAATTGTTTTGTGTTGGGTACCAAGCGTTAAAATTGGTACTTTAAAATTTATTAACAAATTTATTGTTTATAACTTGAAAAATTTGTTTAAAAAAATCTGAAAAAATTCACACGTATTTTTTGACGAACTCTAAGACTTTTTTGTTTGCATTTTTTCGTTTAAGACGTTCCTTACCGATAACCTTACGGATATTTATGTCTTATATAGTAATCTCGAACACTTTTTTTCTACTTAGGGGTGCGGGAAATGCGCCATCTAGGTAAATGACCGAAACTAAAATAATTTAATATTTAATTAAAAATCGAATAAACATTTAATTATTTCAATAAAATCTAAATATTTAAAAAAATGCAATATCGGAAACTAATGATACTTAACTCCTTTGATAAAGCTCTGTGTAAAGTTTAAAATTGGTTTTTACAAGAGAAATTTTTCGGTTCCTATTAAGAATATTTTTAAACTCACCTCAAATTATTACATACATATATCCTAAACGCATTGACGGTTGAAAGGAAAAATAATTATGATAATTACAATAAATATTGAATAATAGTTATTAAATGAAAATTAGTTGATTTTGAAAAATATTTAATTGATTATATAATGTTTTGCAAATATATTATCATAACATTAAACCGATAATATATTTAATTTCTCAAATCAAATATTATCTATTAAATATTTTATTGAAATTCATTTGGGCGAACAATTAAATCGATTTTGTTGAGTCAATTAAACGAGTTTTTCAAAACTATTTAATATTTATTCATAATAGATACATATTGTGTTGAACCCAAAAATTAAATGATTTAATTGACATGAATAAATATTTTTTTTTGAATTTAGAAAATAATTAATTGGTTCAAATACAATTTTGTTACCTCAATTGAATTTTTTTCAATGAAATATATTTAATTGATTCAAACAAATCTTTTTCTCATTGTACTGGTCGAAAGCGGTCAATCACTGGTATAAGTACCCTACTCAGATTATTTTTTGACGAACTAGTATTGAAATCATTTTTTTATACCATTTGTTCTTATTATCCGAACATGCTTTATATTCTCTTGAGACTAAAATTTGGCTCATTCCTTATTTTTGAGGTACGTCATATGTTCGGTAGTACACGTTACCGTTCCACTTGATTTTTTTCAAATTTTTCTGAGACATTATTTTAAAAATTGGTCAAAATCATTCATGTTCCATGTAAAAGTGATGAAAATACAAATTTTATAAAATATTTTATGAAAAATTATTTTTCAGAAAACAGTATCATACGTACTGCAACGGTCACAGCACGTTCCTTCGACTAATGCATCCAATAAAATCATTGGTTACTGGTTTCTGACTTGTGGTGGAATGGTTTATGTTGCAGTTTCCTTAGGTATCAATATCTTGTTTCTTACAAAAATTTGTCTTTGTGATCTCCCTTGGGAAATGTAATAAAAAAAAAAAAAAATGTTTCGGGGAAGATTCAAACCAGTAAAAAAGTCCTTGAGATTCAAATTTTTACTCTGATGTTTGAGCCATAAAGTCTTATGTTAGATAGGGGATTTTCAAAATCATGAAAAACTTGAATAATTCCATTTTTTAAGATTTAGAAATTGAGGAATTTTCGTTTTTTAAATCTATTTAAAAATACCCATGTAATTATAAAATACATTCAAGGAAAAGAGAATCTCGAGTTGTTCAATAATCTCTCTTGAAACATTTTCTTATGAAAAAACATTTTTTTATAGGGTATTTTCAGAAATTTCTCATAACACAAATCTTACTAATCTTTCACAAAGTTTTCTCGTGGTCTTCCATATGGGGTTTTATTGTGGAATAACATGTATTTTTTGCATGAACTCCTATTTGAAAATCGTTTGTAGAGACATAACTTGGAATTATATAAAAATATTAGTATTTTAACGAAACTTAAATGAAAGTTCTATCATAGAAAAAAATTTTTGTGAATAAGAGAAGTTTTTGAATCTAAAAAGACGCAATTTGACCGGCTTCACTGTATTTTGTTTTTTTAAGATTAGTGTACACAATTGATATCATTCAATACTTCTTCCAGGTGGAATAACTAGGTTGACTGAATCAGGATTATCCATGGTCAATTGGAAACTTTTCGGAGAAAGAATGCCATCTGATAATGATTCATGGCAAGAAGAATTCAAAAAATATCAAGAATTTCCTGAGTATAAAGTGTATGTTTTTGACCTACTCAATTTTATAAAAGCTGTGTTGATAAATTTCTGTCTCCTCAGCAAAAAAAGGTTTTAGTTGATATGGTGCATTATTTCAAAAGTGTGATATTTGGAGTGGGTAAAATGGGCAATATTGGAAAAACCGAAAAACTTACTTTCTTCTATTTTGAGTTTAATTTTTCCGGACCCCCGTAGTTTCTGACACTTAATTCTTTGTTTTTTCATGGAATATTTACTTTTTATCGGCCATCATCTAATGCGTTTATTTTCTTATTGCAAACATGAAAATTTGTCATGGAGAGGACAAATCGCACTTTTATCAAATTGCACGACGATAACAAAGTTGAAAATTTTTTTTCCGATCAACCACAAAAATTGTTTGTAAAAACGAACGTTTTTATGCCCCCAGAGTCAAAAACTAAAAGTGCTAGCTCGAAAACTCGACGATCACGGAGGGGACACTTTATTTTACTATTACGATTTTCGTGTGCAACTATTGTTATAGCGAAGCTGCAATTAAGATTTGAATATTCTACGGGTAAAAATCGAGTACCTTAGTTCTGAAAGATGACCCCCATATAGTTAGAGAGGTCAAAATGACTGTCTAGCACGTTTACTGGCCCTATATTTGAAATGATGTAAAATTTCACATAATTTATGGACACATTTGTTACTTATGTACAATTGATTTGAGACCATTTAAGGTGAAGAGTGATGCAAAAAAACTTTCTTTAGGATGTATAGAATAGGGCTCATGTACCACAATATTGCTGAATATTTGTAAAAATGTGTTCAATGAGTGGAAACAATTGATTCTGAGTTCAGGACAGGTCACGGAGGGGACATTTTGTATGTTTATCCGGCTGGCGAATCAATGTGGTCTTTATTGATGGAAATTTTATAGTTGCGAAAGGTAGAATTCGGTAAAATGAAAGGTTCTACCGTCTTATTTTCATTTTTTTTAAATTTTCTAAAAGCTACAATATCAAGACATGTCATATCACGCTTTTGAAATAATGCACCATATATATAAAAATATTGTGCCCTATACTGTAAAGTAAAAATGGATTCAAGAATGTGAGATTGATATGAATGATTTTTTACACGTTTTTTACAAACTTTTAGTTTCTATTTTTTACAAACTTTTACTTTCTATTCACTACGTTTGATAAGTGTAGACATAGTCTGAGTAAACTCTCACGACCAGTGGCTCTAAGGTCTAAAATCTCACCGGTACCATTGTCAGATATTACTTTGGTTAGGACTCTGGCTAGCTTTTTTGTGCCTCTATACTAATACTGACTCAAACCTATCCTCTTCTTCTTCCTCTTTTCAATCCCGCAGGCCGTACTCTTCCCTGTTTCTATCTTCTCTTTGCGTCTCGTTTTTGCCGCATTATTAGTCTCCTTCTTTTAGCCCTTTCTTCGGTACTCAATTTTGTCTTCACCGAGCAGGCGAAGTCGAATATGACTTGCCAGTTGGGCTCTGAGGAAAATGTTAACTCTATCTACTTATCAGGCTTCAAATATCCCGCAAATAGTTGGCAGCGCTCTTTTCTTTCATCCGTGAATCGCATTGAAAGATGATATGTTTGGCATCTTTATCTGCAGGTGAGCAAACCGAGAACAGTTCGATAGTTTCGTTATTGGTTTGACGTACGATTGACCTGGGGCACGTAATATATTATTTCATATGCGTTCTATATGCGCTATAACTATAGTCTCAGAGAGCATCTGGTATAAATTTGATGAGTATACCGATCCAGTAGTTTTCAAAATTTCTTCAACAGGCCACAATCTTATTATTTTTTCGATTATTTTTTGATCGGCTGTTCCATTCTTAAAAACTCAAAGCAATGCATAAAAATTTTTTTCATGTAGTTCGAGAATGTAATTTTTGAGTGTAACAGTTTCCACATCAATTTTCATAATTTAAGCTCATAAAAAATTAATAAAATTAAACTCTTTTTTGCTACCCTTACGATTCTCCTTTTAAAGAAAAATATTTTATGAAATAGTATGACGAAAAATTCCTTTTATAGCACTGCGTGGCATAAGTTCACATTTATGGCACGCTTTTCGGTGGCATAAGTCACCCATTCTCTCATCATGGCTCGGGAAAGGGGGCATGAATGTGACCTTAGCACAGTGCTATAAAATGTTGTACGATACTCGTGCCAGGGGACACTTTTCGGCCCAGCTATTAGGACCCTCGCTGCGCTCGGGCCCTAAACTACACCGTGCCAAAAAGTGTTCCTTATGCCACTAGTATCGTAAAGTACTATTTCGTCATACTATTGCATAAAATACATTTTGTAATTTTTAAGCGTTTTTGGAAACTGGTGTACAGTAAAATGTCTCATTTTGACACTGTTGTGCGGTAAAATGCCTCGTTTAAAATGAAAGTATTCTTCGCTTAATATTGCATAAAATGTTGTATGCAATACGTGCCCACTAATAACTATTGTCGTTAAATTTATTTTTTTTTCATTGGTAAAGTGTATGAGTGTTGAAATTTCGAAAACATTGGAATTATAGGGCTGACACATAAACCAAAGTCAAGTGGCGGTCCCCAGGAGTTCGAATTATGTGATTTCCACTGCTTTCCTTTTTTTGTTGAGGAATTTTAAGATTTTTATAATTTTTACTATTTATTGATATTAAAGTTATTTTGTTTGATATGTTCTATAAGAATAAAAAAGAAATTTATTTACAGACTTAACAAAGATATGAGTCTAGAAGAGTTTAAAAAAATTTGGTGGATGGAGTATGCTCACAGAATGTGGGGACGACTTATTGGAGCTGCATTTTTTCTCCCAGCCACTTACTTTTGGGCTACCAAAAGATTCAATAAAAATACGAAAAAAAGAATATTGATGTTGGGTGGTTTGATTGGCGCTCAAGGATTAATGGGATGGCATATGGTTAAATCAGGATTAGAAAAAAACTTAAGCGATCCTAACGATATACCGCGAGTATCTCAATATAGATTAGCAGCACATTTAAGTTTTGCATTAGCTCTATATGTTGGATTTCTTCATACTGCACTAGATTATTTAGCCCCAGTCAAAATAAATAATATGAACTTTTTTAGTTCCCAAAATATTCAAAGTCAGTATAAAAAAATTAAAAAATTGCGTTTCTTTGCACAATCTTGTAAAGGTTTGATCTTTTTAACTGCGGTATCTGGAGCTTTTGTCGCTGGTCTAGATGCTGGACTAATATACAATTCATTTCCAAAAATGGCTGAATCATGGGTACCTAGTGAAATTTTTCACCTTCAACCAATATTAAGAAATTTTACAGAGAATCCTGCTACAGTTCAATTCGATCATAGATTACTGGTATAATTTGATTTTCATTGTCTTAAGTTATATTTTTTTCATATTCATACTTAATGATGAATGTTTTATTACAGGGAATATCAACTTTATGTTTTACCACCTATGTGGGAATATATTCAATCAAGTATAAGTTACATCGTAGAGCTTGTATAGCAGCTGTTGCTATGACAGTTGTGGCTTACCTCCAAGCATCTCTTGGAATTCTCACATTACTAAATCAGGTGCCTATACCTTTAGCTGCATCGCATCAAGCAGGTAGCGTAGCATTGCTCAGTGCAGTTACCTGGTATTGTCACGAAACAAAATTTATTAATAAATTAAAGACAATGAAAATGTTTTAAAATTTATTTAACTGTAAATAGTAATGTATCTTATCAAATGTGTCGTTATGTATATGATCTTCATATTTGTCAACAAAGTTAAAGTCTTTGTTAATCCTCGTTTTAATCATCGCATCATTGTATGTATAAATATATTTATTCCGTGTTTGAATAAACATTGTGATCTTAAATTAACACCATTGATCTCTTTTAGTTCAATTCAATAGATATAGGTTTAAAAAAATTAATAAAATGATTATACAATACAAGGTTTTATTTGTGCTTGCTAATTATTTCCTTTCACACAGATAAAACCAAATTACAGTTATAATTACACATTAATGGCCTGTAACAAGTTGGTTAAAATTGATTTATTACGTCTTCATGAAAAAAATAGTACAACCAAAACTCCATGAATTCCCACTGTTAACGATCGCTCGAGAAATACTGCCTACGATTAGAAAATATCAAAGTACCCAATTTCAAATACAAATTGTTTTACGGGTGCCTGCTGTGTTTTCCAAAGCACTTCACATTTTATTTTAACAGAACACTCATTGATCTCACTATTGCGTCGACGATTCCAGTCAGTTCGTGCGTTATGCTGCTGGAGATTGGGGAACATCCACAAATGACGTCATCACCTGGAGGGGGGAGGGTTTCATCACACTTGATGACAGTCTGCCAACTATGACGTCATAAATATTTACGTTAACACATATGATTTTAGCAGCGCGAAAAAAGAACTTTTTAATTTTTTTATTAAAATATATAACCTTGAATTTTTTCAAATCGATCCATAGATGGTGCTAGCGTCTAGATCCAAAAAACGTTGATTTTAATCAAAATCAGGGTTGTGTAAAATCCATGGAGGGAGATGGCACAGCTGTCGAATAACAATGCACGTGTATTACTATATATATTATTTTTCGACGGTTGCGCCATCTCACTCCATGGATTTTATACAACTCGGATCAAAATAGATCCTAAAAGCCGGAACTTCATCTAAAAAAATTCTGAATTTTTTTTGAATTCCTTGTCAAATTTTAAAACTTTTTTGTTCTTTGCATTTTTCATGCAGTGTTATTTGATCGTAGAACTCGTACAAGTCACAGGACGCTGGGTAGACGTTACAAAGACATGAGCGCCGAGCGCGCAGCAGTACACGGCGAAGAAGTACCTTGTCTACGTAGAATCTGCATTTCTATGATCATCGCGACCGACCGGAAAAGGAAATGAAAAGGAAGTTTATCCGTTTGTTTCAGGGAGAATTCGCAGCCTCCACAGTCTCGCCAGATGAATAATAGTTCATAAATCTCTCATTTCTTAAGATTCTTACTCGAAAAAATTTACAAACATACTTAACAACATGAATAAAATGACGTTTTTAACAATTATTTTGAAAAGTCGATTTTTAATTCACTGCAGCTTTCAGGTTATGTTCGAAGCCAAATTCGATGTAACTATTCGATTCCTCGTCGAAAAATACGTCAGACGCAGGGTTTTTGATTATTTTATAATGCTTTTTGAACGAGATATCCAGAGGTTTCCAGATTTTTGTGATGCCCTGTATAGGGGAGAATGCCAGATTATGGAGCGATCACCTAATTTGGCGCACCCTTCATTAAGTACTTTCAAAATTATTTTTTTAAATATTAATGATATTTTAGTAATCTAGAAACATTTTAAAGCTTATCTACCGGAAAAAATAATTTAAAAATATCTTTAACAAAAAATATCGGCGAATGAAAAAGTGCAACCTTTCTCTTGTAATATTATGATTATGAAACCTGACCTAGTTTAGTAGAGCAAATTGGGAATGCGATTAAAGTTCAATAAAACTATTCAATGATTCAAAAAAATATGCTTATTCATTCTATATTATTAATATTGTTATTCACAAATTCTATTTGATTTACACTACATCATCTCAATAAGTTAAGTCTGGGCAAGGATTCTGTGCGCCAGAATAGGAATAATGTGCGCCGCAAAAGGCAATAGCAAGCCTTGCGCACCAATGTGACAGAATTTTTTCGATACTCGATTAAGGGGGAAAAAATGATATTTTTGGCAATAATAAAAGTACCCAAACAAAGATAAAAACTCTAACTATCATTAGGCATATTGGGTATTATGTTTAAAATGATACATTTTTTATAGTAGTCGAAAATTCCTTAAGTGCGCCATAAACGGGGGTTCTCCCCTAGTTAGTTTATTAAGGGGTAATTTTTAACATACCAATCGAAAGCTTGGAACTTTCTCTTTCAGAGAATATATTTTTTATTAACATGGTTGATCTTTTAAATTAGTTATAAATAATAAATGACCGTGTCCCATAAGAGCCCGTGTTAAAATCGCCATTTTTAAACTTGTTTATCTCGAAAGTTTGATCGTCAACCACATGTTTTTTTTTTTTGGAATCTCATTTTGAAGATCTAACAAATCGATTGATATAAGTTTTATCTTGTTGGATGATATTTTGTATTATGTGTAGAGCCTCCTTAAATAAACATATTTTCCAACTACTTTTTCGCCGTTTTACTTTTTACTACTCGACAATTTTACAAGTATTGTGTTTCAAATGATACATTTTTTATAACAGTCGAAAATTCCTTAAGTGCGCCATAAACGGGGGGTTCTCCCCTAGTCTTCAACCAGAGACAATTTCTAAAAAAAAATTTTCAATGGAAATTGTTATTATGATAATCTTGTTGCGGAGAGCAAATTAATCAAATTTTGCAAAGGTAAAAAATGATTAATCTTTATCTAAATGTTATTTCGGGAGTAAGGATAAATAAATGGTTTGAAGTTTTGAGATCCATAAATAATTATTAAATTCTTTATATATCATTATTTACTTTATTTACATGTTATTATACTCTATCTTTATGCATATAAGTACTTAGAATACATGACGACGAACATCTTGAATCTTTACATACTATCGATGCAATTGGCAGCATTAATTTTAATGGTGGCTAAATAACCTGACTTTTGAAAACATTAAAAGAATCTTTAAACAAATTGAATGGAAAACTACTAATGAATGGTACGCGTAAAAAATTTTTCTTTACCACATAAAAATATCAAACAATATACTCATTATGGGTATTACAATTTTCTAGTGACCTCTGTATTTTGATTGGCATTTACTGGATAGAATCAAAAGCTTAGTACATTCAGCTGCAGCTTGTAACATCTTATGTTTTCTTAAAATATAATTTTAAGAATTCTACGCAGTACTCATACAATATCAACACATTTTCATAACGAGCTTTTTAATAGAATTTACTGTACACTAAAAATTGTCGACAGCTTCATGAAAAGAGCTGTAATAAATGCGTTAAAGTACCACTTTATTGGCGTATTCATGAAATATAGGCATCCATTATATTTTTTTGTTATTTATAGCCAAATACTTCTGAACTTAAGAATCTCATTATTTCGATGCGAAGGTTGTCAATAGTATTACTTATGTTTAATGAAATTTGTTATGAGTCATTAATATTATTCAATAAGGTTCAGTATGCACATTATTACATTTAATAATAAAATATTTATGATTGCTTGGACTCATTTCTTCAATAAAAAAACTAAATTTAAAGAATATTATACTTCGAGAATCATTCATTTTTGAGAATGTTTCATATCAAATTAGAATTTATAAAATATTATACACCCATATAGCCAAATTGTCATAATGTGTACTCTATAAGATAGGATATAAGAGTGCGAAGCACAAGATTTTCTAATATTGAAAAGTAACTTGTTAAACAAGGAATTTCAATTTTGATTTATGTTATGTTGTTGTAAACATTTAAGTATATACTTCTAAATAATGATGTATGAATATTAATGTTTAAAAATTATTCTTATCATTTTCAGATTGAATGTTTCGTCCTGTACAAATTTTTTTGTTAATGTTCAAAAATTTATTATTAAAAGGATGAATTTATGATAGAAAATGTGTACGAATGTAATAAAAAAAAATTTTAAAAAAATAAATACAAATCAAATGAATACTTAAATGAAAAAATTTTACTGGAATTCGTAGTAGTTAGCATGGTGATTTATAATAATTATAAATATAACTATCAATCGACTCACTTAGCGATTTGATAAATAGTTAAAACTAAGTCATTGAGATTAATTTTAAATTGATCATAGATACTTATATTTCAATCACTTAAAGATAATTAAGTATTTATTTTACAAACATTTTCAACAGGTACTTATTGTTTATACAAAAATTATAAATTGAACCTGATAAGTTGACGTAACAATTTTTTTTCAATTAAGAAAAGCAAATACGTAAATTTACTATCTGAAGCTTGAATATCAAATCAAGTAAATGCGTTTCATTATAATAAACATGCTCATAAGTCTTTCACAATAATTTGAAATCCTTAAAAAAAAATAAGAGCCACAGTTGAATAATATCGATTATTTTTAGATTGATTAAACCTAACGTTTCAATTCATGTTACTAAGAATTGATTCAACTGTGAAACATGCTTACCATCGCACAGTTACATAAAGGGTTTGAAATTACAAATACTCGTATGTATATATGTTAAATGTATTCATATATACCCACTCACTCACACGCACAGACACAAGACGCTCACACATTCACAGATACACTCGAATTACACACATTGATCAAAATGTATATCACGTGTGTGTATATGTATGTTAATGTCTGCAATTATAAATATATATCATGTCATATTCATATTTATAATTTTATTTTTACGTATTATTATAAAGCTGGTGTTTATTTCGGTGTACATTCGAACTTACATGCGGTAAAGAATTTAGGAAACTTTGAGAAACTTTTTGAACAGCGGCTGGGCGTATAGTTTCTGATCGTTCGGAACATGTCAATGAATTACGCCGTACGTGAGTTTTTCCTGAATTACGAGAATCCAAGTATTCTTGTTCAGTTCCCAGATTACGAAATCTTACGAAGCCATCTTCTGCCACTAACATCGTTGACCCAGAGGATACATTGTGTACGTGAGGAGTTAAATTTAGTCTTACCCTCCCATCACTTTTACAAAAACTTTGTGTCTCTGAACGATTTCTCTCGAAAGGATTTGGCATTTCTTCCAAATGTGTTGAATTTTCAGACTTCCTGCCGGAACGTCTTTCAAAGGTACTTGAATTGATATGTTCCGGCAGCGTATTTAAAGGATAACTGTCGTCATAAACTTGTTTCCCAGTTCGAATTGAATAATTTTTTATAGCCTGATTAGAATTACATATAGTTGGATATAAAGCATCATCCATATTTTCCGTGGATGTTGAACTTCCACATGGAAATAATGCAAATCCTGGATGTATAATGTGCTGTTGAATTTGCTTTTCTCGCATTTGATACTGAGATAAGCCAGCTACCCATGCAATCAAACTACACATTGATAGTTCTATAAGTCGCACTGAAAATTGCCAACCCCACCACAACCAGGGGTACGGATATAATCGTACACGTTTTACCCCAAAAATTCCATATAATTGTACGAAACCCATTAAAATAAATAATAGAGCGGTAGCAATAGTAGTTGTTACTGCCGTATTCAGGGCTCTGGTAGTACAATCAGATGCCACATGATTATTAATTGATTTAATAGAATTAATACTTAATTGTGATCTTATTACCCTATAAACGTACATATAACAAAGACCAAGAGTTATACAAATAATTATATATATACAACGACAGATAAGAGGCAGTAGTTCTGATTCATCGGTATAACCGAGAATATGTTCAGATAAATACAAAGAAATGCATAAAGTTATATAAACCACAAATGCCAGCATCAATAGCATTGGCGATACGAATTTATTTCGATATAATGATGGAGCTGAAGAGCACCGAGACACATACAGTGTAAGAGTTGAAAAAGAAGCAGCAATCAGGGAAGATGGTAAAAACATTAAAACATTAGAAAGTGTTCGTGGAAGAGAATTCCCCAAGTTGTAAGCATCATAAAATAAATAAAAACACCTCAACATACAAACGATTGTTATAAGTAAATGGATGGATAAGAAGTATGATTGAGTAAGTAAATTTGTTGAACTGTTAAAACGTACAATTTTGTAAACACAGTATAAAGCAATCATAGTAAAAGAAGTTGCTGCGACGTAAACGTGTAGTGACCAAGTAATTTTCCATGTTGATTCAAAAGGATCTACATCATATTGAGGCACAATATTTTGCAAACTATTATCGATTGTATCTGGCACTCTGGATGATGAGCTTGGAGGCTTAGGTTGTGGTTGTGACAATCTATCATTATCATCATTTCCAAGATCATGTTCATTGTTGAAAGTTTTATTTTTTACATTTTTATTGAAGGAATCATAAAAAATACCCTCTATTTCTGATGTTTTACTCAACACCTTTTCGGTGGTGGAATTAGTTGATGTTTGCACATCTTCTGATGGGTGCATCGTTTGAAAAGATACTGATTTTTCGTTACTCAATTTAATTGAGCTTAGATTTACAGGTGATTTCGTAGATATAGGCTTTAATAAGATTTCAGGTATGTCCTGTTTACGTCCGTTACTGCCAGATAGTATTCGAGATATACTAGTAAAATGTAGCGAAGGTACAAAATCAATAGTTTCATTCAAATCTTTCGCCTTATCTGACATTTCAATTGAATCTTTAGCAAAAATTGAATCAATAACTTTATTTTTAGTAAAACCTAGTTTATTTATGTTTTTTGTGGTATTTTCCACTAAATCTGGAGGTTTTATTGGTATCCTTTCTTGTATAGGGGTTAAACTTGGTGGCGGCACAGGTCGCCTATTGTTAAAATGAAGGTCAAAATTTGTGCCTCTTAACGTCGGTTTATCGGCAAATGGGTTGGCATATTCTGGGGGTAGAGGTGGAGTGAATAAAGTACGAGACGGTGGTGCATAAGACGGCGATTCTCTATGTTGTGGGAAATTCGTTGCTCTAGATAGCAATCTTGGCAGTGTGACTGTAGAAGTCGTATATGATGATGAGAAAGGTGATGGAGACGTTGAATGAATTGTACTTTGTGAAACTTGAGCTTCATACGCCGGAACACTACGTTTAGTAGTAGCTGAACTATGAGCTACTTTGTTAAATATCGCAGCTATATTTTTTTCGAGTGCTGTATGATCTAAATTAAAAACTGGATCATCTGAATCACTTTGACCTTTGCCAAAAGCATGATATTTACAAAATAATAAGCAAAATTGCAAAAATAATACATACATCATCGAATTCATTGATGATAATTTTTCTGCCAAAGTAAGCAGAAATTCTCTGAATATACAAAAAATGTGTTCAAACTCGATGAACAAGTTTCTCAGAAGTAGAAAAAAATCAATTAATATTGGGCACCATGCAAAGAAGCTAGGTGCAGCATCAAAAACTACTACTTTCTGAAAATATTTATCTACTTAATTTACAACATTCCCTTATTGTTAGATCGTGATATGATTTCGCAGTAAAAATAAGACATTTGTTGAATCCTGTTGGCAAAGTTCTTTTTCTTTTTATCCAAAAATGTTATTTTTATCATTTTGATATCCCAACAGAATGAATACGGTTTTTACTCCTTTTTTGGCGGTTGCGAATATCCGCCAAAATGAGAGTGTCAATCCATAATCTGAAACAAAACAAAGGAAGCAATTATTTTAACATGTCATTATTTTTTAATAATTTGAACGATTTTTTTACAATTTGTTTTTTTCAACGCTCAAGTTTTTTAAGTATTTTTTGTATATAACAAAAATTTGAAATTCATTGTAGGGCTAACCCCATTTGTCTTATATTATTACTCTTATGTCGAAAATTGTATATAACTTTCTTAGTTGGGAATGCACCCTAAAAAGTAATATACCATTAGATTCTACGACCCAAACCCTAATTTTTCACAAAAAAATTAGGTTGATCGGCGATAGGGTCTTTTGGGTTTATAGAATATTACAGAAAATCTTTAAAGTTATAAAACGTCGATATTTTTTTAAAAGTCATTATACAATTTTATAAAATCAAAATGCCCTTTTACCAATCAGCCTGCTTTTTCGGGAGTGGTAGAGTAAGTGCTCCAAAGGTATTATCAGCGTGCGTGCATGATAGAAAGAGTTAAAAACAATGTTGAATCGAATGTTAACATTTCCCGACATTTACTCATATATATCTTTACAAAACCGAGTGTACGTATATCACCGTTTTTAAGACGCTTCTAGTATGTTTAAGTACTTAAAAAGAGTTCCAAAGCTGAGATTCTAGACTCCAAGGGCACTTGCTTCCTTCACACTCTGTATAGACGTCTGCTTTCTACCTAAACCGATCCTGAAGCTATTTTTTTTGCGAAGGTCATAATTAATGACTGTAATTATTCATTCATTCATGTTCTGAAGAAGTGTACGCGACCCTGTTACTGAAACTCAATCGGTACCCTCTGAAAATTACGACAGGTGACCAAAAACACGACTCGTGGGACAAAGGAAAAGAAGAAAAAATTGAACATGTAAAGTATACAAAAAATTCTCATGAAAACAGCTCTATTTCAATGAAAAATAAATAATTTGGAGTTTTGAAATTGCAGTGGAAAGGGAAAAAAACATCCTACTTGAAAATCAAGTAAAAAAATTTTTAGTGTAAGGTGTAAGTGTCTTGTTAGGAGATTTCAGATAATTCTTAAAAGTGAATTTCAACAATGCAAACAAACGTTAATTTTTCTCAATGTATAGGATGCTTTAGGGTTTCAAAAAAATTATTGAAAATATTAAAAATTTCTTTTTGGTGATACTTTTTTCTAGGTTTCTTCCAAAATGTACTTTTTGATAATTATCCGTGGCATGTCTAGATCTCAAAATCAACTCTATTTGCATATACCATGCATTCTCATAAGCACCTGACCCTATAATAACTACGGACCAGGTTCTATACATCTAAAGTAAAGTTTAAGTCTATGATAGGGCTTTGAAAAATGTTTTTAAAAAATTTCCCACACAATTGAAAAATGTCTCGGATTTTAATTATGCTTCTGAATAATTTCAAATATACCGCCTGCTTTGGGTCGCTAACTCATTTTTGATGTCCCTGGCTATATAACTGTCAAGTATTATAACCCAACTTTCGATTAGTGTAGGTTGCGAGTTTAAATTTTACATTTTAGCTATACAGCGATAATTATTCTATTGGAAAATTCACGTGTTTAAAAAAAACTGTGACCTCCGTGGAAATGAATATCTCGAGCTATGGTCATTCTTTTTAACCGCTCGCAACGTCAAAAGACTCGTTTTTCATGACCGAATTTTGGGTAGTACGGAAAATTATGTGCGTTTCTTATTTTTCATACTTAGTTGATCAAAGCAGCGATTTGTCACCTCCGTGTGTGTCACCTCCGTAACCGAAAATAGTCAATTTTAAGCATAAAATTGGACATAGTTTTCGTAAAACGAAATCTCAAGGCCCCAGATTCAATGATTATTCATATTTTATGGTTTAAAAAAGGGTAAACTAGTTCGCGCCGTTCAATGTGAACAAAAAATTTTCACCATTTTTTCATATTGTATACCCGAAAAAGCAGACTTCGGGAGAATCAACCATGTATTGAATCGTTTAGCTAACGGCAGATGTTTAATTTGTCAATACATTGTTTATAAATATAGTTCTAAGTATCATATAAATATTGGTATACATTTTTTTTGCAATATTGGATAGGACTGAATATTGTTAGATTTAACTGAAACTTGAAAATTTATTTGTTGACTGTAACCAATCGACATAATTTTTCAAATTGACTTTTGAATTTCTCTTACTTAACTATGAGATTTTTTTATGTGTGCTCATATTTCAAGTTCTTTTTCATGCCATGAAAGTATATTGTTTAAAAACTTAATACAGCACGTAATAGAATTACTTGATAATTCATAATTTTTATGTCATGGAGAATAATGACGGACAATAATTCTTAAATAATATTTCTACATCAAAAAGTTGTACAAATATGAATAAATGAATATAATGTACATTCTGAGATCATAGTCTTCATTTTTATTGATATTTGCTATGATGCAAATCAAATTATTTTTTATTAGAAAGAAGAATAGTTAATGAAATGGCAATTTTGTGTCTAATTTTTGTAATAAAATTTTGTATAAGGAGATAACTAAGGGTATAGCAAGTTATTGAATTTGGAGTACAAAATACTTTTTCCAAATTGATTTGAGCAGTATCAAAATTTTTTATGAATCATTTTAGCACTTGCACAATCATAAAAAAAACAACAACAAAAGCTTTCAAAGAGCTTTAAGCATCTCATTTGAGTTTGAATTCTTAATAAGGGTGTATAATAAAAGGAGGAAAAATTTCGAAATGTATTAATTCAATTGAAAGTTTTTGCAAAATTACTTATGATCAAAAGATTAAATTGCAAAAAAATGTTCATCAGTAACTCAGAAAGTGTATCATAAATGATGAAAAAAAATAAATTGAAATAAGAAATGAAAAGCATGCAAAGGATGTTGGAAAACATTCAATTAAAAAATAATTATTTGAATTAACTTTGGATGCCACTTGTGTTTGATTTCTTTTACTTTTGAAGAACAATTCTAATGCAAACATAGTATCTTATAACAACTAAATGGTTAAATTAATGCTGGTAAATCATCTTAACTTATTATAAAAGTTGAATAAACTTATTTATATGATTTCATGTATAAACTTAAATTGTATATTGAATTTGGTCACATCATTTTTTATATATGGTGATTATGAAATAAAATAAAGTAAAACATTACAAATTTCACAGAGATTATTTAGTTATTACTCCTAAGAATTTTTCCAAGGTTAAATTTAAATTGTTTTAAAGCACTGCATGTTTAAGAGCATATAATTAAAGAGTTTTCAATACCTACAATTGTTATTCATTTGAAAATTACAATATTATTTATACACTTTTATACTTCTTTTTTAACCGCAACCAACACGACTACTTAAAGAATTTTTATTATTCTTGTAAACTAGATTAATTGGACCAATTAAAATAGGTTAATAAATGCTATTCAAATTCATAAAATTCAAGGATATTGATTTACAAAAATAAATCTATCCATGAATGGTTTGCCTTAAAATTAACAATATATAATTAAGTTTACTTTAACCTTTAGTTAATCAAATCTCAACAATTTTAGATTGCTTTTAACATGATATCAAATTGCAATATTAAAAATTTTTGCACCTATAATTATGGACATAAATTTGTGTTGCCCTATTAAATCTTTCTCTTTATTATAAATTTCAATGTGACCAAAGACAAATTTTCTTTATATTACTCATTATAAAAGATGTTAACTGAGCATTACAAAAATAACATAAAAAGACAAAAGCTATATAACGTTTAAGGATAATATTACAAATTGACCTTGCATTTACTGGGGAATACCATAACATAATAAGTAAGTTAGAGTCATAACATAATAATGAGAAGAAACTGCAATGATATTTGTTTGCACTTTTGCGCATCCCTTATTGGTTACATTATTTCAGAAATAACTAACTAATGATAAAAAATGTACAAGTTACAAAGCAATTGTTGAGTACTACATTAATAATGATCTTATGAAAGTTTTTAAAGTACCTATACCATTATCTAAAAAAAAGTGGCAAAAATTTAAGTAATTGAATCAATGAACTAAGAATAAAAAATATCTTAATTCTAGTTCGTTTAGTTCAATCATAAATTTTTTGTAAATATTCACCATGTGGCCATATTTTTGGTTAATTTTTTTCACAAAACTTGAATGTTTGACAGAAAATACAGAAATTCTAATGAGGTTTAATGCAGCGGTATTCAGTAATTTAAAAAATTGTATTTAAGAATTGTGCAGTTTTTTTGAAAACCAAAAAAGTAGCTAGATTTTTAATTTGAAGAATAAAATCTTGACATTTGTACTTTTATTTAAAGTATCAAAAATTTTAATAAAAAATTCAGATGTAAAATTTGAAATAAAAATTTCAATACTATTTTTTTACAATTGATTTTTACCGTTAAAAATAAAATAACAATTTAACTGTCAACATTTTGGACAGAAAAAGTTCATTTCAATGTACTATTGATTCTCTATTGATAAAAATTCATTACAACTTGATTTCATATGTTATATGCATTTTTGATTGAGCTAAAGAATTGATACATTAAAAATTAAAAAACTTTGAACCATAGATGATACATAGTGTTATAATTAATGGAAGTTAAACTAATACTGAATTGTTGAAACATTTGAAAAATGCATTCACGAGTAGAAAATGGCAATGTGCTAAGAACAAAAGCATATGCACACAATGCACATGATGCTTACACAGATATTTCGATTTTATGTTTCGACAAATTTCAGTAAAAATAGATAAAGTTAAGACTTACTCATAAAAGTAATTTGATGAATGGTATGTCAATCCAAGAATTGTTGCACTAACGTGCAAAAGTTTCCAATAAACTAAACAAGAGTAAAACTGCTTCACACTTCATTGATACAAAATGTCTGTACAATACCCACTTTTTCACTCCGATTAATTTTATTCGACACAATTACAATTTCACACAACTGTAGAACTTGAATTCAATTCTTGATAACAAAATATCAATTCATCGATTTACATCACATAAGATGTTAACAACTTAATTTTGTTGCAAGCAACGACAAGCGTCTATTTTGCAAGCAGCTTTCATTATGAATTGATATTTGTACACAGTGGGTGTATTCGTTTATCCTAAATGAACACTAGGCATACAGCCAACATAGATAAAACTACTCATAACAGCTGGAAGGCCAGTTCTACATTTAAAGCGGCAACGCATGAAGAAAAGCTACGCACCGGTGCCTGATGACCGTATATCCACCCACCCCGTAAAAAAAAAAAATGAATTAAAAATAATTTTTGAGCGAAAGGGCTCTTTTTGCATATTTCAAGAATGCCGTAAAAATAAGTCGCATACCTCCTAACTTTATTTGATAAACAATTAATAAAAATCGATGTTGAATATAAATATATTTAAAATAAATAATGCATTTGTCTGCAATTTATTTACACCAAAAAATTGCATATTTGAAGTTATTCGTACGTCATTAAGATTTTTAAAAAGTTATTAAATTATTTCTGGGTTTATGAAAAAATTATAAAATGGAATACAAATATTAATAAAGTATGGAAAGGACAGCACACTGCGCATGCTCAAAGATAAAATTTTTTCGAATACTAAAATAATTAATTAACTAATTCAAAATCTAAATAATGAGCAAGTTAATCTAGTGTTATTTTTTAAATTATTTGGATTAATTGGGAGAGCTTCGGTGTGTTACCCTTATAGTCAAGTGAAATTGAGCGGCCCGAAAATATACACTAAATATTTGGCGGAAATAAAAAAATATATTTGGTTGCGAATTATCAATAAAATTTTCTATTAAAAATCATAACGTTACGAGGGAAAGAATATTAGAAAGTGCATATCTCTATGAAGAGATAAATCACATAGAAAAGTTTTCTTGATACATCGTTTTTATAGTAAATCAAGGTTTGTAAAATATTTTATTGTATTTTTGAATGGAGAAATTTTTTATCTGTATGGCTCTGTATTTTGATGCTTTAATTTTAGGTTTTTGACAGATGTGCTAGCCTCATGTTCTAGCCTCTAGGTAATTCAGCAATAGTCAACATATGATAGCATTTCAAGCGTGGACTATGGTGGCGCTGACTATCGAATCACCGTTAATACTAAAACTCTGTATGTATAATATAGCTTTTAAGAAAGAGCGAGACGAGAATAGAACATTTTTTAAACTCATGTGCTACTTATCTGTGCAAAAATTAATGAGACAAAAAGCATCATGAAAATATGACAAATTCTTTTTGCTAAGATTACTGTTAAAAATAGTTAAATAATTAATTTTTTTTAAATTCATGGGTGTGCTGCTATTTTTTTTTTAGTATTTTCCATATAGGCTATTTATAATCTATCATTCAGCATTTCACATTTCATTAAAATTAGAATTTTTGTAGACCTCAATATACAGACGATATAAACTACAGATTTTCTCTAAACGTGTGGAGAGTATTCAATAGAATTCATAACTTATGTTAAACACCATGAAAGCCAAAATCGATAAAATACTAAAAAACTGTGAACAATTATTTTCAGGTATTGATTATTTACTTTATTATTTGAATAAAACAGGAAAGAAAATTTCTTTACCGTGTGTACTACTTTTTCTATGAAAAATCTAATTATACAAAATAACTATGAGTTATAATGATAATTAAAACATATTTTATTCGTACAATGTAATTTTATAAAACATTTTAAAGCCTCAAATAAATTAAGTATTTAAATATATTCAATTCATCCTATATATCATCAATAATTAAATTTTTATGTTTATATCAATTAATTATATTTAATAATTATGTCTTTAGATATAAGAAATAAATGAAACTGAAGTAAAGGAATTCATAACCAAAATAATGTGATTAAAACAAACTTATTCATTATTAAAGAAACGCAAATCTAAACACAGGTCATATTCTTGAACTTTTCTTATGTTAAAAATAAGTCATTTTTCAACTATTTATCATTAACTTTAACAATTAATATTATTAACTAGGTATTTAATCATTATCATTTTAAAAGTATGAAAATTATTCAAAATATACTATTTCAAATTTAATTATTGAAGGCTTCTTAACTCAAGTTCCTCGCACTGAACATTTTTGTAAAATTAAATACATTTGTGCAGTTGTATACAATGCAAATAATGAGTTCACTTTATAATTATTTGGCATCGCATATTTTTTTTGGATGGAAGATTTTAGGAAAGCTTGTTTCTTTGTTACATGTAATTGATAATAAACAAATTAAACTGGGAGCATTATGGGCAATGTTTCATATTGAAGGAAATGTATATAGACTTAGCTATTAGTTAGTACCCAGCCTGTTTTTTGGTAGTTTTATCAATGAATGAGCTTGTTTTTAAAATATTAAAGTGGTATAGTTGGACTAAAAAATATCTATTAAGATCTCTCATTATTATTAAGCTTTTGTCGAATAAATTAATCAATGCATATTGTGATAAAATGTGCTAAATAGGCGTGTAATACTATAGGTGTAAAATTTGCTCTCTCAGCACTACTATTTAGATAGTTTATAAACGGGTCAGAGGCAACTTTAAAGCTAAAATGTTTTTATTAATTTTCAGTACCTATAATATTTTAAAATTTTGATTTTCCATAGAGATATAATATTATTTTAAAAAATTTTTTATAATTGGCAATCAAGTTTATTTTTGCTACTATGTTTTTTGATTATTTTTGTTCTTTTCATTAACCAGTAAAATTCAGAATAGACCATTTGTTACATTTTGTGATAATGGGCAGTTCAAACTTTATTTCTAAATCAATGGGCACTTGTTTTGTACAAAATCAGGTGTTATATCAGGTAATTTCTTGAAGAAAATATCTTACTAAGCTGTTTAATATAGTGCTTCTTTTTTAATAAAAGCTCATTGATAAATTCAGATAAAAATGTTGGAACCACACATAAGACAATTTAGTTTAATCGGCTCATTCTTCTAAAAAACACGTAATTACATGTTTCGGGCTCATAGGAAACAAAAATAATTAAAACGAGGACAGTAGCTAGAAATCAAGTCGAAAATTGAAACTATTTGGCAAATCACCCATATAAGTAAATGTCATGAAATTATAATTTTTTTTTGAGACATACAACTGTTTCAGAAACCTGAAAAAGTAGTGATCATCGAATTCAAGTGAGGACCATCGAAGATTTAAAAAAGTACATTTTTCAGCTAAAGCTGATGAAACATATTTTTTACGATAATATTTGCTCTTAAATTCAGTTAAAATATTAATTTTTCGCCATTTATAAAAAGTCACTCAACGACATTTTTCCAAAATATCGAAGACTAAAATGGACAATATAAATTATGTCATTTAAAGTAAAATTGTTAATATGCAACGCGAAATTAGACTAAAATGCACTTAAAAAATCAACAATGGGCGCGGGCAAAGCCCATGTTTATGTTGTATATAATTTTTTTTACAAAATACGCACACAAAAAATCGATATACCACTCGATTGTACTACTCAAAAACTATTTATACCCTGTTTAAAAAAAATCGGTGGATTTCCACTTGGAAAATCGAGTAGGATTGGACTGGAAATAGAGCTCGATTTGGTATTTGCATAAGTTTTACCTATAATTTGGTAATTTGTATAATTTGGTAATGATTTATGGTGGGGCCTCTTGGGATAATGGGATTTTATAGAAAAAGTCGTTAAAATACTAAAAATCGAGTTGAATTTTTCTTAAAAGCGTAGAAGGCTCGGGTTACGGCGCACGCCATTCATTAACATTTTTTTTTTCAAAAGTATTGTTTCTGAGGATTGTTTGGCGATGATTTCGATAAAAAAGCACGATGGGCTTATCGGTAATAAGAATTTGAAAATTTAAAATAGGATGAGTTGAATTTCTGAACTCAAAAAACTCCATAAATTGCATGATTTTTGTATGAATTCGGGTTTGGAGACTATTAAAAATTGTTCTCAAGACAATAAAAAGTTGAAAATTTAACATGAACATTACCAGGTATAGCCATTTTCAAGTTTCTACACGAATATTTTGAAGTTTACCAAAATATTTAAATTTCACGAGATTTACTCATACACAACTTTCTATGAAAGTATAAAAATCTACTATAAAAAGTCAGAATTGACTGATCTATGTTATTAAAAGTATGAAACGATAATTTTATACTTTTATAAAAGTAAAAAGCTCAAATTCTCGAATTTAAAAGTCTATGTCAATTCTGACTTTTGAAATGTCGACTCGGTGACGATTTTCTCTAGGGAAGTTGATGTTTTCAAAATAAATTTATTTCGCGGAAAGTTCTCGGAGAAAATTTTCAACTAGTCCAATTTTCAAAACTCAGAATCGACATACAGGCAATCCCCGCTATTCGCGGTACTCAGTATTCGCGGTTTCGCTTATTCGCGGTTCTTTAATTGAGCCATTGTTTCGCTATTCGCGGGAGTCGGATTCGCTTATTCGCGGTTTACTTCACGGTTGTTTAGTAATAATTTTAATAAAGCTGTGATGGATTTTGGTCAAAAGCTCAAGATTTTGGAGCTAATAAAAGAAGGAGAAAAATTGCCATAATTGCACGTAGATTCGAGGTTAATGAGTCAACTATTAGGTCTATCCGCAATAACGGGGATTCTGTTTCGGTATTCGCGGTTTCGGTATTCGCGGTGTTTTTCGGGAACGAATTAACCGCGAATAGCGGGGATTGCCTGTATTTAAATTTTTGAATTCGAGAACTTGGGTTTTTTACTTTTAATGAATTGAGCGTTTTATACTTGCAATAGTATAAATCTACATTTTATTTTTTTTATAACAGTCTTATATTAAATTAGTCGATTTTGCCTTTTTACGGTAAATTTTTATACTTTTGTGGCACGAATGTACTGGAGCATTTTTAAAAATCCTTCACATTATTTTGATACTGACCCTATTCTTCATATCTACATATCCGATAAAAGTTTTGTTTGTATTGATGGTTCTTTTCACCCGCTTCGTTCCAAATTGGCATAAAAATCGAAAAAATTTTTTAAGCGCCGTATTTTTCTAGTAAAAATTACTCAAATTAGAGATATCTAAATTTTTTTAAATTTGGTGATTTTCAATTATAAAAATAGCAAAAATTATTATGTTTGAAGGAACTTTTACCGGTTGGAAAAATATTAAAATAACTATGTTCATCCATCATTTTTATCTTAGCTTGTTTATTATAGATTCACACGCTATTACTTGCTGGATGTTAAGGGTAAAAGAAAGTGTTGAAAAATATTCTTTACATTTTTTTAAGTCTTTCTTTTCTGGGAGCTCTTATATTCTTAAAGAATATTTTTCGATGTTGGACAGTTAATTTGAGAATTTACTTAGCTGACCTTTACAAAATATTACACATTTTTTTAAATGAATAATACAGGGTAATACAAGCTACAGCGAGTTGAACATGAAAAAATTAAAAAAAATTTTTTACGCATTTTTCATGAAAATTGCGTTGTTCTCAATGATGCTGTCATTTTAGAGAAAAATAAATGTCATATTCGGATGCAGTGACCAAAAATACATAAGGAATCATGTTGTTTAACAACTTAGCTCTCCGTGGTCGTTCAACCCTACTTTTTGGCCAACTATAATGCAAGGCGTTGTGTACATTGATCTAACTGAGGTCTACGAGCGAGAGTCGCGTCAGTCTGCACTGAACTGTACACGAGTATATCTTATTACTATATAGTAGAGAGGATGTGGTTCGCTTGCTCCCCAAAATTTCCACCTGCTCCCCCACAATTTTTTCAAAAATGTGAAATTCACGTAATTTTTACATGATTTTCGGTGTTTTTCCCCGTATAAATTATTACTGCTCCCCAAAAATTCCACTACTCCCCACTGCTCCCCCACTGCTCCCCCACTATAACAATAACGTATATCACGTATAATAATACAAAGGTACTTTTATACATAGGTACTTTTATAATAAACAACAAAAAATTTCCAAGAAATCCAAAAAAAATTGTGTCGTGATACGATCAGTCCAGGAGCGGGCTACCTTCCCGTAAGACACTATAGGTAAATGATTAGAATAAGGTGTTATCGATGGATTTTGACTCGCTGAACCCAAATTTGGTAATTAATGTTGGCTGCAAGTGGTACCATGTGGTTTAAAACCCATTTGTTTAAAAAAATTACTAAAATGGTCGAATATGGATTTTTAAACATCATATTCGTATTCTAAGAAAATTTTTAAGAAAAAAATGTCCCTTGTGATTTTTCTCTAAAATGCATATTTATCGCGAGGTAACCTTAGAAATCTTGAAAAAAAAACTACAAGACTTTGCATAGAGATGTCCGAAGAATAATAAAAAGCGCTCACATCATCGAAAATATTGTTTTTCATGTTATTACACGCAATCGAATATCACGAAATTATCGTTTTTCTCATTTTCATTGGCTTATAACTCGATAAATATGAATTTTAGAGAAAAATAACAAGGAACATTTTTATCAAAAAATTTTTGGTAGAACACGAACATGATGTTCAAAGATCCATATTCGACCATTTTGGTAATTTAATTAAACAAATGGATTTTTGACGATATGGTACCACTCAGAGCTAAAATTAACCACCAAATTCGTGCGTCAAAATTGATCGATAACACCTTATTCTAACCATTCACCTACAGTTTTCTACGGGAAGGTAGCCCGCTCCCGGACTAGATAAATATAGCCAAAAATGTATTTTCCTACAGACTACTTTTTTTTAATTTTTCATCAATAAAATACTTGACCGTTTTATTACTAAAAATATTATTTTTTTTATTTAAGTGTTAAACTTAATCGGGGGGTTGGCGAGCGGAGCGAGCAGGGGGGCGGAGCCCCCCTAGTATATATATATTTCCTACCAAAAAAGCCGTCATTCTTTTCTAGTCGTTCTTTTCGAAGTACTTCTGCTACGCTGTTTATACAAGAACGGGGAGATCTACCGGCTTTAAAAACTTTTCTCAGTCGATCATCGATTACAAATGCAGAAGAACAAGATAAAAAGCCAATGTAACAATTTCATCATTTCATATCAAGTAGTATCTCGCCCAATTCCCTATTTTCATGCAATTGACCTTACTATTTTGGCGAGCCGAAGGCGAGCTGTATAGATTTTGAAGTGTTTTCGCGAGCTGAAGGCGACCACGTGAGCGACTGTATGCTGTAGTCAGCAACCCGTTTTACACACCGAAGTCCGAAGCCCTGCCTGCTGCCACTGAAATGTATTGGCGCTACGCGCTATTTGCGGTGTGCGTTTGAACTACACCTTATACTGAAATTGTATGATTTCAGTGCGAGGAGGCATAATTACTGTGCGAGGACCGAAGCGTTGCGCTGCTCGACAGTACGCGATGGGGTTATCCACTGAGTACGCTCAGTGCGAAATCCGCCCCAAACGGGCGCGTATTCTGAAAATTATAATTACAACGCTGTATTTATCTATTTGTTCATTAACTTCGATGAGGCTTAGAATTGAATTTTTGATAGTTACTGATGAGATTCCATCTTGACGTGAGAGCTCGAAGAAGCAGGCGTACGTGGTTCACGTTCTATCTCGTTGGGCAGCGATGGCGTCGGTGCGCCGTTTAATGACGCTCTGAAGCTACGAAGGTCCAAAGCGCGGGTCGAGGCGCGGGGTCCACGGTGAAGGCGGCGTGTCCAGGCGTATCAATCTCCACACCGGTGGAGGAGATCCGCTGGGTCCCGTAGGCTGCGCAGTTGTCTGCAGCGTTGAGGCAGGGGCACTCTGCTCCGGTGATGGTGGGGACGTCGTCGCGGCTTGCAGGTAGTTCCGCAGTCTCTGGTCCGCGAGATGTAGCAGGACTCGTTGGTGTAGGTGCAACTCCTTGGCGGCGGCGGCGGCGTACTCCTGAAAGATGATGGCCGACGGCGGCGACTCCTGTCTTTTGTCCTCGAAGTGTCCTGTCGATATCGGTGTGAGGAAGGAAAGGGTGGTGGACAGATCCTCGGATAAATAACAAAGGCGATTTATCCGATTCCAAAAATGTCGATTTATTATTTATACTCCTGTTTCGACTCGGAGTGAGCTCGAATTCACTCACTTACAGGCTCATACTTAATGCTACTACGCTATACTTTGAGTGCGCGTGCCAGTCCTCGCCATCCGGCGGCCGTTTTTACAAACTCACTGATCAAATCTCTCATGAGTGATGTCTGGCAGAGGCCGTGTTTACATCATTACATAAAGGAGGGCAGTGTTCTTTGTTTTTTCATACCTTTCTAAACAACAACAAAATTTTTTTTTATTTTTCCACTCAACTGCGCTATACGCAAGAATTTAGTGCGTCTTTTTAGCATTCTACCCCTCTGTGCAACGCTCTAACCAACTAGACCAACGAGGGCCATGATCAAGGCGTTTTCGTTTGAAGATAATATTGTGCGCACTATAGTTGGTAAATTTCTGAAAGATATCGTGTTGGACGCAAATGAGGTTATCTGAATGGTTCGCGCGGTACTCGGGGAACTAGGATTGCAAATCGCCGATCATAAAACCGAAGTTCTGTTGATTACGAGCAGGAAAACATCACCCTTAGAGCCAGAGATTGCGATATTACGTCGGTTCCCTGCATCCAATAATACCTTGGAATACACATCGATGCCAAACTGCGTTATGATCAACACTTGGCAATTGTTATCAACAAAACCGCTCGGATGGTGGACGCTCTGCTCTACCTGATGCGCGATATCGGGGTCTCCAGGAGCAGCCGAAACAGACTCTACGTCAGTTTCGTCGACTCAATTCTTCTTTACGGTGCTCCGATATGGAAGGATGCTGTGAAAACGCCAAGCTACGTCCGTCAGGCAGCGTCAGTCCATCAACGTGCATATCTCAGTGTGATCTATGGCTTTACCAGCAATTCACTAGGCCGTGAATGTTCTCGCCAGCACTCCTCCGCTGGCACTTCCTTGTAGACGAGCACTCGATGTTCTTTGAGCGTCGTCGCGAGTATGTTGTGAGGGAGGAACATATCAGAATACTGGAGAAATGGAAGGCCGAATAAAATCTTGGCTTTAAAGACATTCTCATAAAATAGCGTACTAAACGTTGCAACGCTGAACATGCGATTGATGCTAAAATCTGAGTATAAGTTATTTGCATTGAAATTTTGAGATATTTGTTAATTTTGCTTAAATTAACGTTAAATTTCAACATATTACTCTAAAAGGTATTACTCTAAAAGGATCATTGATAAAGTTAACAATAAAAAATTAAATATTTTATCGAAAAATTCTATGCTCCCTCTCCCTCAAGTTTTTTACCTCTCTGTTTACATTAAAATTTGTTTTCTCTAGTTTAGTAAATATTTTGAATTCTAAAACATTAAAATACGAGATTGAGCACCCAGTATGTATCGCGGTTTCTAATAGTATACTAATACTAATCACTACTTATTATGTTTCAGTATGTAGTCAAAACATCGAAGACAATCAATCATGGCATAATTTTGTAGAAATAGATGGAATTTTGAATCGCATCATGGAGTTGGAAAAAGCTGAGGTCATTGAAATAGACCGATATGACTCTTTGAAAGATCTCACTGAGTGGGTCAAGCATGAAGGAGCTTGCATTGATAATGTATCTATCGCTTTTTTTCCAAATTATGGATATGGATTACAAGCTAATAATGATATGAATGAAAATGACTTGATTCTCCAAATTCCTCGTAAGCTTATTTTTAATGTTCATACAGCAGCACCAGAACTTGAGATTATTAAATCCGACATCATACTGAAACAAATGCCGAATATTGCATTAGCTTTAGCACTTCTTTTTGAACGTTGTAAAAATTCATCGAAGTGGAATTTTTACATCAAATCTCTTCCTAGAAGTTACAGCACAGTTTTATATATGAAACCACAAGACCTTGAAATACTGAAAGGATGCCCAAGCTTAGGTATGATTATTTTGTCTTCTTTTTATTTGAGATCTTAAACATATAATTGGGTATTATATGTATACAACTTATAGATTTATGGAAACATTACAAAAGTAAATGCTGAAATTCAGTTTTTGCTAAAATTAGCTACACCACCTTTTTCAATGTATTGAAAAGGGGAGAAAAAATCCTATTCCAAAATTCAATAAAAAATTTTGAGTGTAAGGTGTATAGAGTCACTCTACCAGTGATTGAAAGGGTTAGTAAAATTCTGCTTACAAGCAGCTCGGATGCATGTTTTTAGTCAATTTTAGGTAATCGAACCAATAGTTTGTCAAATTTCATACCTTTTTCTACCTATTAGAATTTTCACAGAATTTTCAATCGAGTTTTTCATTTATGCAAGTTAATGAAAATGAAAAAAAACGTGCTTTACCAGTGAATGAAACATTCGATCCAATGAATGAAAGCCGCGAAACCAGTAAATGAATGTACAAATATAAGCATACGTTGATTTGATAATCAATATAGACTGTAATATATCACCTTTTTTATTAAATAAGAAACTAAAACATAAATTTATCATCCAAACCAACCTCTTTATTGCCATATTGCAATGATTAAAATAAGGGCACCTGTATTAAATGACATAATTAACCCATTAAGTCCCAAGAGGACGTTTTTTCAACACTTTATTCATCCACTGTATTTTTGGTGTAAATGGGGTCAAAAAAATATGCGAGTAACTAATTCTGATGTAAAATTTAATGCTCTTTCAGAATCTGATCTCAGATTTTTGAAAAAGTGATCAGGTGAAAAGTTACACTTGATTTTACCCAAAAAAACATGATTTTTAAAAAAAATTTTTTTTATTTTTCGAATTTCCAAATGAAAACCATTAGAAATCTTAGGGGTTTCGTGCAAATATCGCGTCCTCGATACCTAAACTAAAAGTTAGTGGGGTTTAGATTGAAGAAAATACAGTTAAAAAATACACTTTTTTCTCAAGTCCTTCATTTTTGAGTAAAAATTCTATGAGTTTTCATTCAATTTTGCGAGTTTCGACCGCCATTTTTTGTGTTCAAACATTAATTTTTTCAATCGGTACCCCACTAACTTTCAGTTTAGATATCGAGGACGCGATATTTGCACGAAACTCTTGAGATTTCAAATGGTTTCCATTTGGAAAGTCGAAAAATAAAAAAAATTTTTTTTCAAAATCACGTTTTTTTTTATAAAATCAAGTTTAACTTTTGACCTAATCATTTTTTCGAAAATCTGAGATCAGATTCTGAAAGGGCATTAAATTTTACATTAGAATTAGGTACTCGCATATTTTTTGATCTCATTTTTACCAAAAATTCAGTGGACGAATAAAGGGTTGAAAAAACGTCCTCTTGGGACTTAATGGGTTAAAGTATTTCAAGGTCATGTTATGATTTTTCATGTTGTAGGACAAGTTTTGGTGATTTTTCAGGGATCTTTTTTAAAAATCTGTTTCATTTGAGTAGAGAAGAACCATTTTACAAACATTTTAAAACCTCATAGATGAGGATTGGTTCAAAACTCCAATCAAAACATGCTTATATTTGTACTTTCAATTACTGGGCAAGTGCGAACTATTCGACACACCAGTAAATGAAAGTTCAAAAAGAATGAAATTTTCTAATTAAAACTTAATTTTTCACTGGAAATGCAATTGTTTAACATATAAATGACAGTTTTAAAGGTAACTAGTCCGTTATAAAAGGTTTTGAGCTGCTCATTCTTTTACAGTGGATCTTCCAAATTTTAACGATCTTCAGCGATTATGTACAAAATGACCGTATTTTACGGCTCAGTGAACGATGCGTTCGTAAATTAATTCCTACCGTTAAACTATATAGATTCTTGACCTGATAACCATTCGACTAGTTAGCAATACTACCCAAGAATAGCATAAAAATTCGTCGTTCATGAATAATGTCGTTATCAATTAATAATTTTTATTTTAAAAAGTGCTTTCATTTACTGGTATGCTTTCAATCACTGGGTAGATGACTCTATAAGCCTTTAAGAGGTAATAGTTTATGGGTGCACCCACAGAAGCCATGTTATTCGGTGTATCACTAGTATAGCTGGAGCTGTGATACAAATAAAGCTGAGTAATATGGTTATTGCAAGCTGCTTATTTAAATTGCTCGTTTTAATTGCCCCCGAAGTGGTCGTAGGCTTAAAGATCAGCATTGTCCCTGCTGTTCTCCTACGCGCACTCATTTAAAATTTTGTTTTTTATAACGCATTCGAGTCTGGTAATAGCCTGGGCTTTTAACTGAGCACACCTCGGGTTCGAACCGATTAAAACCGGTTTTAATCCTGAGCCTTGGTGTCAAACCAGGTTCTTAAATAGATTTAATCTTAGTTTTAATCTAGTTTTACCACTGGTATTCTGTCGGATTTTCACCGGCTTTATAACCGGGTTTTAATCGGTATTATATGATTTTTTGAATCTGGGTATCAACCAGTATTCTATCGAGAGCTCGATTATCCACCGGTTTTAAACCCGGTTTTTAACCCGGATTACACCCGGGTTTTAAGGTGGATGAAACCTGGATTAAACCTGGTTTTCAACCTGTATTAAACTCGGTTTTTAACTCGGATTAAACCCGACCTTTAACCCGGATTAAACCCCAATTAAACCCGGATTCAACGCGGATTAAAGCCAATTGAAATTCGGTTTTCTACCGGTTTTAATTTTTGTTGTCAACAGTTGTCATCTTGGCGTTGACTAGGCTTATGTGGGTCTCTATTTTTCGAGTTTGACGCGACTCGAGGTATACTGGTAGGGTACGAAAAAACTTGAACTACCGAGTTTTTTCTGCGGTCACTTGAGTTTTTTGTACGTTTTGTTGAACAATATTTTTACCAACAATATTGATGCAAAAATTGAAGAATCTTAGTCTGAATGTCAGAAACTAATAAGACCAGAGTTGTGACGATGTACGGTTAATTGACCTCAAAATGAAAATGCCCATGTGTTTGTTGCCTCTGAGGAGCCTTGATACCTACCCTGAGTTGAATGCGAGACTTTCTCGGAGGCTGCGAGAATGTGGATACGAGAATTGAATCAATGATGACGATCTCCATTCGAGATACTTGACCGCCCTGTGCGACAAGGCAGATACTGACTGTGCGCTCGCGCGAAGCGTCGAGAACGTCTATTTGCTCGCTTTCGGGTGCTGATTCCTCGGTTTTTCTTCGGGTTTTGAGTTCCTGATGTCAGAAAGGACCAGAAATGTTATTAAAATTGTTGGGACCATCTAGCGAAATAAATGTTTGTAATCAACCTCCAAGTCTAGCGGCCTGTACACATCAACGATTTCCCCAAATAGCTTGAATTTTTTCGTCCAGTATTTTTGAGCTTGTGTGAATGGGCTTTTTCAACCAAACTCGGTACAAAACACTTGCCTTCGGCTTGTGTTTCATTTTGAGGTCAAGTAACCGTGCATCGTAACAACTCTGGTCTTATTTGCTTCTTACATTCAGACTGAGATTTTTCAATTTTTGCATTAATATTGTTGGTAGAAATATTGTTCAACAAAACGTACAAAAAACTCAAGTGCCCGCGAAAAAACTCGGTAGCTCAAGTTTTTCCAAACCCTACCAGTATACTTTAAGTTGCGTCAAACTCGAAAAATAAAGACACACATAACCCTAGTCAAAGCCAAGATGAAACTGTTACAACAAGAATTAAAACCGGTGAAAACCCGGTAGAAAACTGAATTTTAACCGAATTTTAACTAGGTTAAATCCAGGTATAATCCGGGTATAATCCGGGTTAAAAGCTGGGTTTAATCCGGGTACAATTCGAGTATAATCCAGGTGGAATACGGCTTAAAACCCGGATTTAAAACCTGTGGATAATCGAGCTTCAACTCGATAGAATACTGTTTAATACCCGGATTTACAAAATCATATGAAACTGGTTAAAGCTCGGTTATAAAGCCGGTGAAAAACCGATGGAATACCGGTGGTAAAACTAGATTAAAACTAAGATTAAATCTAATTAGAAACCTTGTTTGACACCAAGGCTCAGGATTGAAACCAGTTTTAATCGGTTCGAACCCGAGGTGCGCATCAGTTAAAAGCCAAGGTTATTACCAGACTCGAATTTGCGACCACAACTATTAATATTCTAAAGAAGTGTACGCGACCCTGGTGCCGTAACTCAATCGGTATGCTCTGAATATTACAACAGTACAAGTGTATTTTGCAAAAACGTAAAATGCAAGAAAACGCAAAATTTAACAAGCAAAGTATACAAAAAAGGCTCACGGAAAACGCTGTATCTGAGTGAATAATCAAAATTTTTGAGTTTTGAAAAATGCCATGGAAACGGGACAAAATATCCTATTCGAAAATAAAATGAATTTTTTTTCGATTTTAAATTACCTGTTAGCCCTTAATTTATTTGGATGGAAAATGTCGATGATTCAAACACATAGATACATGTCTCTTTCTTTTTAATATAACTTAGAATGAACTTCAATCATTATCGTCAGACCAAAATTGCAAATTAGGACAATCCTTTATTGATCTAATTTTCATGCACTAATGAATTATCTTAATGCACTAATAAACCATTGAAAAACAAAATATATTATACTTTTTAATGCATAGTTAAATGATTCTTCGTTAGTTTAATCTGTAGTAATCGATTTGTTTTGTTTTAAAATTTTTTTTTATCCTTAATAACCATGATTTTTCGTATATAGATGGTGCAATAAAGCAGATTAGAAATGTAGCACGGCAGTATGCTTATTTTAAAATGATTTTACACAAAACTAAAAATGACTCCCTTACAAAACTGAAAAAGTCCTTCACTTACGAGAATTTTCGGTAAGTACTCACAATTTATAACCATTTTATCAATTTATGATCTCCATAATTTTTTTTGATCATCAATGAAAAATATTAAGGGGAGTCATACACCAATTCACTCCTCTTTGTCATTTTTGTAATATAAACCACAGTATAATGTCAATCTACATTTTCAAGATAAAATTGTGATCTTCGAGCCCTAAAAAATGTGAAAAAAGTTGCAGAATAGTCCTTTGCATCTTAAATAGCTTATTTTTGCTATTTAGACCTTTCGGCACTGTGCGCAAGTTTCAGATCAGAGTTATTTAGGTGGCAATGCTTAATAGGAATCAAAATCTTCAGAAAAGTATCCGTTATGGGCTGAGTTTTTGTGGAATTTTGATTAGAGTTATAAAAAATTTTGTATGCCAACAGATGTCTAAAAATCAAGAAATAAAAAAAATTTATTAATTTTTTTGAGCACATATTGAATAGTATAACTGATATGAAGGTCTAAATAAAAATTCCACCAAACTCAGCCCATAAAGGATACTTTTTTGAATATTTTGATTCCTATTAGGAAGCCCCACCTAAATAACTCTGATCTGAACCTTGCGCACAGTTCCGAAAGGCTAAAATAGCAAAAATAAGCTATTTTAAGCTTAATTGAGCTTAATAATTGCATTATTAAGGATAATGCAAAGGACTATTCTGTAACTTTTTTCACATTTTTTAGGGCTCAAAGATGTCATTTTATATAGAAAATGTAGATTGACATTAAACTGCGTTTTATATAATAAAAATGACAAAGAGGAGTAAATTGGTGTATGAATCCCCTTAAATACGACACAAACTTCACAAAGTTCACATTCATGGCAGTATAATAATGGCTATTTAAGTAACACGTATCATCATTATAGAAAAGTTCAGGAACATTTCAAAAATTCACATATGTTCTTTGATTACTTACGAGATTTTTTTTCTATGCTATTACCCCTAAAACCATTGAGATAAAAAATCGCAAAGATTAGACAGAAAGCGCCAGTGTTTGAGCCTCTGGGGCCATCAGGTAAACAGAGACATCTGCGTCACGCCATACGAAAAGGTGATGTCGCGCCTAACGGGTCCCATCTCCTCGTCATTATTGGAGCACATCACGGTTTATGAAGTATTTCTAGAGGACCCTGTTGAACCATTCGTTTGATGGCAGAGTTCTGTCAAGCTCAGTGTTAAGCCGTTCCACAAATCAACAGCATACACTCCCCGTTAATCACTTTTCCCGTACCTGAGCGCGCTAACTGATCAAACTTAAAATTTACGTAATTCAGTCAAAAATGAACGAATCGGCATTTTGAAATAAACATTCGAAAGGTCTTTGCAAGTATTGCTGCATAAATTTTTCTCAGGTTTATTTATTATCTCATTGATTTTCATTAACAATCAACGAATCAAAAGTATTGGTTTTTATTGTCTCGGCTATTTCTCATGTCATTTTAGTTAGAGTGATTGTAGAAACATTTTGAGCCTATAGATTTGTATGTTTTTACAAGACCTTCAAACCCTTTTTAAAATTGTTATACGTTCATTTTACATGAAGATACAACTGTTTTAATATACCCCAATATTCTGGATAATTCAATAAATTCAACAATTATGATGAATTTTCAGAATATTTGCGCATTATCATTTCGGCAGGAGCATCGGAGAGCATGTAGGCCGGCTTACGAGCTCTTAAACTAGAGACCAAGATTAAAATATCCGATAATACCTGCGCTTCTAGTAGCGTAAGAGCTGCAGTTCGTCATAGGTATGTGAAATACACTATAATTTTCTTGTGGACGTCGCATAACGTAACACAGCATTTTGGCAGTGGTGGAGTCTGGATGTGTTTTCATCGGACAATTCTTTCAAAAGGGCCTCACTGTAGTCAAGGAGTTAAAAAATTAGTGTTTGGACTACGATAAGTTTTGTGTCACGCGAGATAAAGTCCTGTAATCTGCGAAGCCAAACAAGCGATGCATAGCATTTACCTACAACAGCAGTTGATTGATCTCTCCAGGATAGGGTTTCGTCAATCATAAAGCCTAGAAGCTACTTTGAAAATTCACTAGGTTGCATATTTGCATCTTAATCGACAACGCATGATCATAAAACTCAGATGATATTCGTCGTGCTGTTTATTACCGAGTTTTTTGGTCCATTTAGATGATTTAGAAAAGGAGATCTTTATTACGAGGGTTCCATGTGATCAGCTTGTTTGTTCAGCTGGCCACATTGCCTCTATCTTAAATGTCTCAGTTGAAGTATTTACTTATGTTGGTCTTTATTACAGTGTAGTAAAATCGTACTTTTAATCTTTAGACTAAGTTTGTGGTGTTGACGAATGTTTTTTGGTGCTGTACAGTGCGTACACATCATAGAACTCTTTGACAGTTGTCTTAAGGGCTCTCATCTTATCATCGATGCCAGATATCAGATAACTAAACTAAAAAAACAAAAATTTCGTATGCATATAATGTTTGAATTTTGTCTGAAGAGGTAAATAATTAGTCCGATCCATTTGAAAATACTTGCGTCTGTCCAAAAATTGAAAACAAAAAAGAAGAAAGCCCTATCGAAAATTCATGGATGGATTTCAATGCAAAATAACACCGAGAAATTCGAACTATTTTACTTAACATATTAAAAATATGGGGTGGATTTTTAGGTGTTTTCAAATTTTTTTTTAAATTTCCAGATGGGCTGTATCCACTGTAATGACAAGGCAAAATATGATTCCGGTAAAAAATGAAGATAAAATGATTCTTAGTCTCATACCATTTTGGGATATGTGCAATCATGAAGAAGGAAGGGTAAGAGTACAAAAAATTCTTTTTATTTTATAAATCACTTGAACAAACAAAAGACACTTGGATATGGAACATACGAATTACCTAGAAAAAATGAGTCTTACTTCTAGACGAGATGACCGATGTTTTTTTCTGAAATTAAAACGATCAGGTATTAAAAAATCAAAGGTAGCTTTTAATCAAAAATTTCAATTTTAGGGAAGTATTTTTCCTCTTTCCATATCTACAGGACTAGGGTCATGTATACTTCTTTATAATATTAATGATTATGTCACATAAAACGTAATTTATTATAATTTTTTTTTAATCTTTGATTTATTTACAATTTTTCTTGATAAAGATAATAATTAAATAGATTGTTATAGTGGGATAACAATTACGAAAAAAGGTTCGTTTGGTGGCAGCCACAGCTTCAGAAACTGGTTTCGATGCAGTTGTGACTGGTAGAGGCGAACGGGATGATAAGGGGTGATCTCGTTCGTGCCTGTGAGATATATTACTCTATGCAAAAGTTGCTTTTGATCGCTACCTTCTGTAGATAGTAATCAATTATGTTTAGATAATTTATTTGACCAAACAGTGAGAGAAACAAGAGCAATAAACTCTTTGTTAATCTCGTTGAAAGGTCACTTGTTTTATCAATCAGTAAAAAAGACAAGTTTACTGTTCAAACTGGAACATGCCAGAGCTTCATTCTCTTCCACTCTTAATTATTTCCAGCCATATTTTGTTTACGCGTGACGAGTTTTCGGTAAGCTCGACATCCAGTGGTTAGTTCATAAACTATATTTAATGTTGTTGTCCCGGCAACGTGGGTGTCATAACAAGATTAAGCAATAATATGAAAGTTACAGTTTTAAAAAAATTATGTGTGAATTTTGTCCAGTGGCGAAAATTCTTTTTGGATAGCTAAGGGAAAAGTCGATTAATGAGTTAACTTTAGATATCAAGTAGAATTGCTTTCACAGATATTTATGTTTCTTCAGCCTTGAGTTTTTCAAGTTCACGTATCCTAAATCTATTGCTAGGGAGTTTGGATGAATTTTTTTTTTTATATTTAGCTGAGAAATCCTGAATTTTCTCGGTAACAGTAGGAATTTTAAATCTTTTGTAATGTTTTGATTGGTGACACACCATGACGCGTTGACCTGACACCGCAATGTTTTGGATTGAAAACTTTCGATGATCTCGACATTAGACTTGAATGACATCCCCCCTAATTGAATACCATAAGTCCAAATTGGCTTAAGAATTGACTTGTATTTTGTTTTCAAGTGATAGTGCTGACTTTCTACCAAGCAACCAATACATTTTGCGCAACTTCAAAGCCAATTGTTATATTTTTAGTCAGATGTATAATTTTCATTTAAGATGACCATCTAGGATAAAACCAAGATATTTAGCTACATAAATTTGTGGTATAGAGGTTTGATTAAACTTAACATCCGGACAATTCTTTTTGCGTAAGGTGAATGTAATGCGATGCGACTTTTTTTTTGTTGGTGCTAATTCACCAGTTTTTTTACCAAGTTTCAATTTTATACAAGTCGAGTTGCAGATTCTCGGAGGCTCTTTTGGAGTTTGCGTTTCTGCTTAGCAAGGTTGTGTCATCTGCGCATGTAGCCATCGGTACATTTTCGGGAGAAGGAATGTTGGCTATGTAGAGCAGATACAACGTGCGACACGGTGGCTTTTCGAGGCCCTGCCACCGCCGCACGACGAATGCGTGGACTCGAACTGGGCCGTTTACGCGAAAAATAAAGGGGAAAGGAAAGGCAACAAAGGGTGAAATAAATAAAAGTTTCTTTTATTTTACTTTTTAAATAATAAAATCAAATATTTATTATAAAGAAGTGGCGACTTATCCGGCTTTTTATTTGACTCGCATACGCACTCACATACACACCTTACAAATAATGTTACCGTACCAAATAAATTTAACGACGACAATCCGACTTTGGCGTAGTAGCTCTCGGCTGGGCTGTGGTCTGGCTTGGGTCGAAACGGTGCTTAGCATTAGTTGATGTTGCGGATGGCGGTCTTAGACCAGAGTCTCGGCTCGTGTACCCGGCTTTCCATCACGCAACACTGCTTCACACGACTGAACTCAACACTCTCTCTTAAAGTCACTATGCATCCTCGCCTCGCTCACACAATGCTCACACGGTACTCGCAGGTACTCTCGTTAATTACTCTTCCTCACTCCTCTCTCACTCACACGTGCCTAAACTCACTCGGCAGGAAATATCACTCGCAAAAATGCTCGTACTCTTTCGCTCGTGGTCAACACGTGAATGCTGCGCTCGGCTTCCTACTCACGCGCATCACGTGTCCGGCGCGGCGCGCTCAGGCGGCTTCTCTTACAATTTAATCTGGCGTGACATATGAATTCGAGTTTTTTCGGTCTGGCTCTTGGCGGTGGCTCGTCCTTTTCTGGCGATTGACCTGCAAAATTAATTTACTCGTTATTTATTGCATTACTTATTTTTACATTGCCTGTCAATCCTTATCATACTTCTCTGTCAGAAGCTGCTTGGCACAATCACATTGTCACAAACGCTGGTTCGAGAAGTTTTTTAGTATAATACTGGAGCTTTCTGATTTTTTCGGTTTTTGATCTGATATAACTACTAATTCACTGATACGCTATTTAAATACCATTCTGGATTTTGATAATCTATATCCTGATATAAGTCTTTTTGTTCTTCCCCAGTGATTAGCCTTGGCAGGGTACCAAACACTTTGCTTAAATGTTGACCAAACGCAGTGGCTTTTCCCAGGCTTTTTGTAGAAAATAGATTATGTAGGTGGGTAAGGCTCAGAATTTTTTAAATAAACCTGCGCTCGTATGTCACCGATCTTGACGCGCTTTTGGTATGTTATAGTACATGGTAAAAAAGACCCAAAACCAAAATTTTAGACCCCCTCCCCCCTCCTACCCCCCACTTCCGGTATAAACGTCCATTTTCTATCTATATTTTTTCTGAAGGCCTGAAGCAATTAAAAAATCTGAAAAAATTCACAAAAATACTTTTCAACAATCCAAACAACCTTGAATTTTTTCAGATTTTTTGAGTGCTTCAGGCCTTCAGAAAAAATTATTGAAAATTTTGAAAATTCATATACGGCGCTACGATGCAATACAAAGCCCGATCTTTTTTTCCACTTATTTTTGACATCAAAATACATAACCTCAAATTTTTTCAGATTTTTTCAGACAGAGCGCTGGCGGTTTTTAGCCGAAAAACGCCCTTTTTTTACGAAAATAATTTTTTTAGGGCGATATGAAGCTTTAAAAAATCTGGAAAAATTTTTTTCTTGTTTTTCAGGTCAAAATACATAACCTTGAATTTTTTCAAATTTTTTAATTGAAGGCGATAGCATCTATGGCTAAAAAACGCTATTTTTATGAAAAACGGTTCCTGGAACCCAGAGGTTCCGGTAAAAAAATTTGAAAAAATTTTTTTCGAATTCCTTGTCAAATTTTAATAAATTTTGACCGTCGCAAAATTTCGATTGGAGCTTCCTAGCTCATTCTAGAGCATAACAAAGATTCGAGCGAAATTCTGAAGAAATTTGAAAAATAATGTAATTGTGATGAACGTCTTCAGAATTTCGCTCGAATCTTTGTTATGCTCTAGAATGAGCTAGGAAGCTCCAATCGAAATTTTGCGACGGTCAAAATTTATTAAAATTTGACAAGGAATTCGAAAAAAATTTTTTCAAATTTTTTTACCGGAACCTCTGGGTTCCAGGAACCGTTTTTCATAAAAATAGCGTTTTTTAGCCATAGATGCTATCGCCTTCAATTAAAAAATTTGAAAAAATTCAAGGTTATGTATTTTGACCTGAAAAACAAGAAAAAAATTTTTCCAGATTTTTTAAAGCTTCATATCGCCCTAAAAAAATTATTTTCGTAAAAAAAGGGCGTTTTTCGGCTCAAAACCGCCAGCGCTCTGTATGAAAAAATCTGAAAAAATTTGAGGTTATGTATTTTGATGTCAAAAATAAGTGGAAAAAAAGATCGGGCTTTGTATTGCATCGTAGCGCCGTATATGAATTTTCAAAATTTTCAATAATTTTTTCTGAAGGCCTGAAGCACTCAAAAAATCTGAAAAAATTCAAGGTTGTTTGGATTGTTGAAAAGTATTTTTGTGAATTTTTTCAGATTTTTTAATTGCTTCAGGCCTTCAGAAAAAATATAGATAGAAAATGGACGTTTATACCGGAAGTGGGGGGTAGGAGGGGGGAGGGGGTCTAAAATTTTGGTTTTGGGTCTTTTTTACCATGTACTATAACATACCAAAAGCGCGTCAAGATCGGTGACATACGAGCGCAGGTTTATTTAAAAAATTCTGAGCCTTACCCAGGTATTTACTTCTTTTGTGATTTTTGTCTTTTTTGAGAAGTTTATTCAGATTTTTAGTGGCATTATTTCAGTATGTTATAATTTTATCGTTGTGTGATTTCCGCCATTTTTCTCTCATGGTATTCTGTATCCCAGTTTAGAACTCAAATTTTCAAAAAAGTTTTCTGAAACTTCTATCATATATTTCTTTAAAAGGCTCTGTGGCAACCTAAGAACATCAAAGTGAAGGTTGTTGTCAAAGATTGTTTTTGTTGTTGTCTATACTCTGTAACTTTGCTCTGAACATTTGTGTTCAGGACCTCAGATGAGGTGATCAAATCCATAGGTCCATTAAGTAGCTGTATGATAGAGATGACAAAAAAATCTAAAATAAAAACAAAATTATACTTAACCGAACGTTCAGAGTAAACTAGGGCCCAGTCACCTCTTCCAAGGTCTTAGATATTATCATTTATATTCTGAAGAAGTGTACGTGACCTGTCTGTTGTAGCTACAACGCTTTCATAAAAATTTCGAAAACTGACATAAATTCTTTATTATATTTATTATATTCTTTATTATATTCTTTATTATAATAAAACATATAACATCAGAAAACGCAAAGAAAAAAGTATAATGTGCAAAGTACACGGAAAGGCATATGGAAGGTTCTGTGAGCAAGGTAAAATTAAAAATTTAGGATTTTCAAAAAATCCTATGAAAAAATAAAGAAAAATACTTTTCGAAAATAGAACAAAAAATGTTTTTGCCTTAAAGCTACCCTTGAATCCTTAAGGACCAGGATCCCACGTTGTACGCACAACCGGTAATCCTCTACTTTAGCTTAACAGCGTAGCAGACGATGCTGATAAACTAAGCTAGAAGCTACGTATCCCTTGGAGATATCTGGTGCTTCGTTTGGGCGATAAAGTTGATCGAAGACGTGCATTGGTGTGTGGGAAATTGCACTGTAGCGTAGTCTATATTAACATATAACATCATATAACATTTTCTAGAAGTTTTTTGATTAATTTTTTATCGGAAAATTTCTGAAATTTTTCCCTCGCACATTTTGATACCTGTACTTACAAGGAGACTACTCCAGCTTCGGGTCATGGGTCTTGACCAAACTTACTGAGGGTACTTTGTGCACCTAGAAAACATACCCAGTAGGTTTAGTTTGATCTCATAGGCGCCTGGAAGAAGTATAACCCACATGCAATATTTAAATATTAATTGTATGTAAAAAAAACCCTTTATTATAACCCGATGACTCAATACTTATTGAATCAATTCCAAGTACTTTGAAAGTACTTGGATTTGTACTTTTTCATGTCCTGAACACATGAAAAAAAGTGCGACACTTCAGCTTTATTGGCTCACTCTGTCCATATAGCTTTAATAAAGAGGAACAATATTTGAAAAATACAACCTCTTGGCGTTGATTCAAATTTATCTTCTTGTAACACGCAATTGGACCTATTTTATACATTTAAATATGTGAAATTTGCGTTTCAGGAGTTTGCTGTGACATTTGTTTCAGGAGTTCGCTGTGACGATTGTATTTTTTAAATATGTTTCATTTTTATTATAGGCATAATTGCATAATGGAGCGTACTCTGGCTCTAATTGGTTTGTATATCTGAATTTGGACCGTGAGCCAATAGAGCTGGATTGTTGTACATTTTCATATGTGTTTAGAACATAGAAACAAGAGCTTTAAAGGTGTTCAGGTGATCAGGTGATAATAAAGGGGGGTTTTACACATAATTAATATTAAAATATTGCATGTGGGTTGTACTTCTTCCTGGTGCCTATGAGATCAAACTGAACCTACTGGGCATGTCTTCTAGGAGTATAAAATACCCTAAAAAATGTTGGAGCAGATCCATGACCCGGAGTTGGGGTGGTCTCCTTGTGAGATACAAATAATCAACAAATAAAGTATTATTTTATTATGTTTCATGCTTTATCATCATTTCAGATAACCACTAACTTTGATTTATCTACAAACAGTTGTGAATGTTTTGCAATGCGCCACTTCAAAAAGAGTGATCAAATTTTTATACACTACGGATCCAGAACAAGCACAGAATTTTTTATCCACTCAGGATTTTTACCCGAGAATAATCATAATGTAAGTAAAAAGAATCGAAAACGATAAAAAATTATTCAATTACAATCTGGATGCGCACTTTTTTTATTTAAAATTTATTTATTTAAACAAACTATACATTATAATATCTCAAATGATACACAAAAAGAATACACAAAAACCTCTCATAGTTTTTCGAGTACTTGATTCTGACTCAATTCTAGTCGTAGCTCACAGGATCAGAAATAACGAAAATACATATCATTCATTCATGTTATTACCGGTGGAAGTAATAAATGTCATGTGATATTTCTTTAAAATATATATGGAGATTCTTACAATTTGGGGTTATATGTCAAAGTTCGTAATAATTTTTTTTGTCAATAGAAACTAAATCATGAATAATTATTATATCATGCTTATGTAGCGTGTTTTCTCTTATTCACGTATTTTTTAATGAACTGATCGTGGTAGGAGTTTTTTAAAGAATTTCATATGCAACTCGGGTGTTATGGTATCTTGAGGCAAAGCGCAGCAAAGTTTATCTGCTGAAGGAGGAAAAAGTGCCTTAAATCTCAAAACATTAATTTTTTTATCATTAGTTTCAGCAGAATTTTTCTTAAACTTTCCAGAGCTGTGATCAGAATTAAAAAAATTCCCATTCCATCGTATTTTGCAGCATATAAAATCACCTCCCCAGCGATTGAAAATGCACCAGTGAATGAAACTTTATTTATAAATTAATATAATTTAATTATACTGAACTAATTCATCGGTGGTGAAATTTTATAAAATAATTGAGTATTATTACTAAATATTTCAATAGTTTTTAACAACTTTCTGAATATATTATCATTTTAATTATTATGGTTTCATTTATTGATAAAAATGTTTCATTCACTGGTGCATCGTTCCCTTATATGTTATTTTATTAATGAAAGTTGAAAGTAAAAATTCTGCAAAAATTCTATTCAGTAGAGAAAGACATTTACTATTATAATCCATCTGAATAATAGCCTTTAATTTATTAAAAACGTTGATTTGAGCTGAATTTAACCAAACTTTTTTGAAACCTTTCATTCACTGACTCTATATTTAGTCGGTATATTTATACATATCATTAAATTTGTTCATCGTGTTCACGATTTGCCGTATTTTTAGTGTACAAGAATAATGCTCTAGCGTTCGCTAGTCAATCGGTTTAGGCAGTTAACAAGACATCACTTTTTGTGTGTCATTCGACAAGAAATTTGTCGGTCGTCAAATTTATTTTGGCAACGTTTCGTCTACACAAGCTATCATTGGCTTTTAGACCGATTATTTCTACCGTCAATAGCCCTACTAGTTTTTTAGCTCCTGTCTTATAAAAAAATTTAAAATCATGTTTTAACAATCCTCTGTCACACATTAATAATAGTTTTGAGTTAATTGAAAAAATCAAGAATATTGAAGTTCCTCCGAATTACATTTTTATCTCTATGGATGTCGTATCTTTGTTCACCAATTTCATGTTGGAGGACGTCTTATCGAGCTTAGACCGCAGATACAACGAGATTTGTAGGAATTCAAAGATACCCTTTGTGGATGTCGTAGAGGGTACGAAGTTTTTGTTTGACAACGTGTATTTTTCGTTTAATGGAGAATATTACAAGCAGATTGCTGGTTCCCCGATGGGATCTATTATCAGCCCTTTCTACACTGATTTGGTTTTCGCAGATTTGGAGTCTAAATGCTGGAGAAGACTGAAAGATGAATTTGATATCGTTCCGTTGTTTTCGTATATGTTGCGGGAATCTCCTTTCCAGAAGGTTGTCCCGTATATTTGAAATATTTCTGATATTAATAAATTAAAATAAACGGACACAATATTTTTGTTTATAGTGAGAAAAAAGCCGTGAGGCTAGAAAAAACTCTTATCTCTTTATTTAAGTTATTAAGCCCAATTCAATCGAGAATTGGCTGGGGCCCCGATCGAGAAGAGAGCAAAACAAGCTGTCTCTCGCGTTTAATAAATTTAAACTTAGATATTTTTAAATATTTGTTAAGTTTTATTAGTCAGCGACTCTGAACTGCTCTCGTCGAAGTAACGTCTCGCGCAGGCGAAGAAACAATAATCCAAGAAATAACAAACAACGACGGTAACTACGCAACCGATCGAACAGTATAGATATGTCGACGATGGTTTCGCATGTGTACACATCGATCATGTTAATACCATTCTTAAGATCTTTAATGAACAAAATACACATATCAAGTTCACACACGAAGTTGAAACGGAGAATCATCTGAACTTCTTAGACGTGCAATTCATTAGGATTGGATCACGTATTGTCACCAACTGGTACAGAAAAGAGATAGCGTCACAAAGAACAGTGAACTTTAATTCCAGCCACCCGAAAAATTTTAAAATTAATACGGTTTACAATCTGGTAGACAGAGTCTTACTACTCTCAGATACTAGGTTTCATGCAAGTAATTTACAGGTGGTTCGTAACTTCTTACACAAGAATTAATATCCTGATCACTTTATCGACAAGTTTGTGAAGAAAAGAAGAATAAGTATGCATTGTAAAAATAATTTGCGATCTGTGAACAATTCAGATTCTCGTGACAAGAGTCGCTTGTATCTGACTTTACCATTGTAATATTTAACTTCGGGGGTTCGGAGTATTGTCACGTAAGAAAATTACAAAATTATGCAATCACACACTAGCGCACTAGGGTTGGGCGGAAATAACCAATTGTCTATATTTTTATTAAAACTAAAGAGAAATAAGTTTATTAAAGATTAAATAAATAAAGTGGTATTGATCAGAATAAATCTGGGCCTTCTGGCCAGTAATACAAGACTATAAAAGGTTTCCGCTGAACCGAGCGTGAATGGGTTTGCGCTGGAGAAGTGTTGGGTCGACAAACAGGTACTCACCAAGGGCTCGTCGATTCTAGCTCGGCTACAGGCCCACGTCCTTTAACTAGGAATCACTGGGCTCGCAAGGCACAAAATAATACAACGACAAACAAGTTCAAATCATTAATAACAACTTTTCAAAATAATCAATTATCCCGAGGCAGGTGAATTTACTCTACTCGCGGTAATTGCCGAAATAGGAATCGGCTCGTATGCCTACAAGGCTACAAGCCTTAAAGAGACGCTCTTTCTCCCTCTCTGCTGCCAGCGTTCGCTCGTCACGCCGCGGTCCATCGTACGGCAAGCGACAGTTATTATATTAGCAATAGCTAAATGTAAATCAATAACTATTATAAAATATAAATAATAAATAATATTAATGTAGGCTTTTGCCCAAGAGGCGGAAGAGAGTATACCGAATAATATATTCGTTACACCATACAATCAACACTTCATCAAGTCCACGTCACCGTTACTAAAGAAATATCGCATCAATATCATTCCATCAATAAATAATAAGCTCAACGACATCGTGTATTAGGAAAAGATAAAACGAAAAAGTTGGACCGTGTCAATTTTGTGTATACATTTGATTGCAAGTCATGTAATGCAACATATGTTGGTGAAACCAAGAGAGCACTGAGTAAACGTATGAGTGAGCATAAAAATAACAAAGATCCGAAATCTGTGGTGAGACTGCACTCATTGGAGCATGAACATGAGTTTGATTTCAAGAACGTCAGGATCTTGCATACTGAAAATAACTGGTACAAGAGACTCATCGCAGAATTGTTTTACATCAAAAAGAATGTTTTTGCTATTAATAAAAGGGAAGATACACGAGGTTTGAGCGTTGCGTACCGTGGCTTATTTTTATAAATATGTTTGTGTGTGTTTAATTTAAATATAAGTCTTAATATTGTTAAAATTAGTCTTATTATTATTATTATTATTTACAGTTTATTAACCGACCTTAGTTTTACATCGATTCGCAGCAAGGTTTATGTATAATTTTGTTTGTTATAGCCTGAAGAGGTCTAGAGAAACGCTAGACGAAACTTTGCCAAAATAAATTTGACGATCGACAAATTTATTGTCGAATGACACACAAAAAGTGATGTCTTGTTAATTGACCGATTGACTAGCCAACGCTAGAGCATTATTTTTTTATACATATCGGTATAATATAAGTTTCGCGTAGTTGTAAACCATGGTTACGCTTTTGAAGCCTCCATATACGATTTTTTCCAATGTAAGCACCTGCATTTGCACACAGCTTTGCTCTCATGTACACTTCCTATAAAGATGCTTACACACACAGTGTATAGCTATTTTGACATCTAGGGTAATCAGCTATGATACATCTTGCGTGTGCATTACGACTACACTTTTTGTGTAAAATGGATTTATGACGGCGAAAAGATGGGAAATTTAATACAGCATTAGCATTAATATTTATTTTTAAAAATTTTTAAATTTAAAATTAGATAGATAAATAAATGTAAGGATAAGGATGTATTTTTTTGACACAGCTGACAATCTAGTTCTTTGAGGTAAACAGTTAGGTATGAACATAAAACAACAAATCTTAACTCTGCTCAAACATTTTTTAGAAATCATCCCGTATGTTTAAAAAATATAATTATTAATATTTCATTCTAGATTTCATATAATTACTAATATTATATATTTAATTATAATTTTTTTAGGATTCTTTCCGACTTAGACTTGGTATAAGTCATTTGGATCCGTTAAAAGAGCAAAGAATATATCTTCTTAATAAATTGGGATTACCAATAAACCATGAATATACTCTTCGGCCCGGAAATGAAGTAATATCTGGAAGCTTACTTGCATTTCTACGAATTTTTCATTTTTCTAAATCCGAATTGATAAAATGGATGAATTCTGAAAATTTCTGTATGCTGACTGAATCATCCTGTGATATAAGTAACGATATACATTGCAAAGCTATGTCTTACATAAAAGTGAGACTGGAACTTCTTATGCAGAGATATAAAAGTATAAATGAGGTAATGTTGTAAAAACTATTTTCAATATCAATAATAAAGATTATTACTTAATGATATAGGGGAGTGTGCACCGCATGTGTATTTAAGCTCTGTTTATTTTTCTACTTTTTTGTTGCCACACAACAGCAACCCGCGTATGTAAGGGTGAGGAGCGACGCTCTACTTATAGGGTACTGCTAAGAGCTCCTTGAATTGCCTGTATTTTTTCAAGAACTGCGTGTTGGTTCGGATTTTTAGATCATTTGATCTTAGTCAGACCTCACTTGTGGTGTCATGATGCGAGCTGTGGCTGATGGCATAGTTAGTGCAGCTGTTGACAAGGTGGTAGGTACGACAACAGACCCTGTTTGTCTGGTGCATCGTGCTTTTCTTCTGACAGACATCGATTTTTCTGCACAAGGACTGTTTTGATAGTTGGCTCCAAAAGTGTCTTTGTTCAGGTACACCAAGTTCTGGCACTTAAGTCGCTACAACGACGGAGATCTCGGCGTGCCTACTTTCACTGTAGGCTGTTATTACCCATAAGTTTGCCGGGAGTTATTCATCCCGGCTCTTTGCAGTCTCGTATTTACTTATAAACCTCGATCATTTTTATACCAAGAATTTAAAAATTTTGTCCATGCCATCTAGCGTTGAAACGGCGTATTCCTAGTATTGTGCTATTTTTTGCGGTTTGTTTGATTATTTAAACTTACCTGAATTTACAATATTCCCAAGCGTGTATGTGGTTGTGAATCTTCAAACATTCCCACAGCTCCTATTTCTGTTCAGCATCATTAAATGCAAATAAAATGGATAATAGAACTTTATAAGGACATACCCGTGTTACGAGTCGCAACGAAGTACTCGTCTTGATCCGCGCACGTAGTGATATTCCAATATATTCATATACCAAATCTTTGTAAAAGCAAAAAAAAGTGTTTAGTCAAAAAAACGGGTTCAAAGTTTCTTTTTCTTTGGGGTCTACACATAATGATGAAATCCTTTGTGGTTAATTTAATCTGATGGGCTCTGAAATTAATTTTTAAGTACTAATTCTAATTTAAGTTAAATTTTCCACCAGAAATCAATTAATTTAGGTTTTTAGGGCTATTTTAAAAAAAGTACTTTGGTATTTTTTTTTTCCTAAAATCGATTTCTTCCGAGATATTTAACATTAAAATTTTGAAAAAACGCGAAAATGGCTGTTTTCAACCCACTGCCAATGGGATTAAATGAATTTTGATGTCCTAGAATATCTTTATAATTGCATTGATGAAATAGAAAAACAAAAATTTCCAAAACCTTATTGTTAAGCTATGGTTTTTAAACTTAAATAATAGGCGCGGGTGCCCAAGCAGTGTATGGTCACTATTTATTGTAATAAGTCATAAAATATAGACCTGAGACGTCGTGTTATCCTCGTAGTATAATTAACAAACTTAACCTCAGATGGCCTGTCGCATAGAAAATGTAAACTAGTTACTAGAGATGCTGATATGAAGCACCTGACGTACATGGTATAATTTCTTATTTAATACCAATTCCTTAAGAATTTTTGAAAATGTTTTCCTTAAGTTGTCAGCCGTTTCCCCTTTTCTGTCCAAGAGATCTAAATAAAATTTTCCATAATTTTAAACTGGTCATAGAAAAATGGCGAACTACCCTAAAACATTTAAAAGCCCGTAAATGCATGTACAGCTGAAAGGGAATTACTAATATCTGTCTACAAAAACTCAGCATTCATTTCACATGATACAATTTTTGACTTTTTACTTTTTATTTCGAAAAATAAAACTTTGCAATTCATCGATTTTTACAAATACCAAAAATGAATACCTAAAATGTAAACATCTGTGTCCGTACTATGAAATATGAGTTATGTAATTGAATTTACATTATAAAATACATGACTGTAAATTCTCGTATCGGACTTCAAGGGGTTACTTTCTAATTGCGGAATTTCAAACATTGTTCTTCTCATTAATTTGTAGCATTTTTCTAAATGAACAAAACCTCCACTTAAAAATAATTATTGATAAATGTTTGAAGTAACACATTTTGAAATATTTTGACATAAAAACTCAACGATTTGTTACTTATTTTTGCGATAAGCCATAATGTTCATAACTTTTTTTGGGTACACTCGTTTTGCCCTTAACGTTCACCTCTGTTAAATCAACTTCATTTGCCTTCAATAAACGTTGTAAACATTTAATCCCTAGATCATCATAACTATCAAATGCGACGGGGACTTTTGAAACATTAGTATCTTTAAAATATGATGTTACGTAAGCGTAACAATTTTGCGTTTTTGCAAAATCTCCAAAAGTAACAACATTTTAATTTTGTTAAATAAAAAATAGCTACATCATCAAATATATGAATTTTTTTATAAGTATTCGAATAAACTTGACGATTTTCAACTTGACATTTTTATCGATTTTCAATTTGTTTCATTAAGTTTGATTTCGTAGTCTCCTTATAAAAACGATTAGAATCTGCTAATGCTTCAGGATAATTTAAGATTTCAAATTCTCCGTAATTTTCTAGAGCAATACCTCTTTGATTCAATAATGTAAGTGTATGCTGAAAATTTAAAAGTTCTTTCGTATTTTTTAGTATCGTTTAATCGTTTATCTTCTTTGGGGTTTCATCGTAAAAAATTGTATAGCACTCTAACCTAAAAATCGCATCTTTGCCGCTAGTTTTGGGCTCTTGTGCTATAAAATATTGTTTGAAACTTGTGTGAATAACTTTTTCAGCAAAACTCGACTTCGGCTCGCGCTGCAACCCCTTGTTTTGCAGAAAAAGCATATCCACACCTGTTGCATAAAGTACTATTTCAATTTAGTTTGAGGAATCGTATCAAAAATACTCTTGTGTTTGTTAATTAATCTCTCATTTATGAAATGTTCAAGTAGCTGTTCGCCAAACTGTTTTAGTGTTAGTAGATATGACGATATTTCTTTGGTGATGAATTTTTCATTGTAAATATTAAATAAGCTCCCATTTTTATTATTGTCATCAAAATTATTCTTTTTTTCAAAGACTTAATTATTTTTGTGACATCTTCATCACCTTTATGCATATTTACATTGACATCAATGGAACTATCGTTATCGAATGCATCATCTATCAGATCGCAGAGGGCTAAGAGAGATTGGAAAATTCTACTTTTTTCAGGTTGTATTAAAAGCCTTGTTTGTAAAGCATTTTCATTCCTTGTGATACTTGTCAATTATCCGAAAATAACCGAGGACCTATTTTGCATTTGCTATATAGTTATAATGCCACATCTTCTTCTACTCCATTGACCCCAGTGAAAAGGTTTGGTAAGATCTTACGTGGAAACTTGCTTAAGACGGTAGGTAAGAACATACGTAAGTTCTTACCTGGGCTTCTTTACACAGTAAAATATTATTTTTCTTAAAACTTAGTAATTGTCAGTTATTTTTTAAACAGTGAGTGAAAAAGATTCCCGGGACCTGGGATTGAACTGGTAATCAGTCGCTTAAAAGTCCAATGCCCTACCACTTGAACCATTCATTGGATACTAGCGACCCCGTCGTGGCTTCGCCCACGTTCAATTTTTTCAACAAATTCGACTGCCTAAAAGATCTTAAACAGGCCACGTCAAATGCTTAGTAGGAAATGTAAAAGTTGAGTCCACACACTTGTAAAACTTAAATAGCTTAATAACAGATGTACACATCAAATACAACGTATTCCGATTCACCGCGTGTAAAAAAAACAACTGCTTTCGGTCTTTTTTATAACCATTAATCGGGCAAGGGGCGAGCGAGCGCGCAAAGTGGTAAAATACGAAAAAAATTCTGAACTCAAAAATAAATAAGCAAATAATGGTTTGAATATGATAGAAACCTGCGCAGTGGTATAATGAATACGTGGTAGAAATTTCAAGCCGATTGGACAAATAGTTTTTGAGATCATAAAGGACAAACAGACACCAACTTCGCTTTATATATATAGATAGAAAAGTTCACTAAAAAGTTATATTAATGAAATGTGTGTATGACTTTTTTTCAAGTGCTTTTATCTAACCACATTTATATTAACATAATGTTATAGCACAAAAGCAGTCGTGTTTGAAGTGCACTAAATGAACCCCTACCTTGATCACTAGATCATAGGGGTAGTACGAGTAGCCTCGGTATTTGAGCGTGCCTTTGTCACGCGCGAGATAGAGCATATGCATAAATGAGACCGAGATAAAGGCACTCGTTGCGTAAGCATTCGACGGTTGCACGCGCGAGTCTCTGTGGAAGTATAACGCCCTTTTTTCGGATGTTCAAATGCTAGTTCTGATAAGAGGAGGCCACCGCCCACGCTTAGACTGTACCAGGTAAAACGACATCGATGACGCACTGCTATGTGCTGAAGAACGGAGATTTCTGGGAATAAGTGGACAGAAGACCGAAGGTAGCAGCCTACAAGATATCACATCAATACACTTGCACCTATTTACGCTGATAAGAACCCGTGGCTGTTACGCTTTTAGCCCAAGCGGACATCACGTGTATACCTCATTCCACGCAATTCATAAAACGAAGAACAGTCCCCCATTGTCCGAGCAGTGCGACTTTTGCAAACGCTATAGCCCATGATGATAGCACATACTGTAGTCCACGGATGATCGAACGCGTGTTACGCTATTTGCTCAGATGTTTGTGGAGGTTCGCTAGCTGCTACAATTCGAGGAAATTGTAATCAGTTACAGGTATTTCCAATCTCTGGCCCACGCAAATTATACGAGGGAGAGACGGATTTTGAACTTTGAGTACGGCAGAGCTACGTCTTTTTCGTAGAGAGTAGTCGCGGACGAGGACGAATAAAATCCAGTATGAGACTTTATGCACGGTGGGGCTACGCTGGTTTAGTAGAGACAGTGTACAGTAACAAGTTAAAAGTGCAGTGAGTCAATTATCATCAAAATTTATCGCCGCCGAGATTTCTACCATTGGCAGTGCAGTCGTTTAGCAACAGCATCGCTACATCAA